TAGAATCAACGTGCGTTTAGGGTCTTTGGATGCTCTAATTGTTCACGTGATAAGCCACTGCGTTAAGCTATCATTGGGACATCTTTGAACGATTGGAGATCTGTGAAAACTGCTGGACGTCTTCTTCTTGGTTCCTTTCGGTAAAGTCACGTAGAATGGAAAAAAAATAAAAAATAAATAAAACGTAATAAAATAAAAGAGCTTCATAGCTCATCAGATTCTAATTCTGATTAGTGGCCAAGTCGCTTCTGAAAGAGAGCTATATAGCTCAGTGGGCTTCACCTGGTAAAATAAAATAAAAATAGATTATTGGGGGAGAAGCCGAGTCTCTGCACCTCGAGGAACGTAAATCGTCTTGGACTTGAGCGGCAACAGCGGCGTAACTGCGAGTAAACGACAATTTATCCCCCACGCCGTGCAGCGAGACGCCCCCGGAACCCGCTCGAGCTGCGGGGGTGTTCCAGGGGATGGGGAGTACAGCGAGTAGGTTCTCTGGGTGTTTTCGTCACGCCGCGCCTCTGTTTTGCTTCGCACGTGCGAAGCGCCGCGCGTAAAACCTGCGACGGATCGTTTGGTGACGCTGCGTTGTGGCAGCGGTGCACGGACAAGGCTTTTGTCTGTGGCCCAGGCAACCGTTGAAATGGCCAATTAAAAAAAATGTGGTCATCAGAAAAGATGTTATTATCATGTAAATTCCCATAAGGCCCTATCCACTCTGTCTCTCTTCTGGCCTTTCCATTTGAGTGCTGTGAAGAATGAGGGCCATCGCCCAAAACCCCCCACACACTTCAATGCTGAAACTTTTTGAAAAGAGTTTTGAGACAGTGATGCTTTCCTTAACAATATAATATTTTAAACGAGTTTCCAAAGGGCGTGGATTATGTGCGTTTGGGCACGGTTACGGTGAACACTGAACTGATTCACTGCTGTGATGGGAGCTCTACCCTAATTTATTTTCACCCATTCCTGAACAAGCCCATTTCTGGTGTCGTGTCAATATTTCCGTGTTGTCTGACCCACGGTATCAACTGGTACCGCTTCTCACCCCGTAGAGAGACGGTAAACACGAAGAGGTCAGTGGTGGCTTCCCTCTTGCGCTCACAGCAATTGGGGGCTCATCTCCAGATTACAGCCCTGAGCTGTGACTGGAAACTTCACATTCCTTTGGCAGGGGGGGGGGGCGTTGTGAGTCTATACACAGACAGCTTCTGGTCACCTTTCAAAAGATGGTGCTCATTTAATATCAACAAGGGGGGAGGTATGTATGTTGAACTTCTTTCACACCATACGCACGCTCATCGGAGGTGTGGGTGAATGAAATTAGGTTTCCATCTAGATGATTTGAAAGCGCATAGCTCCAGTGCTTACAAATATCGGAGGGAAGAGCGTTCCAGACGGTCGCAGAAGCGCATCTGAAAGGGCGCGATGCGGTGACCACCGCCGTCTTTGTTCGATGACAAGCCAAAAGTGACAGAGTTTGCCTTAGCCGGTGCAGGCCTCCGATTGCAGCCCAAGTGCCCCACCGCTGTGCCACTGCCCAGCTGGATAATGCAAATGGGGCATTTACGAATTCTCCCCTTCACAGCGAGAGCCAGACAGGCATAGTAAACGTACGCAAAGAGTCCGTGCTTCTCGGGTGGGAGTAACAAACATTGGACCTGGCAAAACCGTCAGCTCTTACACAGAACAAAAAGAAGCCTTCATTTATGTGATGGTCGTTTCGCGCAGTCATTTGTAATGCTGCGAGAATGCACTCCGGAGGCACAGGAAATGGTTTTGTCTTTAGCACCACGAGTTAATGTGACCACCACAGCCCCACCTGGTTGGAGTCACCACGTGTTCATGCTCGCTTAGCGGATGGATGCGGGATCGTTTAGGGCCACAGAGCGCACTCCGTACTAAACGTGCACTGGCATGCCACCAGGCTCGTGAAATCATTTCCCCTTTTGGACCAGTTGGCTTCCACGCGAACGATGACGAGCTACGAAAGATTACATTTCAGCGCTTCCACAAAACCTCAATTTTCGGTTTAGCCTTAATTCCCTTAATCTTGCCTCGCACAAACTGCACATCGGCCCACTACCGTGGTGAGCCACTCACCTCTGCAGCTGCAGGATCGTCTTGCATGTTGGCTCTGGCGTGAGAGGCGTCTTGAGGTCGACCTCTGCAGTGTTCTCCACCGTGTCTCTCTGGCCTCTGTCGCCTCATGCCGTGGGAGGATGGCCTGCTCTACAACGAGGCTTCATACTGGACTCCCAGCTCATCCCGCGTCTCGTCGCGTCTTTAGCGGAAGCCTCGGTCGACCGTCCCCCGCTCCCCGCGCGTTGTACGCAATGAGCGAGCGGGTCCGCTCGTCAAGAGGCAGCTGACGACGCCTCCGTGTGCGGAAGAGGTCTCAGGCGACGCTCCGCACCTCTGACGCGTGTCAGCGGCTCACCGCGTGAATCCTGCGTACACTATAAGCCTACACTTGTATTATTATATTAGCACAGCACCAAATGCACATTCACAATCGTATCACAATCGGGGGGGGAGGGGGGCAACTGGTTCCCCTACAATCTCAACGAGGCAATTACTACTTTGTGGGAAGTCGACATTGGATGTCCTTTGATTGTGGCTGTCCCTGCCATAAGAATGTGGAATTTGTGCTTTCCTCGCTCAGGGCCATCGATGAGTACTACGCCACTGCGTGAGTGCCACCCCACTACCTGCTTGTAACATGAACACGTTCCGTATGGGTGTAACCAATGACGATACGATACAATATATATGAACATATTCCTTGCTGTGTGAGATTATTTGCAGAGGATGTCAGTGAGATGGAATTGACAAAACAAATGTTGTGCTTGGGTTCAAGTTCTAATAAATGAGTGTCTCCACCTGACGAATGTCTTGGTGCAAACAGAGTTGATACAATGATTTTATAATAATGACAATAACAGGCAGAATCGCAGTGTTTTGTGTATTCAGATCTCAGCAGAAACTGCCTTTACACTCACACGCGAGTCAGGCTTGCTGCTTAGAAATGAATCATGGTTTAAAACACGAAAAAAGTATAATGACTTCTCATTTGTGGCCCCTGTGTTTGTGACGGATGACTAAGCCAGACTCATTCCTTTGTGTCCATTCGCTGCAAAGAATCTTCACATGTGAATGCTTTACCATTAATGTGAACCAGCTCCGAGAAATATTTCCCAACAGTTTCCCCCAAAACGGGATGCTCCATCGTCTCAAGGCGATGTTGCGCTGGTTGAAAATATTAAATTAATAAATAACGAAATAAACGTGACAGCACGCTGACGGATTCAAGACGAGTTCTTTGTTCGAGGAGAAATTATTTTGGGGGCGCCGCGGTGTTAACTACCTCGCCTGGAATACAGCAGGTCTTGGGTTCGATCCCGACCCCTGACGCCTGTTGTATATTTGGAGTTTGCGTGTCTCTCTCTCCCCGTGGTCGCGTGGATTTTTTCTCTGGGTCCTCCCATTATTCCCTCCACATTTAGAATCAACGTCACGCGTTTAGAGTATTTGGCTGCGATAAAATTGAACGTGATGACAAGCCACTTCGTTGACCTTTCATCTGTGGTAGCCAGTGGTCGCTTCTGAAAAACAGAGCTACGTAGCTCGGTGGGCCTTACCTGGAAAAATAAAAAAAATGCCCCCACTGAGTTCGAACGTGCAACGCGTGCCGACGTCCGTGTGCACAATCGGGGGCGTGCGTCGGGCATTCCCGCCGTGTCCTCGGAGCGGGCGAGCTCGCCGAAGAAGCCGCGTCTGGCTGTGCGAACGCCGTCCGCCGGCTTCCTCCTCTCCCCTGACCGCCCCCCCACCGCCCCTGGGGCTCCGTGCGTGTGCGTTACCCAGTGGCCCGTTGCTCCGACGAGACGCCCGTCATCAAACGTCTCGGGACAACGGCCCCTCGGGGCGTTCGTCGCCATCGTCAGAGTGTTTAAGCGGCGCTTAACCCCGCCGTGTTCGCTGTCTTGTCGCGTTAATGGGCTGTGTCAGTCGCGCTGGCGGCATTTTTGTCTATTTAAAAAAAAATCCCTCCACCTGCTTGCGGAACTCATGGGAATGTGTAACGTGACCCGCGCTACATCGACGGCTTTGCGTAATCGCACCCGTTGCAAGGGGTCTTAACCTGATTCGATATAAATTGACTCTGTTCGTTATCAGACGCGGCGATTGACGACATTTGTTCGGTAAAAAAAATAGATGCCTCCGAGTGATTGATGGGGATTTTAGTTGTTTAAAGTGGATTGGAAACTAATTTCTTCGGAACTTGTTTTCGTGCTTTAGTGCTGATTCCCTTTCCACCCCGGCACCTACAATTAGCACGGTTGGCTACGTACGGTTCGAAATAAGTTCAACGTACATACATACATAGACTCACATAGAAACCCAGAGATTCACACAGAGACCCATTTCTTTAGAACCGCTTTTTGTGTTTAGTATGTTGTCCTTCCCCCCCAAACCTCCGGTTAGCACGGTTGGCCACGTACGGTGTGAAAGAAGTTAATCGTATGAGAATAGATTTTCCCCTTTATTCTGGCAACAAAACAGGTGATTAAGATGTTAAAACCCCAAACTTAAACCTTTTACAAGGAATCATGTCTGCATTAACCACAATACTTGTGGTCAGAATGCAAACAAAAAACATACTCTGATAATATATGATGCATTGTCTTTGAGAGACAGCTTTCTTTGGAGCCTCGTCTAACAAGTATTGCGGGTAATGCAGACATGAATCCTTGTAAAAGGTTTCAGTTTGGCGTTTTAACATCTTAACACAGCTGTTTGGTTGCCAGAAAAAAGGGGAAAACCTCTCCTCATATTGTGGTACTGGCAAAGGAGGTCCCATGATGAGGTTAATCGTACACACACACATACATACGTACGGCGATTAGAAGACGCGGAGGGGATACGTAGCTCAGACGGTTGAAACCACGCGCGTTTGCATCGGTTGGTAACCGTGCGGTGGTGTTGTTGTTGTTGTGCAGACTGCGTGGGCACTGAGAACAAGATGAGCCTCCTGGGCAGTGCCGAGAAGCAGTACAACACCCTGCGGAGCATGTACACCAACTGCGAGGTGGTCATGGGCAACCTGGAGATCACCTACATCCGGAACGGCTCCGACCTCTCCTTCCTGCGGGTGAGCCAGACCAACGGCGGCCCTAAATCCATTAGGGCCACGGGCCCAGACAACATATTTTTGGCTTGTTAATCTTCTTCTTTGGCAAAGCGAATAGCAACTCTTAAGTAAACTAAACTATATATTTTTTTGTATTTTACCAGGTAAGGCCCACTCAGCTGTATAGCTCTTTTTCACAAGTGACTTGGCCACAAATGATAGCTCAAAGAAGTCGCAGCCAAATACTCTAAACGCAGGCAAACTCCAAATATACAGCAGGAATCAGGGTCTGGATCAAACCCACGACCTCCTGCATTCCAGGCGAGGTAGTTGACATCTCGCCACATTTTGAAAGCTACAAGTAGTGACTGCGATAACGCGCGTGCGGCGGTAATTCGGAAGAAGCCAGCGGTCAAGCTGAACGGCGAAAGGTTACCTTAACCTGGACAGGGGGCAATCAAAATAAAGACGAACGGAGGAGACCCAACTCGGGAACACAAGCGCAGGAAAGTGGTCAGGTCGTATAGAGAGTGAGAGAGAGAGTAACAACAATAGCCACGTGAGATGCTGGGTGAGAGTTGAGAGAGTTCCTGAGTTCCATCTATTTGGTATAGCCCTGTGAGCCATTCGGCTCTTGAATCGGGTGCAACCGCAACAAACAAAAAACAAAAACATGAACAAGAAAACATCTTAAAGTGACTATGTGACTGTGCAAACAGAAAATCCAGGAAAAAAAACATCAAAATATTCCTGAAATAGCACCGTACACCAACGCTGTGTGCAAAAATCCCAGTGGGATGCAAGTCAAACAACAACAACAACCACAAGACAACTAAGATTAAGGCCATCAGTCTAACTCCGTACTACAATAAACGAAAACATGGCCAAACCAAAAAACTTTTCGAAATCACCAAAATCAAGCTATACATGCATTGTAACAGTGATCATAGGGACTGTGACCGATTTTTTAACAATAAACTACATAAATAACATGTAACACCAAATCCTAGAGCCATAGCTGGCTGCATGAGGGCAGAAGAGAAGGGCTCCAGTAAACAAGAGGAAACGCATGAGAGACACAGGGAGAGCCAGGAAACACACACACACAGAGAGAGATGACGAAGAAGAGTGGTTGGAAGAGAAACACGATGTTAGGAACTCACTGGAGCTATGCACTTTTAAATCATCTAGATTGAAAACTAATTTATTTAGAATTGCTTTGTTGTTGTGTTTAGTTTTGTTGTTATTACTCCGCACCTCCGATTAGCACGGTTGGCTACGTGTGGTGCGAAAGCAGTTCAACATACGAAGGAGATTGATAAAATACTTTTTTCGAGAGAGATATCAGGGGAGAGAAAGAGTTTATAAATAGACTGGGTTGAGGAAATAAACAGGGAGACGTTAAAAGCAACCATTTCGGCAAGCGGCAGTCACAGAGACAACGTAAAAGAGACCCGATGGGTAGAGCTTTAAAAAGATGAGGAAGAGACACGTATCTTTAAATCTAGATTAGACACGTATGTATGTGTGTTGAACATCTTTCGCACCATACGTAGCCAACCGTGCTAATCGGAGTGTGTGGGTGGGGGAAAGGACAACAAGCTAAACACAAAAAACAGTTCTCAATAAGTGAGCTTGCAATCTAGATGCTTTAAAAGTTCATAGATCCAGCGGCTTCCTAATATCAGAAGGAAGAGCGTTCCAGACGGTCACTACGGTGACCGTAGTTTTCTCGATGGTTAGACACGCGTGAGAGAAGAGGCATAGTGAGAGAGAAACAAACGTGGAGACAGAGAGAGTGTTTGTGTCTCGGCTGCGAGCTGGAAGAGCAGGGATTGCCGAGCTGCGTGGGGTTTTCGGGAGCTGGTGGAAGGAGAGAAGGGGGAATCGCTGACATAGGGGCCCTTCACATTGAATTCCATTCCTGTACCCGCACGAGGGTCAAACGTTCCCCTTTGTCGGAGGCGTCAAAGGCCCTTGTTTCAGAACGGGCCCGCTTGCATGTGCAGAATGACTTGGTCTGTAATCATGGTGCAGTGAGTACAAATAACTCGCACGCGTCACTCACATTTATTGCATTCATTAATAGTTTAATGTTACTGTGTCCGTGGTTTTGCATCAACGCCGCTGCATTGTTGTTTTTTGAGCGCATTGTGCCTCTGTTAGAAGGTTTATTGGCAAAAAAAATAACCATTGCGTCCGATGCAAGTTCACACCACGGTGGCGAGGAGATGTTATCTCCGTCGCCTGGGGCGCAGGAGCACATGGGTTCGATGCCGGACCCTGGCGATGCTTGTTGTTGGATGTTTGGAGTCGGCGTGGTCTCTTTTTTTCCCCGTGGTGGTCGTAGTGGGGGTTGTTCGTCGGGTTCCTCCGGTTTTGCCCTCCTCCTCACACATTGAGAAACAACGTGCGTTTAGATTATTTGGTTGCGACTCCAAATTCCCACGCGTAATGATGATATAAGCCACTTCAACGAGCTATCACGTGTGGCCAGATTACCTCTGAAAAAAAGACCTAATAGCTGAGTGAGCTTTACCTGACGAAATCAAATACTTTCGTTTTTATGAGTTCATCATCATTATTAGTATACAAATTGTTTATAAGTTACTCGGTTATCAGCATCTTTGGTTCTTACGATTCACTTAAAATTTTGCAAATTAAATAAACGGCTCAAAGTATGTTTTATGCATTATTAGGACCGTACTGTACTGTATTCTTGGCCTTTCTATGCCTATGCAAACGTAACCACATTGCTCTGAACTTTGCCAAAATCCCTCAGGGGAAGGAAAAAAAACTATACGTGTAAGTACCTGAGCACATACCTGAATTTAAAAATTAAACGTTCCTCAGAGTAATTTTCGATTTATGAGATGACATGTTTGTGGTGGTGACGCTGCTGCTACTGCTGCATTGGAAGTGGTGGACAAGCACAGATAACAACAACAGCAACACCACCACAACACATTCGTCAGCAATAACATTGTGGCCTTACAAGGAATTGTAGATACAACAGGTAATGTTACAGGCAATGGCCCTTCTTCTTAGCACTCGGATGGATGAGCTATTGCCCAACACATTGCAGATGACAGCATCCCCTCGTTATTCGCGAGAGATACGTTCTGGGGATGCTCGTGACGAGCGAATTTCGCACGATATTGGGCCACCTGAAATAAATAAGCTATTAAAATATCGACGATATCTCTCTTCACTTGATTTCACCGCATTTTCTCATTGCTTTATCTCATCACTTTATCTGATCACATTCTCATCACTTTATCTCATCACGTTCTCTCTCATCCCTTTATCTCATCCCTTTATCTCATCATATTCTCTCTCATCACTTGCCTTCTCTCGATGCAGTCGTGTAGAGTTCCAGATGCGAATTGGATAGCACGATCTTTAAGAACGAGGGAATACTGAATATGCATTTTTTTCCTCCTTTTAGGGCCACAGCGTTAATTCCAAATGTACAGAAGGTAGACTACTTTCGTGACCAATATAATTCATAATAAAGGGCTTTTTTTTCTTCTTATGAATAGACGGTGTCTGCGTAATTCGTCGTGAGCCTGTTACCTTGAACGTTTAAATCCTCGAATTCTCTACAAGTTGTTGGAGTCGCGGCGTCACTGTCGATCGCTGTTTAACACGTAGTGGTCGTCGACTTTTGCGACCAATATCATCCGCAATGAACGTTTTTTTGGGTTAGATCGCTTAAGAATAAACGTGTCGTTAAACACGCCACCGCCCGACATGGCCAATCGCTAAGGTTTTTCGCATAAACAAGAAGTGCCAATTCGTTTCAAGTTCAGCACAACCGGTGTGTCGGAGAGTGAACCCACGACAACATTTACAATTCGAGGACCGTGACATTTCGGCCGGTAATTACAACACCAACAACAACGAGCCTCATCAGGTGACAGCCAGAGAATTGTGGAAAAATCCTCCCTCCCTCCTGTCGTTTCCGCCGTCGCGGCCGCTGTGCCGGTGTGCGCGATGGGGGGCGGGGGTGCTACAGACGATCCGGGAGGTGTCGGGCTACGTGCTCATCGCGCTCAACGAAGTGGACCACGTGCCGCTGGAGAACCTTCGCGTGGTGCGCGGCACCCGGCTCTACGACCAGCGCTACGCCCTCACCGTGCTGCTCAACTACAACGACTCCGTGCCCGAGGAGCGCCTCGGACTCAAGGAGCTACGGCTCACTCGCCTCACGGGTAAAATTAAAACTGTTTTTTTTTATTTGCCAGGGGTAAGGTCCATTACTGGGCTGCGTACAGCTCTTTTTCAGAAGCTGGCAGTCACAAATTATAGCCCGACGAAGTGGCTGTTGATTTTAAATGCGGGAGGGAAAAACCGGGGAGAGAGACACCGCAAATTCCAAATATACACGCATCAGGGTCGGGATCGAAACTACGACCTCCTGTATACCAGACAATGTAGTTAACATCTCACCAGCGTGGCGCCACCTCGTGAGTAACGCCTTCCCCGGTAACGCCCACTCGCAGGTAACGTAATCACGGGTAACTCCCTCCCGGATAACTCCATCGACGGTAATGCCCTCTTTGAGCAACGTCCTCACGGGTAACGCCCTGACGGGTAATGCTTCGCTGGGTAATGCCGCTGCTGGGAGCTCCATTTACCGTGACACCTTCCAGACAAACGACGTCAGATGCCAATTGCTTCGCAGTGCCAACCACACGTCCAGAGAAACAAATCCTTCATCGTGCATTAGGTGATGGCTCCTAAGCCTCATCGGTACAGGTGCAGTCGATGTTGAATAATAAATAATGACCTCAAAGGCTCCATCATCTGCAGTTGGCTCCGTACGGTGCAGAAGAAGTTCAACATGCATACATAAAAACTAGAAAATGCATTCTTTTTTTATTTATAGCTCTTTTTCAGAAGCGACCTGGCCACGAATGATAGCTCAGCGAAGTGGCTTATCATGTGTAAATATCTAGCAGCCACAAACTCTACACGCATGTTTCTAAATGTGGAGGGAAAAACCGGAGGACCCGGAGAAAAATGCATGCGACCACGGGGAGAGAGACACGCAAACTCCAAATACATACAGGCGTCAGGATCAGGATCAAACCCACGACCTCCTGTATACCTGGCGACGTAGATAACATCTCCTAGCCACCGTGTCACCCATACGTGTCGGAGGGATTGGGCACAGATCAGCTGTGACTGTAAGGGGTGACACACACACACACACGCGCAGCGGGGGCGTGTGCGCTTGTGTGTCGAGTCAGCGCGTGGATCTCTGCCACGAGAATTCCACCTCCCTCCCCCTCCCTCCTTCGTGAGACTCACGCCATTGGATGTTAAATGGTGGAAAAGTCGACGCATTACCGTGCTTTCTCCTTGGCGACTGCGCCAAAGCGAGACTTGTTCACGCAGAATATGGTCACTGGCTACCAAGAGGGCGTTGTGAACTATAAGAATGAGATGTCCCCCTGTTCTCACACCCGGGGGGTTCTCAAAGCCTATGTAGAGGCGATGTGTCGATCGTTCTGTGGGCCCTCACATGGGTTTTGGCATTTTAACACATTTCCACGTTTCGCGGTTGTGTTTTTTTTCTTCATTTCTTTCTCATTGCACTGATAAAGTCCCGCCCGATCGGCCAGTTGTCGTAACAGAATTTCGCTTTTGTGTTGAAATTCGGTGTTAATGTTTTACTTTATTATGATTTGCCATTCCTCTTTATGCCATCTATATACGGCCACGATCCTGGCGACTGTATATGCACGAAGAGATGCAGGCAAAACACCTCAGTATAAGTGGATTTGGCAGCAGTTTAAATTGGCGATCACATCCAAAAGTTTAGGCCTGGGGCCATGGGCTAGAAATTACCATGGGTCACACTTGGGCGGACTGACAGCAGCGTCTGTTGTTGCTGCACAGGCTGAGTGAAGGCAATCCGTCGTGCCTCTCAATCACTAGCATGGGAAATTCCCGACAGGTGCATTCACAATCTCCATTGAATAGCCGCTGCACGCTGACTCGGAGGCACGGTGGCTTTTTTTATTTACGGCCACCGTTACAAAAACTGCTTACGCGAGCCCAGCGTGTGATCGTGTGAGCAGGGCCTCGCCGAGGAATGTGCCTCCTAAGTGGGAGTCCGGCACGCGGCCGACACGTTTTCGCGAATTTTAACGAATGATGATGATGATGTCGGTGCCGCTGCGGCCGTGTTGCCGGTGGAGCGCCGAGCGCACCACCTTCTTCTTCTTCTTCGTCATCTTCTACTTCTTCTCGCGTTTGGAAGAGCGAACAGCAACTCTTAACTAAACTAAAACTATTTATTTTTATTTTACCAAGTAAGGCCCACTGATCTCTATGTAGCGCTTTTTCACTAGCGACCCGGCGGACACAAATGGTTCCATAGTTCATTTATTTGGTATAGCGCTGTGAGCCATTCGGCTCTTGAATCGGGTGCAACCGCAACAAACATAAAAACAAAAACATGAACAAGAAAACATCTTAAAGTGATTATGTGACTGTGCAAACAGAAAATCCAGGAAATGATAGCTCAACGAAGTGGCTTATCATCACCAGGAAATTTATAACAGCCAAATATATCCTAACGCCTGTCGAGGGAAAACCTGGAGGATCCTGAGAAAAAATGCACACAATGCTGATTCCACAATTAAAGTTACAACTGGTTGTTGAACCTTCTGTAGGTTCACGGAATTGAGTTCTAACAGTATTGTAGCGGGAATGATAACTTTGCACTATTACAGTGGAATTCATGGTAATACTGTATAGTGATAGTAAGAGGATGTGAGGTTAGTACGGTAAGCATTCACACGATATACTCCTGTGTGTGGCGACATGTTAACGCCCTCGCCTGGTCGTGGGTTCGATCCCGACCCTGACGCCTGCTGTATATTTGGAGTTTGCGGTGTCTCTCTCTCATCATCATCACGGTGGCTAGGAGATGTTGACACTCTCGCCTGGTATACAGGAGGTCGTGGGTTCGATCCCGACCCTGACGCCTGCTGTATATTTGGAGTTTGCGGTGTCTCTCTCTCATCATCATCACGGTGGCTAGGAGATGTTGACACTCTCGCCTGGTATACAGGAGGTCGTGGGTTCGATCCCGACCCTGACGCCTGCTGCTGTATATTTGGAGTTTGCGTGTCTCTCTCTCTCTCTTCCCGTGGTCGCGTGGATTTTGCTCCAGGTCCTCCGGTTTTTCCCTCCACATTTACAAACATGCATTTAGAGTATTCGGCTGCTATAAATTCCACATGATGAGAAGCCAGTTTAATCGAGCTATCATTTGTGGCCAGGTCGCTTCATTCCCGCTGGGGCTGATCAACGAGTACCGCCTGTGGGGATGCCAGCATTGGCTGACCATTTTTTTCTGGCTCCTCTTGCTCTCACACTCTCGTGGTTTTTTCACCTTGCGCGCTTGTTGCGTTCACGACCATTAACCACCTCCTTTGCTGTGCAATATACCTTAACGCACCGCGAACAGGGACGACGCGCCGTGCTTGTGCACGATAGCTCCAACACCCCCTCCCCTGTCACCCACTCCCACCCCCCAACGCCCCACCACCGCTCAGAAATCCTGCGTGGAGGCGTCTACGTGAGCAGCAATGAGTTCCTGTGCCACGCCAACACCGTCAACTGGGACGACATCCGCAACCGCAACAGCAAGGAGAACTTCAGCAGCCGCCTCAACTTCACCACCAGCCAGTCCTGTGAGCGGCGGCGCCGCGTCCGTCCATTTGTCCGTCCCTCCGTCTGTTCGTCTCTCCGTCTCTTTGTCTCTCTGCCCGTCCATTTGTCCGTCTCTCCGTCTGTTCGTCTCTTTGTCTCTCTGCCCGTCCATTTGTCCGTCTCTCCGTCTGTTCGTCTCTTTGTCTCTCTGCCCGTCCATTTGTCCGTTTCTCCGTCTGTTCGTCTCTCCGTATCTTTGTCTCTCTGCCCGTCCATTTGTCCGTCTCTCCGTCTGTTCGTCTCTCCGTCTCTTTGTCTCTCTGCCCGTCCATTTGTCCGTCTGTCCGTCTCTCCATCCGTCCATCCATCTCTACGTCTGTCCGTCCATCCGCCCGGCCCGTCGTCGGCGCTGCGACGAGCGACGAGAGGGTCGCCTGAAGCACCGGCGATGCGAACCGAAGCACTCGCGTCGAGGAGGGGAGTGGGGGGGATCGCCCCGACGTTGTTGTTGGGGACTTATTTGTCCGAGTCGATCCTCGAGTTCGCGTGTGGAAGCTTAAATAATCTGTGTAAAGTTACAAAAAAAAAACAGGTAACTCAACACATTCGTCAATGACGCTGGTGACCTTATGAGATGAAAAATTATATCTTAAAAATAATATTTAATGATTGACGTTTCCGGCAATGGTCCGTCTTCATAGCGCACGGTTCCTGCAGTGAAGAAGGGCCATAGCCCAAAACATCACCGATTATACACTTTGGTGTTTAAAGAGCACAAGTGTTAGGGAATAGGTTTTACCCTTTTAACTGGCACAAAAACTGACACCTTTATTCAAGGCATCATGTTTGCAATAACCACAACACAAGCAGTCAAAATGCAAACAAAAAAGACAATTCTGATAATAATATGCACTGTCCTTGAATTTGATTGGTCCACACCCGAGACAGCTTTTCTTAGAGCCTAGTCTCCATTGGTGTTGGACCAGAAGACGCCAAAAGGCGTACAACTCAAAAACAGCGCACTATCAGAGTATTGAGGGCTCGGGGTGAGCATTAACATTATGAGACCTTCTTTGCTAGAAACAAGATATAGGAATAGGTTTTACCCTTTTAACTGGCACAAAAGTGTTGTTATAGACGAAGGGTGTTGAGTATTTGCATATTTATTTATTTATTTGTGCTTGCACGCCGCTGGTGACGCAGCAGCAGCATCACCAAATAATTTGTTGAATAATGTGTATGTCAGGGTCGGTCAGTGAGCGACTCATAATATAAGGAATTAATACGTGAGTGTGACTTTGTCCCGTGAACGTGCTTATGCAAGGAATATCAGGCTGCCGTGCAAAACCATCAGACAAGCAAGGTGATGGGGACATTTACATAATGAAAACTCCACGTAGACTTTGGTTGTTATTACTGGGGTTGGTGACATCTTCTTTCTCTGGTTCATGAGGGTGCATATTTTCGAACACGTTTTGTGTTAACTTCACTTCATTTTTGTTTGCGTTAAGGGCTTGTAACGATCGGGCGAATGTATGCATGTCGAGAAACCCGTCCACCGCTCAACAGAGCCAGTTGTTATGTGTTTCACCTCACTCACCGGTGATTTGAGGGACAGACACATTTAGTATTTAGATACAGATTGCATATTGCAAAGTTTGGAATTGTTCTTTAAGTCTGGCCACATCATTCGGTGGCCCAACCCACGAATACATTTTAGATCACAGAGAATGTCGCAGCCTCATTTTAGCCACAATTCTTCATGCCAACCTAACAGTCGAGAGAGCGATGCGGCATTCCCGGTTGGCGTATTTGTCGTAACATTTTGGAGATTGTCTAGAAGTCCATGGGAGAATGTGTTGGCTCCTGATTTTCTGTGCACATTTGCGTTCGTGGACATTGAGGTGACAGGCAGGAGGCGTTGCATTACACCCACTGAAAGACATCGATTGTGCTTTTTGTTTTTTTGCCTGTGGTAGCTTGTGACTTCAGTAGCGTTTCATTGTCAGGAAATAATCAGTCAGAATATTTGGTTGATTGATTGAGAACCTAAAGGGAGAATGGCAATGGAAATTATTCTCGTGTTTTATATTTTGCTATAGGTAGTGACGTGTAAATCACAAGTTGATGTGACATTAAAAACACACGCAGAATGATGAAACCTGTTTCGTCTAGTGCGGGATTATTATTGGAGTGATCTTCGTACTTTAAAGGCACTGGGGGCCTTGCAGTGACAATCGTGCAGTGGATGTGCAGTGATCACACAAGCAGTCACTACGCGATTGTGGGTTACCCACTGCCCTGTTGATACAAATGAGTTACCATATGAAAGAGTTAACACTTTCAGGCACCACTTTTGGGAGTAATATAACTTTAAAAGTTGTTACTTTTAAACACATTGCTTGATAAATAACATGCAGTTGACCGTCTGGCTGATTGCAATCGTATTTTCGAAGAGTAGCTCTTGGCTCTTAACGTGCGTCCAAAAGCTTTAGTTGGGCAAAATGAAAGGTACCGCTCATATTTATTCTCCAGAGCACTTTGAAAGCAACGCTCTTTAAAATGTAATTTGGAAGGAAAAGTCCTCACCGTTTCGTACCTGTGCTAAATAGAAATCGGATATCTCTCAATGGGCACCGTATGGCTTGTGGCACGGAGACACAGGAAAATGATTCATTATAATCACTCCAGTCTGAGCAACACTTGCAAACTACCAGGAAAGCAGCCCGATGATATTCACAGTAATCAATGACTGAGAGTGAATGTATTCACCTCCCTGCGATTTGTGTATTGCAGTTTGGTGAATGTGATTAATGATGATTGTACGATAAAACACGAATTATCGTCGTGTTAATAATAACACAAGAAGAGCACCGCAAATAAGAGTTAATAATAAAAAAATGCACAACGTTTCGCAAGATAATGTTTGAAAGCGAGGTTCGTGCGCTGAGCGTAAGTTGAGAGGCAGAGAAATTGGCGGCGTCGTCTGGGTGACTTTCATCGGCAAGTTTTTTTTTTAAAACTGGTCATCAAAAACAAAGAAAATGTAATTCTCATCAGGCCCCATGGTGCAGAGTGGAGTCTCCGACTCTTACTATCCGCTCCGTCTCTCCGGTAAACATTTCTGTTGGGAGGTTCACACCTGGAGAAGCACAGCGGACAATGTGCACCCGTGCGTTGGTGAAGGCGGCAGGCCGGTGGTCCTGACTGAGAGGCCACCGTGCCACAAATATTTAGAGCAACTGGATTATGCTGTTCACGTAGCTACTTATTAAATGTTGAACGGATTATTTGACGATGCTACTGCGTTGGTGAGTGGTGCATAAGCAACAATTAATACATAAATAAAATCCTCAACACATTCATCAACAATGCCGCCCTAAAAGGAAACATTATAGACGATGTTTCAAAACAGCACCTATGATCTATTTTTCGGGCAATTGCAATGGCCCTTCTTCATAACATGTGACGCACGCGCTATGAAGAAGGGCCATTGCCCAAAACGTTGGCTATTATATTCCATTTTTTAATGCCACGCATTTTGTTATTGACGAGTGTCTCGAGTTATTCTCGTTATTTGTACTTGTGCACTGCTGCCAACACAACCTCGGAGGAGTTCTTCGGACGAGCGTACGTGCTGTCCAGAGAAGCATGCAAATTACGAACATGTATAAAATAATTCGTTGTTAAATGCGTAAGGCAACGTCCCTGCTGTGAGTGACTGCGTGAAAACCGATGTCTGCAGGCCAGCCGTGCCACCCTTCGTGCAAGAACTTCTGCTGGGGATCGGGACCCCAGTACTGCCAAACGTGTACGTGGCGTGTCCGCGTCGTGCATCACCACTCCACCGGCTCGCCACGCGTCGCGGCCGCCCCTTAGCACGGCCACGCATCTCCAACTCAACACCAGGGCAGGATCGGTGCTGAGCATCTCGGCACAGCATTAGACAAAACTATTTTTTTCTATTTTACCAGGGAAAGCCCACTGAGCTATATAGTGGCTCATTTTCAGGAGTGGCATGGCTATTACAAATGATAGCTCAATGAAGTGGACATTTATAGCTTCCCAAATACTCTAAGCGCATGTTTCTAAATGTGGAGGGAACATGCAAATTCCAAATATACAGCAGGCATCAGGGTTGGGATCGAACTCACGACCTCCTGTATATAAGGCGAGGTAGTTAACATCTCACCATGGAGTGGCTCCTTTTCAGAAGTGACCTGGCCACAGATGATAGCTCAACAAAGTGGCTTATCACGTGGAAATTTATAGCATCCAAATAATCTAAACGCACGTTTATAAATGTGGAGGGAAAAGCCAGAGGTGCTTCTGAAAAATCCACGCGACCACGGGGAGAACACGCAAACTCCAAATATACAGCAGGCGTCAGGGTCGGGATCGAATTCACCGACGCACACTGCACATTCAGAATGTGAATAGGCAGCGCTGCGACATAGTGCTGCACTAACAGTGACAATACATATATATACATTTTTGTCATCATCATCATCATTGAGATTGCTAACAGCCACGTATCATCATGTTTTCAAATACCCCCGATAATCGCAGGGCCAGTTAATGCACACATTGCGTTCCACCGACTCATATCGAAACGCCGTCAAATTAAATTTGCTTGAATGGACAAGGGGGGTACAATTAAGTTGCGTCCGTCAGAGCGTTAACCGGTTGTTGTTGTGGTGGTGGAGAGCTGGCGGAGCGGCTGACGTGCTGGTAGACCTGGAGTTGGTGGTGGTGTGAGTGACATCTAAATCGGTGTCGGGCACCGCTTCACCGGTCCGCGCTGACCGGCTTGGTTTAGTTTCATAGTTTCATTTGGCGAAGTATAGTTTAATAAAACCCCGTCACTGACACGGCTTGGTGAAGTATAGTTTAATAAAACCCGGTCACTGACACAGCTTGGGGAGGCTTTTATCCAGCAGTGTACTGACAACGGTTTGTACATTATTATTTAAATTGCCATTATATTAGTTAACATCTCGCTTGACTTAATAACCATCCTGAATAACGGATTAAATGTGATTTTATTCCTCACTCCACAAAAGGTGTCAGCAGGTGGGACTGCACGTAATACACAAATATAACATACGTAACATACTATCCAAGTGGTGTGCATATAGGGTTTGCGGTAAGCAGCGCAATGTTCTAGAATTAGCGCCCTTTCGAGAAACGTCGCACTGGATCTGCTGCCCTGTGGAGAAACGTCTTCTGCTCACGCTGCCGTCGTGATTGTTCCGCTCCCGTAACCCCATCGGGGACGCAGTCACCAGCACAATCTGCGCCAAGCAGTGCGACGGGCGCTGCTACGGCCTCGACCCAAACCAGTGCTGTCACAAGCACTGTGCCAGCGGCTGCACCGGCCCCCGCGAGACCGACTGCTTCGTAAGTCCCCCCCGCCGCCTTCCCATCCCATCGCGCTCTCGCCCTCGCTCACTCCAGGGGAAACCCTGCACTGCTTGGGAATTTCCTCCCATCGTCCTCCCTTTCACCCAGCAAGCTCTTGGAGGAGCCGCGCCTCAATTCAAGACAACGTGCTGTGCGGGCTCTTTTTTTCCGTCACGATTTATGGACGGTGCCGTTTTGTCGCTGGCCGCTTGATGGGGTTTTGGGGCCTTTGGGACTACACCGGGCAAATGCACAAAACCGAAGAGTTAAAATCCATGGGGAAATTACAATCATGGTCTACACACGTAGAGATTAAAGGCAACCTTAGTTGAAACTCAGACTCGGTGACTATTATTTCAGCTGGTAAGATCCACCCCCACTGCCCGGTTGTAAGGTTATAAGTTAATACATTTGTGCAAAAAACTTTCCCCCAGTACGTTATATTGGTTGGTAATATATTGTAGTGAACATAAATAAAGTATTTTTTGGGTTAGATCACATGAATATAAATGTGGCGGGTTAACGACACGTTTATACTTAGGCGATCTAGCCCAAAAAGCCTTTATGATGCGTAATAACATTGGTCGCAAAAGCCTACTACGTGTTCAACCATTGCCATGCATTCGACATGCACGTCGCGATCACCAACATTTAATTGGCGAACTACACAAGTTCCATCAATCGACTTTTTTTTTAAAAAACAAAATCACCCCCCGCTTTACGCGGCTGTTTTGATGGGTGACGGAGTGAAGCTCTTTAACATCGAGCCACGGCCCACGCCGATAACACGTTGATGCCTGCGCCATTAAACACATTTAGCGGGCCTTTGATCAGAGCAAACGCGAAAACCCGACACCGTGCCGCTGTCCATATTTATCTGGAGTTGTTTTGTCCGCAATGGAAAAGTGCGACCGGGGGGATAAAGAGACGAAAAAATGCATCGCGTTTTCAAACGGCGAGTTGGCTTCCACGCAGCGCCTCGCGAGTGACGCCGCCGCATTAGCATCCGCAGCCGGAGATAAACACGCGCGCCTGCTCCTGCAAACTGAGCCGGTATTTGCCCGAATGTATCATTGGACCTGGGAGGGTCGCCTCTCCATCAACTTTGAAACCAGGGCTCTATCCCCCCCCCGCCCCCCCAGAAAGCAGTCTCCCTGCCTCCTCTGAAAGGGCTCAAGACAAAGCGTTGTTCCGGTCAACCGTTACAAAGTCCTCAATGCTCAGTGAAAAGCAAGTGCTGTCCGTGTTTTTAGTGCTTTAGAATTCACACAGCCCGTCGTTAATTAGCAGCCAGACTGTAGATATTCGGAGCCCGTGCGTCCTGCAGTGCGATAGCCCTGTGAATTAAGTACCCCCCCCCCCTCCTTAACCTCCTTCCGTTCCTCCCGTAAAGCCTCACCTCTTCTCCATTGCCCATTCTTTTCCTCTTCCCTCCCCCTCCGCTCCTTCCCGTCCCTCCCCTACCATTTCGTGATCCCCAAGTACCCCCTCTAACGCCGTCACTCATTCCGCCATACGACGTAGCGCGCCCTTGCCGACTCCCATCATTCCATTCTGTGTCACCGCTTCGTAAGCTCTCTCATCAAACGCCTCGAGCGAAGGCGCTCTCCAGAATACAAATATCAGTTCGATAATCCCCCACGCGGCAATCTCGCGCTGCGGCAGGCACAGCGGGGGACGATGTGACGACATCGAGCGTGCTCCCCCCTCAACGTTTCACCAACCGTCGCCGCCGAGTGAGACACCTGCGGGTGTGCTCGGGCTTGCCCGATACGCCACGTGGCTTCCAACACCTCCGTGCCCGCCGTGTCCGTCCGCGTGCAGGCGTGCAGAATATTCAACGACAGCGGCGCCTGCGTGGATCACTGCCCGGCTCCGGTCTTCTACAACCCGTCCACCTTCCAGCTGGAGTCCAACCCCAACGTCATGTACAGCTACGGAGCATCCTGCGTCAAGGAGTGCCCCAGTACGTGCCCCCTGCCCCCCCCCCCCCCGCCCCCCCCCCCCCGCCCGCCCCCCCCTCCTGCCTACCGTGGGCCACTTGTAAAAGGGGCAATTGCTCAGAGAGGCGGTATTTTCAACTGTCACGCAAAGGCGGATTGTGGAGGGGGGTTATTATCGGGGACTCCAGAAAGCACTTTTTTCTCATCATAGGGCGGCTGATGTAGATGCAGAGCAATGACTACAACTTCACATTACAGGTGGTCAAGCCGGGCAACCGTGTCAGGAGAAGCGGAGTGCATTGCTTGTGCGTTTCATCGTTATATGTTGTTACGGTCTGTTCTGGATGCATGTAGGGCATCTGAGACATGGGAGCATCAGGGCATCAATATTATGGTCTAGGATTGGTGTTTATGAACCACCGATCTAGGCTCTGTCAAGGCCCCCGGACCTATAGGGAAAGTCGCCGTACCCTTGACTGGGTGGGACGTGTGGGGGAAGGCGGAAAGATGGTTGCCGAGCCGGTCCACCGACCGAGGGGAAGACCTAAGGGCAGATGGTGGGGCACTGCCAGGGCAGACCTTGGAGGTCACTGTGCGGCAGCAGCTGTGGCATCAGGCAGAGGTGTAAATGAAAACGGTGTTCTTCACAAATTTTCGGAGGGGCGGTCACTTTCGCCGATACGACATCGTCAGTGTGAGGGCTGCCACACATTTAAAACCACTGGGGTTTGACAGCAGCACGATGATGAAGATGATGGGGGGGGGGGGGGGTGTTTCTCACATTTTGTGCATTGTCGGGAGGCCACACATTTATTACAGATAGATCTGCAATGAAGAATACTGGATAAAAGTGTTGTTTTTGAGGTGCGGTGGTAACACTGACGACTATGGCCTCGGTCTTGAAAAGCAACATGGAGATTTAAAGCTGTTGAGGGATGCACACAAATGTGATTGATTGCTTCAGCACTAAAAGACAATTTTGAGCTTCAGAATTTAGAAAATATCTAGTTAAGTAACATTCGAGTTTAAATGCAATTAGAACCAAATTCCAAGATATGTATTTCTAATTTACATTGCATGTTCAATAATACACCCACTCGAGTTATATACACGTGTATAATCTAATGGGATTTGTGAAAGAAACAATGCACTGAGCTACCATTAACAGAACAGTTAAAGACACATTTATATGTATGTGTATTACAATAAAACTGGTTTAATATTGAAATGTACTTCCTGCGAAGTATAAAATAATGCAACTTGCATAGGCATGTGATCTAGGGGTGGGCAAATTGCTTTCATAATAATGCACGTGAGCCGAGTATAGTGCAGCAAAGGCGCATACGTGTCCACAGTAGGGCCCTCTGTGCACACTGCCTGAGCGGTGTCGACACATCTGTACACTGATGTACACATCTGTACCCTTATGCGCTGCATGTACGGGGAATATGGGTTTTAAAAAATTATAATTTTTAGCACTTTCCTCAATACACTGTTGGATGAAGGCATTCGCACGCTTGCAATGGGTCACAGGGGTTGTTTGACCATACTTTACCACGCTGGTTGCAGCGGATTGGTGAAAGGTGGGTGAGGAATCGGGGGGGGGGAGAGGGGTGGTGGGACCGGTTGAGATATCGCACGCCACTGATGTAGGCCGTGACCACAAATGTATGTATGTTGGAGTGGGATTGGCGGATGGCCGCGGGGGCTGTCAGTTGGGGCAATGAAGTAAGTACAATCGTTGGATCGATTGGTCGAAACCGGTGTGGATGGGGAAATTCATTGACAGACGTTTGTTGTTGTTGTTGCCGATTTCCCCGCAGGGAATTTTGTCGTCGACTACAACTCCTGCGTGCGCTCGTGCCCGGTCAACAAGACCGAGGTGGAAGATGGCAGTGGAGTGAAGCACTGCAAACCCTGCCCGGACAATCTCTGTCCTAAAGGTCACACACCCATGAGCGAGCGTCGCAACGCAGCGGATTATTGGGCACCTGCTGAGCTACCTCTCGCCACAGTCATTTAGTAGCCAGGCTGGCACTGTATTTATTATGATGCATGTTTACTTCGGAAAGCCTCATGACAAACATTTTTTTTTCCTGCCAAGTTTTTGCAGTCGTTGCCAGATGATTGCTTGTGTTTGCTACAATAGAGTCATTGGCAGGGTTAATAACAAAATAAAAAGGCAATATTTGGATGGTGTCGCTGGCACACGATGGCCTTCTCTCGCGAACTACATCTCCAACATGAAGCGGACGGCGTCGCCATATCTTTTAACGGATATGCGCACCGCAGTTATAACCGGGGTGGCCGATTTAGTTACCACTGGTTTCGAACCGTGAATCCTTCCAAACCGAGCGGAAAACGCGCTATCGCCCGTCCCCGTCACCCTTTGTTACCCGGGAATTGCAGCGTTTCTCTCGGGATGTTCTCATCGTGATTAGAAATTGTGAAGAGAAACTGGAATCACACTTGCGAGCTTGCTTGCCAAAGCCGCTGGAGGCGTATTTATTATTTTAAGAGTTTACGGCAATGGTTCGCATTTGTTTTCTGACTGAGTGCCGGCGTCATTGTAGATGCACAATCATTTGTGACATGAAGACCATTTTTCTTCGAGCATGAACTGCTTTATACTGTAAAAATTAACTTTTAAGTTCTTTATTTGCTACACTGAGTGGCATTCACGATGTATGTGAACGTCTGTGATATATCATAACATAAAGTATCAAAATATTTATTTTAATACTTCTGCATTACAATGCCCCTTTCTACTTTATTGAACATGAAGCGAATTATCCAAACTAGGCATATTCAGGCAATATTTTATTATATATTATACGCATTTTTATTAAAAAAAAAATTAAGGCTGGTCAAGAAAGAAGGGGTCATATTTTAAATGGTCAGTTACACAAATACATATTTTTTTTCATAATTTCTAACCATAGATTTCCTTGTAACTTCCGAATATTTCTGCGTGGAGTTCTGTTGAAAGTCAAGCTTGTCGCGTGTTGATTCCACCCGTGCATTGCACCTGTGTCTCTCTACAGTTTGCGATGGCATTGGATCCGGAAAACTGAAAGAGGCACAAACGGTCGACGCTAAAAACATCCATTTCTTCTCGAACTGCACGACCATCAGTGGGAACCTGATCTTCCTGCGAAATGGATTCGATGGGTAATGGGCACCTCCAAAACGACGTCACGTGTTTGTATGCTCACATCGAAGCAGTCCCACGGTGCATTGCGTATTCTGAACTCGTACGATTTCTAAGGGGCTCTAACTGAACTGAGGCGCACAGGCCGGGAGCGAGTCACAGCATTGTCATCTGGCTGGGCTGTGGAGATCTCCCCTTGGTGCAGGTCGCAGCGTATCTCTGCTCAAATATGCGTGGGGTGGTGTGCTCGTCGCTGTTGGCTAGCCCTGAGCTAGCCAGTGGTGTAATTCCACATTCTAAGGGCCAAGTGCAGTCCCTCCATTCGGCAGTTTGTGTTGGCCTCCGAAATTACGGTACTCGAGAGAGGATAATGAAGTGTGTTGACCCCCCCCCCCCCGTCTGGGAGTTGAACTTGCTGCTCTATAGCTGAGTTGACCACTCCACAACTGCTACCTTGCCAGGTTTGCTCTGCCAGTGTGAGAGTCAGATTGCTCGCAGCTCTAAAGTCACCGGATGGCCCGACATACACAACCCTGTTACTTCCCAACAAAATATTGGGAGCGAATTTATAAAAAAAATTAAACTAACTCACCATCTTCATTAGTAACAGTCTTATAATATAAGTATATGAATATATATGGTAGGCTAACTTTGTAGGCAGTGGTCTAAATTGTGCAATTATGTTTTCAGTAATTGCCGCTTTCAAAATGGTATTCACGTCAAGCCACGATGTTGCCAAAGCCTACAGCAGTTGACCGTGATATCTCTTTAATAAATGTGATATCTCTTTAATACATGTGATATCTCTTTATTAAATGTGACCTCTCTTTTATGAATGTGATATATCTGTAATAAATGTGATCTCTCTGTAATAAATGTGATCTCTCTGTAATGAATGTGATCTCTCTGTAATAAATGTGACCTCTGTAATAAATGTGATATCTCTTTAATAAATGTGATCTCTCTGTAATAAATGTGATATCTCTTTAATAAATGTGATATCTCTGTAGTAAATGTGATATCTCTTTAATAAATGTGATATCTCTTTAATAAATGTGATATCTCTTTAATAAATGTGATATATCTTTAATAAATGTGATCTCTCTGTAGTAAATGTGACCTCTCTGTAATGAATGTGATCTCTCTGTAATAAATGTGACCTCTGTAATAAATGTGATATATCTTTAATAAATGTGATCTCTCTTTAATAAATGTGATCTCTCTGTAATAAATGTGATCTCTCTTTAATAAATGTGATCTCTCTTTAATAAATGTGACCTCTCTGTAATAAATGTGATCTCTCTTTAATAAATGTGATATCTCTTTAATAAATGTGATCTCTCTGTAATAAATGTGACCTCTGTAATAAATGTGATCTCTCTGTAATAAATCTGATATCTCTTTAATCATGTGATATCTCTTTAATAAATGTGACCTCTGTAATAAATGTGATCTCTCTGTAATAAATGTGATATATCTTTAATAAATGTGATCTCTCTGTAGTAAATGTGACCTCTCTGTAATAAAAGTGATCTCTCTGTAATAAATCTGACCTCTCTGTAATAAATGTTTTTTTTGGGTTAGATTTCATTAATACAAATGCGTCGTTAAACCAAAAACGTTTACAATTCGAGTACGACATTACGCTGGTGGCTGCAACCAGCTTCATGAGGCTATTAGCCAGAATTGTGAATAAAGTCTTCCTGCCTCGGTCTTAAATAGAGGGGTAAAGGTGATGTCATCACTGTGGACCTATCTACCTAGAGCTTGCATAGAATCGCAAGGACCCCATGCTCTGGGAGGAGCCACACTGGGGTTCAAGTTGTGCTCTAGCCGATCGCTGCTGAAGTCGCAAGGGCATTCAAGCTCATCCGTCGTACGATGGTGCAATAGTTCACATGATAACCTGGAGTGAACGGGGATATGTCCTGTGTTTCAGCGACCGCTATTACAACATTCCTCCTCTGGACCCGGACACCCTCGATATATTCCACAATGTGCAAGAGGTCACAGGTATGCCCGCTTCTCATTGTGGCATTATCTTAGTCTTGTCGGATTTTGGCAATGACAGACGATGCTTCGACAGTGGTTAAATGTTTGCCCTGATGTACTCCTGTACACAAGTACTATATATAGACAGCACACTGGATATCATTACTTCCTTGACAATGTGAATAATGTTAGGGGTATAATGCCTGGCATTGCATTAAATAGCATGTCTTGATGAAGTAAAAAAAAACGTTTTCATACGGTGTTAAACTTAACTTTTGTCGGAATAAAATGTGGTATTCATTATAATGAGTGTGGTATATTCACTGTAAAGAAATTTGTCTATCTTGGGCTCAACGGTAATCAAGTGAGTTCATGTAAGAGTTGTCCAGCATGCGACCATCACTGATGAAATGAACGCGAACTCATTGTTGTCTCGTGATCTCACTCGTCGGCTTTGAAGGTTACCTCAACATTGAAGCTTGGCCAGAAAACAGGACAGACCTGAGCGTTTTGGAGAATCTGAGGACGGTGAGAGGCAGGGACACCAGACGGTGAGACTGCTGGCCCACGTCAGAAGAACTTTAAGCCACGTGTGGCCATTCACTGGACTGGCCGTTTCATCTCAGTCATGCTGTATTCAACCACCACACTGCAGCTTGCTCACACACTCACCTGATCGTACACACCCTCACCACACTGCAGGTCATGACAACACGCCCACTCACTTAAGCGATCACTCACACACTCACAAGATCATGCACTCACTAACGCATCTACTCACCTACTCACTCACATCCAAAGATAAAGACAAAGATTCCCCCGTATAGCCTTAATAGACTGTTGCGGCGAGTACTGTTAGCGAGCACCTATGAAGGCCTGAACGGTGCGCATCGGGGTAGGTGGCCAGCACCACGCCCAACATCCTTTGTCTCCCCAGTGGCAATGTTTACACACCACACCAGGTACTCATTTGAGGCTGAGTCGACCCAGGGGAGGCCCAGGACCGGTTGAGATATTTGCCACCGAATATCTGAACCATTATCCCGTACGTTGGCAGGTGTTGCCTTTTTTATTACAAGGAGTCCTCTACTTATGAATATTTGACTTATGAACTTTCAGAGATACGAACAAACCTATGGTCCAGTTGCCTGATTGGACTGAGAGTCGTAAGTCCAACCGCCGCGCAATAGACGGTGGTGGTTGTTTGGTGTCATTGCCCAGCATTTCTGCCTGGGCCGCCGTCATTGTCTGTTGTTGCGTTGTCGTTGCGCGGTTCACTCCGACGTTCTCTGCTCTTTTCACGAACATTATTAACCCCCATCATATCTCAGAAGCGTAAGAGTGGTGAAAGTGTGGAAGGTGGCAGTAAGAAGAACCAGAGGCATCTACATCTACATGAGATTATACATTTTTTTAAAGCCATTCCCACGTGTTTAGTGTACACGCCGTACGACACGTTTGGAATCGACGGGAGTAAAGTTGGACTTACGAACAAATCCACTTACGAACAGACCTGGAACCTAACTCGTTCGTAAGTAGAAGAGTCCCTGTATTTATATCGACTTAGTACTCTAATTCCAAACACCGCGGGCTTGGTCTTCATCTCTATCCACAGTTTGCTAGCTACCCACGCTGCGTTTTACCATCTCACACCATGTTCCCCAATTTGCACGCCCGGATTAAGTTTTGGAGACAGGTGAACTTCCCATGATTTTGCGATGGAATTGAACTGTTGACCTGTGGACCGCAAGTCCAGCGTGTTAACCTTTGCACCACTGGGCTACATCTGGACTTAAGTAAACCATCTAGGAAACAATTCTGGCGTTTACATGTATTGCTGGTCCATAAGTCACTCTTGTTCATGCAAGGTCATGCTTGCAAATGAGAATAATCCATGTCTCTTGACTTCTCGTCTGGTCTAACAGTATACACTTGAAGAATGCTCGGGATTTCGGGGAAGGGTAAGGCTAGGGTTTGGTATAGAGCAACATTGTACTTGAGTATGTGACGTTATTATTATTTCGGCATACTCAGGAAAAAGGAGGATACGTTGGATGAGTCACGTGTATGTGTGTGCGGGATGGAGGACAGGAGGACACTGAGACAGGCACTGCAGTGGGATCCAAAAGCCAAAGAGGAACATTCAGATAGCGGCGGTGAGAGGCCTGCCTTTGACTCTGCCACAGCTGCGAGGTCGAGCAAAAGGGAAGGAAGCGTCGCCGGGGAGGGAGTGGTCGCATCAAAGGATTCACCTTGACCCCAGTACCCGCGGTCAATACTTCCCCACACTTCGCATTCACGCTCCATTGGGACGGGCTTCATCGTTGACAAAAGCGGACACGATGCACTTTGGTCAAGGACATTGCACGAGGGTGAACGGCGCTCGGTTTCCCTCGGAGGAATGTGTCGCTGCGACTCACCTGTCATCGCCACCATTCTCATCGGCGGTGTCTGGTCGTTATGCGTTACTGCACGTATGTGAAGAGCTTCCAGGTAACTGCTACAGTGCATCCAATTTTTTGTTTTGTTTCAACATTATTTGGGTCCAGTTTATATTCGACGAGTTAATATTTGGTAATTGTGTCACTTGTGTTAGGATTATTAATGTAATGATTATTTAATCGTAATGGATTTCAAAATATATGTCCACATTTATATCGGTATTTCATTGATTATTTCCTGGTAATGGCCCTTTGATGTCTACTTACTGGACTTGTACTGTAGGATAAGTATGTACGTTGAACTTCTTTCGCACCACCATACGTAGCCAACCGTGCTAATCGGAGGTGCAGGCGATAAGATCACACGGTTATTGGCGAGCATGAGGGAGGGTTACAAAGGAGCGGACGGGCTGGGCATTGATTCTTAAGAGCTTTCTTGAGGGCATTTAGGCCCCACGCCCCCCCCCCCCAGTTTTCTCCCCCCCCTCCCCTCCCTGTTTTTCCCTTCTCCTACAGGAGAGCTTATGAAGACGCCAGGGGGTTGTCGAGTTTATCGAAACAGTTGAGACATCGCGGTTGTAGACAGGCTTCCACTGCAATGTAATCCGTACTGTGTTTGTTCTTGTGTCGAACCCTGTTCATATCCTCTGCGTTGTCTACCTGATGTCGTTTTGTCAATAAAATACTTTTGGAGAAAAAAAAAGAGCGAAAGGAGCCATTCAGCTCCGTGCGGCTGCCTAAGTTGTGAGCAGCGGATCAACTCTAGAATCTCATTCTCATCGAGGTGCCCCTCGAAGCATCCCAGTGAATCTGCTACCACACCAATTAGTTGTGTTTATTTATTTCAAAACGACACTTCTGTTATTTCTCCTACTTATACCTCTTGATATTTATTTAAATTCCCGTACAGGATGCGTGTTTTCGAGGTGGCTTGCACTCGAATTAAATAAATGTGTATCGCTCATCAATCGGTGGTTGCTGTGAACAAGTCGTATGTTTGTTGAGCTTCTCTCTTACCACCGTACGTAGCCAACCATGCTATTCGGAGGTGCGAGTTGTTGAAGATTTGTTTTTCAAGGGTAATTAAAAAAAATGTTACGTGAGTTCATGATGTAAAAATATCTATTGCCAACGTGTGTCGTGTACCCTCCCCCATGCCAACGTGTACGGCACACATTGGCATTTCACTGGCACGATTTGACCCGGAAAACTATTATTTAACGCAACTGTATTTTATATTTTCGTTTTTTTTTTTCCCCCAGCGGCTATTCCTTCCTGGTGTCCAACCTGCCGCACATAAAATCGCTGAGCTTCCAGTCTCTGGAGGAGATCAGCGAGGGCGGCATTTTCATTCGACGGAACAGGAACCTCTGCTTCCACAACACGGTCAACTGGACCCGCCTGCTGAGGTCAAGTCGCCCGCACCTGCTCTACGACCCGCCCAAAGACAACTGCAGTGAGTGCAGCCCCTGCAGCCGGAGGGTCACGGGGTCACAGTGGCCAGAGGCGGATCTAGAAACTTCCCAAGGAAGGGGGAAGGGGCAGTCCCAACACTTTCTCATTGGGCTCTACAATAATAATAATACAAAGCATTCCATTCCACATCATTAGACCTCCTTTGCCAGTACCAAAATATAATAATAGGGTTTTTCTCTTTTCTGGCAACAAAACTGAAACCTTTTACAAGGAATCATGTGTGCATTAACCACAATAGTTGTGGTCAAAATGCAAACAAAAAACACACTAATATATGCATTTCCTTGAAATTGAATGGTCCACACCAGAGACGGCTTTCTTTTGAGCCTCGTTTCATCCCATTCCTATTCTTATATTTTGGAACTGGCAAAGGAGGTCCCATGATGTAGCATTCCATTGATTTCCTGTGGTGAATATTATTAAAATACCAACGTTTGGGGTCTCAAGGCAGGGGGCTTTTTCCCCCATGCCCCCCCCCACTCCACCCTTTGGATCCACCACTGACCATGGTCAAGGCTGTTGATGCAATCACATCTCGCCATTGTTTCCTTCTGTCAAAACCCATACATCCTCGGGACCGGTTTTGACATTTTAAGTCGCATCAGCAGAGTCTCATGAGCTTATAATCTGCATTTTTTGGCAATCTGGCGGTTTGTGTACAATGTGATGACCTGTTTTTTTCGGCCGCCTTCAGAGTTCTATTTGAAAAGCAACAGCAAAGCTGATAAAAGGTGCCGTTCACCGATTGGTTATTTTCCTTCACGCATGCCGTGGTCTGCAGCGACCTCACCGAGTTATTGATTAAGCACCGCTCGCTTAGGGCGTTTTACCGCATTGGACCATCTCCGTGAATTCCTCTCGTGCACCCGTAGTCGCACTGAATGTCTGGCCAATAATGCCGCGAGGGAATGGGGAGCCTATAAACGTTCGAGGCAGAGTTGTAAACACGCTGGTTTCAGTGTTTTTTTTTCCGTAGTTGAAGCACAATACAGGAGTGTGTATGTAGTGAATGGTATATTACAAATTACACATTTAAGGATGGCCGTGGCAATGGCAGTGAATAACTACGGGATGTTAGCGATGCCTTGCTAGATGAGTCGTGGTCAAATTGCATATTTTTGTATTTATTTTATTTTATCCAGAAAAGCTTAATTGCATCTCAAGACTCCTTGCAAAGGGATGTTTGGCATATTCCATTTTTATTGGAATCAGAATATGTATTCATACTGGAGGAATCCGATGAGCTATAAGCTCTTGCAAGAATAGGGGTTTTTCCCCTTTTTTTTCTGGCAACAAAACTGAAACCTTTTACAAGGATTCATGTCTGCATTAACCACAATACCTGCAGTCAAAATGCAAACAAAAAACATACTATGATAATATATGCATTGTCCTTGAAACTGATTGGTCCACACCAAGGGACAGCTTTGGAGCCTAGTCTCGAAGTATTAGACCAGAGAACGCCGAAAGCAATGTACACTTAGTTCGCCCAACCTCGCAGACGTCGTGAAATGAGAGGATTCTAGGTGAGAGGGGTTTTAACTGCTCGTGAAAACGCCAAAAGGCTATTGGCGTCATCTTGTCGAGCACCAATTGGGTCGAGGCTCAAAAGAAAGCCGTCCCTTGGTGTGGACCAATCAGTTTCAAGGACAATGCATATATTATCATAGTATGTATTTTTGTTTGCATTTTGACTGCAGGTATTGTGGTTAATGCAGACATTAATCATTGTAAAAAGGTTTCAGTTTTGTTGCCAGAAAAAAGGGGGGAAAAAACCCTATTATTATATTTTGGTACTGGCAAAGAAGGTCTAATGATCTATAAGCTCTTGTTCACAGATGTCCAGTATGGGCGGGTAAGAACGCTACAGCAACACACGGTACCAAAACACGACTGTAGAGTGACAGCCAAAGTGACATCTTTGGAGGAGAATAAGACCAACCGTCGAGATGGAGCAGGGTGACATCAGTCAGCGTGTAGGATCGAGATGGGTCGGTTGCACCATTAGTGGCAGGAAGGAGTATTGATAGTGCACATGGCAATGGGTAGACGTGGGTAGAATAGTTCACGACGATGCTCAGGGAAGTGTAATGTTGAGTACATTGCGTGAATCAGAGGCTTGAGCTACGGACGAATTCCTTGGTTGATCGCCTGGACACGCCGTTCAAACGAGATGTTTCATCTCGAGGGATTTTTGGGGGTTTTCGTTGAAATATTTTATTTAATGAAACACAAAGTGGAGAGAGCCAATTGGTGTGCATTGTTGTCTAATTGCGATGGTTAATCATTCACATGACAGCAGTGAACGAGAAACCGGCGTCGTTTTACAATTTCTGTCTTATTATTATTATTATTATCCATAATAGAGGTTTTTGTTCTTGGGTTCGATCACGTGAATATAAATGTGTCATTAAACCCGTCACCACCCGACACAGCCAATTCGTAAGGCTTGTCACGTAAATGAAATGTGTCAGTTAGTTACTAGTACTGCACACCGGTTGTGTGTTGGAGAGTAAACCCACAACATTTACAATTCGAGTACCGTGACGTTTCGCTGGTAATTACAACGACCATCATCAGGCGATAGCCAGAATTGTGGAGAATTCCTCCTGTTTTGGCCTTACAAATGACACAATGATTATTATGCGATCTAACCCCCCACAAAAACGAAACCTCTATTATGGATAAACCATTCTTGTTGTTATTTTGTACAAAGAGCAACGGACGCCACTGCTGTGCGTGTGACCGGCCAGGCAAAGAGGGCTACGTCTGCGACGCCCTGTGCTCGGCAGAGGGCTGCTGGGGCCCCGGGCCCATGCAGTGCCTCAGCTGCAAGTTCCACAAGCGTGGGAAGACGTGCGTGGAGTCCTGCAGCGTGCTTGACGGGTACGGTCGCGGCTCCACCGCAGGGGAAGCCCCTTCCCCGCGAGGGGAGACTGGCCGGGTGGCTCAGCGGTGCGAGCGAGGGGCCTCGCGGTCGCAAGGCTGCGAGTTCAAGTCCCAGGTTGGCGGGTTGACTCGGCCCATCAACCCTCCAGCGATGATGAAAACGAGTGCCCTCTTTGTGGGCATGTCTATAAACTAAACTACGGTCTGTTCTCCTAGAACGCGGTACCGTATTTGCCTTCCTGAAGAACACCACATTATGGAAAAATTGCGTTATAATAAATCATATAAAATATGTGAAATGCGTACGCAGGCTGAACAAAGACTGAGGCACGTGGGTAGCATATAAAAGCATCCAGCAGCATCCCGTCTTGTGTGATGCTATGCCGAGGCAGCCGTACGACCGCTTATTGCTACTGGCACGATGCAGTTATCTTCACTCAATCACATTCGTTGCATTATATCCAATTCGTAATATGAAAACACGAGTTATAGGAGAACACTGTATAAACTAAACTATTTTTTTATTTTACCAGGAAAGGCCCACTGAGTTATGTGGCTCCTTTATAGAAGCGAACTAGGCACAAATGATAGCTCAACAAAGTGGCTCATCACGTGGAAATGTATAGCAGCCGAATACCATACACGCACGTTGATTCCACCACCTCCTGTCAATGACAGTTGCCCTTTGGATGGAGTCGCCACCACCTTAGGGATGTGATATTTGCACCACTGGCTCAAGGCTGCGAACAGGGGGATAAGCACTGAATCGGTCTATGAGAGCCACCAACCCTTGCCTGTAGAGCGTTGGATACGTGTCTGTGCTCAACAACGATTCCTCATATTCTTAGCTCTTTCGGTAAAGTCACGTTGAAGGGAAACAATAAAATAATAATTATATATATAAAACAAAAAAAATTCTCACGACGTTTCGACCATAACACAAACGGTCGTCATCAGGTGTGTCGACCGTTTGTGTTATGGTCGAAACGTCGTGAGAATTTTTATTGTTTTATATATATTTTATTGTTTCCCTTCAACGTGACTTTACCGAAAGAGCTAAGAATATGAATTACTGCAGTCACGAAAGCTTTAAATCAAAATTTAACGATTCCTCAATTTGGCATCATATGTATTCAATTTATCAGTACCCAACTAAGCCTTGATGAATACAAAATCAAGGATCCATAACAAAGGTGTTTTTGGGTTAGATCGCATAAATATATAAATGTGTCGTTAAAATCCGCCACCACCCGACACAGCCAACTAGTAAGGGTTGTCACGTAAACAGAATGCGGCCAATTCGTCACTAGTACAGCACACCGGTGTGTTGGAGAGCCAAGCCACAACATTTACTAACTGAGTACGACGTTTCGCCAGTAATTACAACTAACTTCATCAGGCGACAGCCAGATTTGTGGAGAAGTCTTACTGTTTCGTTCCTTATTTAGAGGCGTAGATGTGTTGACCACCCTTCTGCGCTCTTGATTCCATCTATCACTCGGCCTTAAGATTTGCATTGAACTGCCCATATAGGACTCACCACTGTGATCTCTACATTGGGTCAAACTTAACATCTCTTAATGTTCGACGGCTTGTACACCAGATCTTATTTATTCACGATGTACTTACAAAAAAATCCGCAGACTACCTGCTGGATCTCCTCTCTGTTTCAAAGAACAAATTTGACCTCAGGTCTTCGCTCATCTACCAGCTTCACATTCCCTATTGCCTAACAAAAACCGGAGGAAGGGCCTTTGCTATTGATGCCCCCAGGGTCTGGAATGTTATTGCCAATAAACTGCAACTTGAATCACTACCTATGAGATCTTCACTAAAAACTGCTCTAGAGGAGTTGTACACCCCTAGCTGCCACTGCTATTCAGTGGCCTAAAATAAAATAAAATGTTTCGCTCCGGATGACCGCTGCAAAGTATTATCTGTATTTTGATTTAGTGTGCTGATCTTAAAGGTGCATTGAAAAATGTGATACTCCGACTGATGCTCCTGTTGTTTGTGGAGTGACTCATGCAGCCAGCTATGGCTCTAGGGTTTGGTGTTACATGTTATTGATGTAGTTTATTGTTAAAAATTCGGTCACAGTTCCAATGATCACTGTTACATTGCATTTATGGCTTTATTTTGGTGATTTCTAAAAGTTGTTTGGTTTGGCCATGTTTTTGTTTATTGTAGTACGGAGTTAGACTGATGGCCTTAATCTAAGTTTTCTTGTTGTTGTTGTTTGACTTGCATCCCACTGGGATTTTTGCACACAGCGTTGGTCTGCGGTGCTATTTCATGAATATTTTGATGTTATTTCCTGGATTTTCTTTTAGCACAGTCACATAGTAACTTTAAGATGTTTTCTTGTTCATGTTTTTGTTTTCTTGTTTGTTGCGGTTGCACCCGATTCAAGAGCCGAATGGCTCACAGGGCTATACCAAATAAATTAAACTATGAAACTATGAAACTCTTGCACAATGATGGGAGGGGGGCGGGATTACTGAGGCAACGTACATTATGCATGTGCATTATGCGAGCCCTTTGAACTTGTCCTTCCTGTCTATTGTGTTTATTAAAATAGCCCTACCAACGGCAATCCTTATTGAAGTACGCTGCCCTTTGTAGGCATGCATTTAAATAATGTATTATTTGATGATTCGCTTCCACGTAACACTAAGACGGTAGCTATCCGAATGGTTAAAGTTATTTTGATTTCTTTCAATTTCGATTGATTCTCTAATTAGCCTTGGCCAGTCGTAGCTAGTTTTGCACAAAACTTCAACATTATCAAAATCAATTGAGTGTCTTTGTTGGCACGGGTGTTCTGCTACTGCTGACAGTTGCATTTGGGAGAATTTAATATTTATCTGATGTTCTTTTAGTCTCGTGCTGATCATTCGTCCTGTTTGCCCAACATAACATTTACAGTGAGGGAAAAAAGTATTTGATCCCCTGCTGATTTTGTACGTTTGCTCACTGACAAATAAATTATCAGTCTATAATTTTAATGGTAGGTTTATTTGAACAGTGAGAGACAGAATAACAACAACAAAATCCAGAAAAACGCATGTCAAAAATGTTATAAATTGATTTGCATTTTAATGAGGGAAATAGGTATTTGACCCCCTCTCAATCAGAAAGATTTCTGGCTCCCAGGTGTCTTTTATACAGGTAACGAGCTGAGATTAGGAGCACACTCTTAAAGGGAGTGCTCCTAATCTCAGCTTGTTACCTGTATAAAAGACACCTGTCCACAGAAGCAATCAATCAATCAGATTCCAAACTCTCCACCATGGCCAAGACCAAAGAGCTCTCCAAGGATGTCAGGGACAAGATTGTAGACCTACACAAGGCTGGAATGGGCTACAAGACCATTGCCAAGCAGCTTGGTGAGAAGGTGACAACAGTTGGTGCGATTAATCGCAAATGGAAGAAACACAAAAGAACTGTCAATCTCCCTCGGCCTGGGGCTCCATGCAAGATCTCACCTCGTGGAGTTGCAATGATCATGAGAACGGTGGGGAATCAGCCCAGAACTACACGGGAGGATCTTGTCAATGATCTCAAGGCAGCTGGGACCATAGTCACCAAGAAAACAATTGGTAACACACTACGCCGTGAAGGACTGAAATCCTGCAGCACCCGCAAGGTCCCCTTGCTCAAGAAAGCACATATAAATGCCCGTCTGAGGTTTGCCAATGAACATCTGAATGATTCAGAGGACAACTGGGTGAATGTGTTGTGGTCAGATGAGACCAAAATGGAGCTCTTTGGCATCAACTCAACTCGCGTGTTTGGAGGAGGAGGAATGCTGCCTATGACCCTAAGAACACCATCCCCACCGTCAAACATGGAGGTGGAAACATTATGCTTTGGGGGTGTTTTTCTGCTAAGGGGACAGGACAACTTCACTGCATCAAAAGGACGATGGACGGGGCCATCTACCGTCAAATCTTGGGTGAGAACCTTCCCTCAGCCAGGGCATTGAAAATGGGTCGTGGATGGGTATTCCAGCATGACAATGACCCAAAACACACGGCCAAGGCAACAAAGGAGTGGCTCAAGAAGAAGCACATTAAGGTCCTGGAGTGGCCTAGCCAGTCTCCAGACCTTAATCCCATTAAGGTCTGGAGGGAGCTGAAGGTTCGAGTTGCCAAACGTCAGCCTCGAAACCTTAATGACTTGGAGAAGATCTGCAAAGAGGAGTGGGAGAAAATCCCTCCTGAGATGTGTGCAAACCTGGTGGCCAACGACAAGAAACGTCTGACCTCTGTGATTGCCAACAAGGGTTTTGCCACCAAGTACTAAGTCATGTTTTGCAGAGGGGTCAAATACTTATTACCCTCATTAAAATGCAAATCAATTTATAACATTTTTGACATACGTTTTTCTGGATTTTTTGTTGTTATTCTGTCTCTCACTGTTCAAATAAACCTACCATTAAAATTATAGACTGATAATTTCTGTCAGTAGGCAAACGTACAAAATCAGCAGGGGATCAAATACTTTTTTTCCCTCACTGTATAAGGAACGAAGTAACCCATAGTAGCAACACAAATATGTAGAAAAATGTAACATTTATATATTGAATAATCTTTACGAAAGTTATCACCTCACGTTACAGAGATGATGCATTAACGCTTTCAAAGTTGGTTGGAAAGCGGTAGAAGATATTAACAACTTCACGCATGAATAGGGAGATCAGTTAGAGATCGATCACAGTAGAACTGTTGTTGTCGTCTGTGAACTTGCACGTGCTTGTGCACATTTGAGCTATATTCTTAGGGTCTTTCGGTAAAGTCACGTTGATAGGTTGAAAAATAATGATAAATAACTACGACGTTTCGATCACAACAAACCGATCGAACAAAGCGATTGCTTTGTTGTGATCGAAACGTCGTAGTTTTTTGTTGTTATTTATTTTTTACCTATCTACGTGACTTTACCGAAAGACCCAAAGAATATGAATTCCTGCAGTCACGAAAGCTTTAAGCCACATTTGAGTTATTGTTCATGGAGCCACGTAGGCCTACTTGGGTGCTATACAGGGGGAGATCTTTGTCATTGCTTTGTCGTTGTGTGCTCGTTTATCCGCCTCTCTGCTGCAGGGACGAGCGCGAGTTTGTGAGTGGCGCTCTGTGCATCGCGTGCCACGCGGAGTGCATGCTCATCAACGGCAGCCTCACCTGCCACGGCCCGGTAACCCGCCACGCACAAAAACCTCTCCTCCTTGCAGGGCCTCTATTTTCACACGGTGCAGGATGGCAGAGTGCTCGGAGGAACTACACATATACGACTCAGTACGGAGAATAAGCAGAAACCTATTTGCTGTACCTCTGACAGGGATATTGAGGCCTCTTCCACAGTTCAGTGTCTCTCACACACACACACGCGCGACTGTGACCCAGGTTACTCTTGCAATTGAGACGATCCTGGTCTCTTGAGTTGTCAACCTGAAACTGAACTACACAATTTCAGTGTGAACCATGATCCTCGCCTACAAGTTACCATCATTATGAGGGGCAGGGCCGGATTGAGGTTCTTGTAAGGCCCTAGGCACTTCTGTTTCGTAGACCTTCAGTGATAACTCTGTACGTTTGCTACCGCTGCCCCATGTTACTACTGCCGCTGTCACTCGCTAAAGCTGATTTTTTTTTAAACTGTCTCCGATCAACCAAAGGATAACAACGCCTTGTTTTCCCTTTCACCACTCTCTATTGAGAATGAGATTGTGCGAAAAACACCATTTGAAGATGTTCTCGGTAATTTTGGAATGAAAACATCTCGACAAGTTAATCTCCGGTGTTAATTTCTCTCACCCTTTTTGAAAGACAAAAAAAAGCCGATTGACGTGGCTCTGCCTCTTTGTATCTACACCGTGGCTGTGTTTGCGATGTAAAATATATTTATTCAAGAAGATGTCTCGGTTACTTTTTTGTTTATCATACGAACAAAGAAAAAAGCATGGCCGTATTTCCTTCATAAGCCCTTTAGTTGTTCTTTGGCCCTAGGCACAGTGCCTACCACACAGTGCCTCCTGTGCCTATTGGGTAATCCGGCCCTGACGAGGGGCCAATGCATTGCGTGATGGGATCATTGTTGACTTTTCATATTTGGAACTCGGTTGTATTGATGCTGGAGGGGAGATGACGAGACCTTCTCATTGTGGGCAGTAAAGCACTCCACCGACGGTGCCACTCAATCTGATTTTAAATAACCAAGGAAAATGTTATTGGAGCGATCGACATTTGCCCTTGAGAGTAGCCCCACTGAGCCCTGCATTATTAGCCCCGAATAGTGGGTTATGCACTCACTACGATTTCCAGTTAATTTATTTCACAGTGAAACATTTACTAAATTAATTATTTTCATACATACGGCGGCGATTATTCTGCATGCCAGTTTGATTTTTATTGTTGAATTTGCCTATTAAGGCCGTTCGCAAAATGACTTGGTACTCTGGGGCTTTTGGCAGGCACGAGTGTTTCGCTGCACGCCGTTTCTGTGGCTGCAGCAGCGAGTGGCCACTGGGCCCATTGAGCGATTATTAAATCAAGAGCAATCAAGTGGATGAAACACATCTGGGGAAGTTGTTTCCTTTAAGGGAGACTGCGACCACAGCCTCTTGCTGCCCTCTTGCTCGGGTATCTCGCGTTCCCTTGCTCTGGAACACGAGATGGGATAGCACGTTGCCTGGTCAAGCATGGGAAAGGTGAAATCCAGCATTCCCGTCACAGGGCCCGGTCTAGGCGTAGTATGTGTAGCATTGTTGACTTGCATAAAATGCTGCTCAGGTTATTGATGTATTCGAGGCCGGGCTCACACCTAGGTTATCAGTTGCGCAACCCAAATTGCTCTTGAAATCGCGCAACTTAATAATTAATCATAATTTCAACTCGTAATGTGCCTGCACAGTGTTTGCTTACTCTGGAAGAGAGAGAAAACAATGATGGGGTGGTGGCACGGGGAACCACAGATGAGCAGGAAGGCAGCCAGGCAGTGAGCCGGTGCCAATTCCCCCCTCCCCCCAAGGTCTGAGGTCCTCTATATATATTTAAATATGTTTATTAGCCAATGAACGAAGGTTTACCTGCGGGAGCAAACCGGAGCACCCAGAGAAAGCTCACACACGCGAGGGGACAAACACCATCCAACACAAGAGGGAACAGGTGGAGCCCACATTTGATGTATTTCTTCTGCTTCCACGGGAACCACGGGAATAGCTGTGCTTGCAGAAGCATCCACGTCAGCGATTCGGTTGCATGCACCCCAATGGCATTCAGTTAAGCCGCTTCGCTGTGGACCCGCCTGTAGGCCGTTTCCCATGTTGTCGTCCAAGACACTGCCCACACCTCGCACTTTGCCGCGGTAAAAGCCCAGGTGTGTCGCAGTATTTTCTGAATCATCGGAAAGGAGAGAGCGTCACTGTTTACAAGCTGGGGCGGACGAACTCCTCCTCCTCCATGACATCCAGTGGCTGATCCAGACCTCACCACCCGCCCTCCCCTCTCAGTTGGTCCCAACGTAGTCCGTCAGTAGACGCCCGTCAGTTCCCAGCCCTATAAATGTCCACGTGACAAGCCACTTCGTTGAGCTATCATTTGTTGCCAGGTCGTTTCTGTAAAATAAGCTAATAGCTCAGTGGGCTTTACCTCGTAAAATAAACATAGCTATGTCGACACATTTTAGTGTTTTGCTTGCCTTTCCTATACTTTACACATTCCTATGATGTTTTAGTATTGTTTGTTGTAACTTTCTGACCCGCCCCGACTGAACATCTGTGAAAAAAAGCTTTATAGCTCATCGGAATCCTCCAGGATAAATCATCTGATTCTGAGTCTGATAAACTCCCTCGGTCGAGCATGCACAGTCGGGCAAACGGCGTGTGCCGTGGAGATCGGGGGAGCCAGAAAGTGACTGCACCGTGGAGTTAACAAAGTTGAGAATCACCGGTCTGGAGAATTAAAGACGTGGCCTCGTGTGTGTAAGAGATCACGCGCTGCCTGTGAGTCGTCTGTGGTGCTAAGAAAAAATGTTTTGCGTAGGGAACAAACTCGTATTTGAATAGGTTAGTCGTAATATTTCACAATTTTCTAGAAAGGTGTTGGATAATAGGTTGCCTCAGGGAAGCAAACTCTCGACCGGTTTCGACAACAAGCTGATGAGACCCAGAATGTAAAAAACTGTTCCAAAAAATTGCGTGCCAGTTTTTTTTTTTGGGCTGACGGTTCTCAGGTGAGGCGGCACTTGAGGAGATGGAAAATGAGAGCTGAAACGTTGCTTTAGGATAATCCCACCCTCGCCTTTTTTGACACTCAAAATTGGCAGTCAATCGCGCCAGGTGTGGTACACATGCAATTTTTTAAAATCCAAACCACAGTGCCTTAATACGCATGACGCAGCTGAGGGAGAACCTTTTTCTGGCTTGGTTTATTCAGTATAGGGCAGTGAATTCCATACATTTAAGACGTTGGTTGTGAATCAATTACTGGTTGTGGGTTATTGCGGATAAGAATTATTGAAGTTATTGACATTCGGGTGACACCGTGGTGGTGGTGGTGGTGGTAGTGCGTGTCACTTCCAAGTTGACACTGTGACATCACGAGCAGTTTTCAGGGTCCACCTGGCCGAGCATCGCCACCTTTTCCACCGTAGACCTAACCCGTACATATTTCTCACTCAGCCTATGTCTATCGAAATTGTGCAGTGGACTGTAAAATAAGTTCAACTCATTACCGGTAGCAGATCTCGGTACGAAACAATTCCTGCCGCCCGAACACAGATGGCTAATTCCTGGACTGTCTGGATCAAACCCGGGCAGGTGACAACCCTAGAGCTGGCCTTAAGTGTGTGGATTGGGTTGAGAAGCAGAGCCCTAGGGGCCCAAGAGTCTGAGTTTCACTAGGCCTCATCTGGTTGTCGTGGGGACACGGCTCTAGTAGCTGAAGCGTGGCCAGCACAGAGCCAGCGCAGTTCCCACTGGCTGTGGGAAGTGATTCATGTAGCAGTGGGTATGCAGAGAACTGAAAATGGTGTTTTTTTTATTGCCCACCCCGATTGTGTGTGAATTGTTGTGGGTGGCTTTAAGGGGGATCAGAGTTTGTTGCCTGCTCGTTCCCTGGCCAAGCCCCTTGCAAGCAGTCGCTCGACTTCACTGTCTGTTCCACATGTGCCAGTCAATTGTGCCGGCCGCGGTATTAGGGGATTGAGCCCTTAAATGTGCGAGACTGGTTTTTCTTCATTTAGGTGCAACCCAGCTTATTTTAAAAGCATTTACGTCAGCCACGGCGGTGTAATTTATATAAAAACAAGAAGTTACAGTGCCAGACAGTATCATATTAGAAATATGTATTGCTTTAAAAAAATATTTGACAGGTATTGTGTAAGTCCACGTACCTATGTCTGTTCTTACCACCTTCCAAGAAAACCTGCACTCACTAGCGTGGTTGAATAACGCACACGACCTAAATGGTGTGGGAAGTACCTCATCCATAAGTGGATCGCCTGCTTTGTATTTGGAGTGCATGTCTCTCTCCCCGTGGTCGTGTGGATTTTTATCTAGGCCCTCCGGTTTTTCCCTCCACATTTAGAATCATCACCATGCGTTTCAAGTATTTGGCTGCGATACATTTCCACATAATGATAAACCACTTCATTGAGGAATCATTTGTGATAGCCAGGTCGTTTCTGAAAAAGAGCTATATACGTAGCTCAGTGGGCCTTACCTAGTAACATATTTTTTTTGTCATAGTTTATTGACCTGTATATATTGTTACAGTCAGGTGGTTAAATAGCTTAAATGAGGGTGGGCGACTGCTCATCCATGAGTTTAGTAAAATGGGGACCACTTTGTGGGGGGATGCCATCCGTAGTTGTCCTTTGGATAGGCTAGCCCCCGATATAGGAATGTGGAATTTCTGCCACTTGGCTCAGGCACGTGAAAAGTTGGTGAGCAGCAATGCAAATCTGAGCAGGAAATCACTTCTGGCTTTCATTGGTCATCGCTGTTCGAACGCACAGCCACCTGTGGGCATTCCACATTCCTTCCCCAGGGTGCCTACGGTCGCTCCGATAGATCACAAAATGCACGGGGAGAGAGAACAGAGGTGAAAGTTCAATGGTTATTTATTCATGGTCACTGTAATTACGGCCCGTTCCGATCATAGGAATCCGTGTCCCCCCCCCACCTCCACTCCGTCACGCACCGGGTTCCTGCGTTTTATTTTTGCCGATTTTTTTTTTCACCGTGCTCCATCCCATTTTCATTTCATGAAAAATCTGGAGACTTAAACCACAGCTGTGCTGCAATGGAAATCTTCCCGTCAATCACCCAAATAGTCTTGACTGTTTTGGGGGAATCGGTGGATTCTTTGGTCGTGCTGGATAACGTTATTTGTGGATGAGCTTATGACAAATAGGAGGGATTCTACGATGTATTTCTCTAACAATGCTTCGTCATTCACCCTGTGGGCTACCAACCTTACGTAATGACCCCAAGCATCCATTTGGATCTCTCGCACAGGAGTGCAACCCATCGTGTTACAGACAACAGGCCACAAGATTATGACAAGAGTTATCTCTGAGTCTGACCAGCATGGAAGGATAGACCAAACACCCTCTAGAATGACTCTTCTAGAGCTCTCTTCTATCGGAAACCCTTCTGCCCACAGTGTCTTCAGAAAGAAAATAGCATGGCTGTAACATTGAGTTTTTTTTACATTGTTTACTGGGCGTAAGGGTGGCGTAGTGGTAGCACATGAGCCTCACAGCAGGAAAATTCCCGGGTTCGACTCCCCACTGGTGCCTTTTGTGTGTGGAGTTTGTCCGTTCTACATCATGGGACCTCCTTGTACCTTCTCCTCCTTCTTATGCATGGGTTTCTACAGGGATTTTACGGTTTCATTCCATAGCTAAAATGTACCTGGTACTAACTTGATTTGAAGCGTTTGTGACTGCAGGAATTACTCTTTGGTTCTTTCGGTAGTCACGTAGAAAGAAAACAAATTAAATAATAAAATACGATGTTTCGATTGCAACGCGAGCAGTCGTCATCAGGTATAACTAAATTTGAGAGACAAAACACAGACACGGAGGCACACAGACACACAAGCACGTGTGTCTCCGTGTCTGTGTTTTGTCTCTCTCTCAAATTTAGTTCTACCTGATGACAATTGCTCGCGTTGCAATCGAAACGTCGTACTATATTATTTATTTTCTTTCTACGTGACTTTACCGAAAGAACCAAAGACTACCACCTGGTACTCTAGAAACATTGCAATAGGGATTACACATGGCAGCAACATTGCCGCCCTTCTGCAAAAAATTGGCAGGAACCCTCCTCCCTGAAATAGAACACAGTATTGAGACTGAGTGAGGCTTTTCTGGACAAACAAATGTAGTGGTAATAATAATAATTCTATAGCTGCATTATATTCAGAGACCAGGGTAGCAGAGTGAGACAGGCTGATTTTCACGAGTGCCAAATGCACAGAGTAATTACAAAAACTACGGAATTCGTTTCAAAAGCCGAGGGGAAATATTTACCTATCCCATACAAGCAGCTTTGACCATGGAGAAAGAGAGGCCAAAGCTACATTTTACGGAACGGATTATTTGGTGATGTTGCTGCTGTTGCTTTTCTTGCACGAGCACTATTAACAAAATAAAATATCAGTACGTTCGTCAATGACACTGTGCGGTCTTCAAAGAAAAAAAATCAGGTGACATTTTGGGGCAATGGCCCTTTTTCCCAGCATATAACTTTTGTTATTTTTTTTGTTGTTAAATATTATGGATGTGGTTTTAAAGTGCCCAGGAACACGCTGCAACGACGACCTGTCGCTACGACTGACTGCACGAGCGATCGCCACACGCTACGTATGCCGCATGCGCACGACCTACTTAGTAACTGTGCATGCACGCAGCAATCGTACGGAGGTTCAAATTCACAGAACGCAGTGGTCGACCACGACACTTGAACCCGTACATTATTACATTGAAGGTCGACCAATAATGCTGACTCTTGCGCGAGGCTTGCGCGATGTAAAACTAAGACGGCGGTAGACGTTTGCTTCCAAGCGGATGATAAGATCGCTCATTATGACACTGGGGAGCAAATGGGTTCGCCATCGCATTAGTCACCGCACCCTGCACCACCAATACATATAACACGTATAATGTAACAATTCAACTCATTTATTCATGAACAGATCAGAAAGCCTCAGTAAGGTGCAGTATCTCTTGCTGGGGGGGGGGGGGGGGGGGGCAGGATGGGACATCACAGCTTGAATAATTAGCTATCCTCGCACTTGCGTAACACGCAGAGGTTACACGGGTAGGGCTGAGGGCGATGTACGCGCGATCCGGCCAGGTGGCTCAAGAGCGAGCGACTCACAATCGGCAAGGTTCATTGCGTACGTACGCTTTACCGGCCGATATTATCATTCGTATTTCGTGTTTTGGGACAGGTAGTGTGGGGATAAAGCCGATTAAAGCTGTGCACTCTCCATCACCTGACACAACCAAACAAATGAATTTGTCAAAAGCGAGGAAGATTTGACAATTTTGCTTGTTTTTTCAATATACAGTTGAGGGAAAAAAAGTATTTGATCCCCTGCTGATTTTGTACGTTTGCCCACTGACAAAGAAATGATCAGTCTATAATTTTAATGGTAGGTTTATTTGAACAGTGAGAGACAGAATAACAACAACAAAAATCCAGAAAAACGCATGTCAAAAATGTTATAAATTGATTTGCATTTTAATGAGGGAAATAAGTATTTGACCCCCTCTCAATCAGAAAGATTTCTGGCTCCCAGGTGTCTTTTATACAGGTAACGAGCTGAGATTAGGAGCACACTCTTAAAGGGAGTGCTCCTAATCTCAGCTTGTTACCTGTATAAAAGACACCTGTCCACAGAAGCAATCAATCAGATTCCAAACTCTCCACCATGGCCAAGACCAAAGAGCTCTCCAAGGATGTCAGGGACAAGATTGTAGACCTACACAAGGCTGGAATGGGCTACAAGATCATTGCCAAGCAGCTTGGTGAGAAGGTGACAACAGTTGGTGCGATTAATCGCAAATGGAAGAAACACAAAAGAACTGTCAATCTCCCTCGGCCTAGGGCTCCATGCAAGATCTCACCTCATGGAGTTGCAATGATCATGAGAACGGTGAGAGATCAGCCCAGAACTACACGGGAGGATTTTGTCAATGATCTCAAGGCAGCTGGGACCATAGTCACCAAGAAAACAATTGGTAACACACTACGCCGTGAAGGACTGAAATCCTGCAGCGCCCGCAAGGTCCCCCTGCTCAAGAAAGCACATATAACATTTTTGACATGCGTTTTTCTGCATTTTTTTATTATTCTGTCTCTCACTGATCTTGTCAATGATTTGTTCGCTGACAAACAACAACCAGGCGACGAGAATATTTGTTTGTGTCGGGTGGTGGAGGGCGCATATATCTCATGGACATTTTACTCGCACGACTGAAACCGAACAGCGAATCAATCAGAAGGTTCAAATCGTCGTTGGGGGTTGACTTAGCCCATCATCCGTCCGGGATTGATTAAATGAGTCATCGCTTCGTGGGGAAGTCAACAGTGATGGTCCGATGGATATACTCAGGCCCGCAATAGGAATGGGGAATCTCTGCCACTGGCTCAAGGATGTGAATAGGAGATAAGGAGATGCCTGAATGCTCATTTAAGTAGGACATCTCTTTGATGTGACTATTGTACATGCTGTGTGGTGGTCACATGACATGCATGCATGGCACGATGGAAGTCATGCCTTCCTGCTGTCTAACAGAAAATATTTTTGCGTTGTTAAATTTAGACGTGAACATTAAACAAGAGAACAGCATCTCAGTTACCAAGGTGGTGTTAAAGTAAAGTCACGTGTAATTTCAATCCAAGGGTGATATACAATTAAACGTATTTGTATGACGTTTTGATGTTGGAGGAGCTCACTTTGATCAAATGCACGAATACAAATTCTCACACTTATTGGAAATGTTTGCGTACAGACACAACAATGTTTGATTAAACGATATAGCCCCAGCACAGGACATACAGTAAGTGACGAGAGACGTATTCTGAGTGGTTTTGTACATCGGGTGTCCTGTTTTATCCAGATGGTGTTGGCTTTGAAGATACAAACACACATTATAGCATGTTTGAACACCCAAGCGCTAGATCATTCCAGTGCTTGGTCTCTTGTCTTCTTGTTTGTTCTCACACCACGCCCCTTCTCTCTTCTCTTGAACACGTTGCTGTATTTTTCCTACTTGCCTTGTTAATGCCCCTTCCAATGCACACCACCCTACCGTTTACGGCGTCGCATGGATGAATCCCTCCCATAAAACTCTTTTACCCCCCCCCCGCCCCCCGTAATTGTCTTACCTCCGTGTCATCTCTCCACGCACTAAACGACCCCCTCCCCCTCCCTCCCCCGCTTTCAACCCTCACCACCCCAAACTCCTCGATTTACCCGAACCCCGAATCCCAATTCCCGACCTCCTCCCAACCCCGCCGCCGCCACTTTCCCCCGCTCCGGTGAACCCTGGCAGGGTCCAGACAATTGCACGCGGTGCCGTAACTACAGGGAGGGCCCTCACTGCGTGGGATTCTGCCCGGAGGGAGTTCCAGGGGAGTCCGGCGAGCTCATCTACAAATACCCGGACGAGGACGGCGTCTGCCACCCGTGCCATTACAACTGCACGCAAGGGTGAGCAGTGGACGCGCGCTCGGCCGGAGCCTCGGTGGTTCCTTGGTCGTCCACGTGGGACACTCACGTGGACGGCTCCAACTGTAGAGATACACGTTCGGTAGCGCAGTGCAGAATTACTTTTATATCGCAGCACTCTCGTGCGCAGTCAACATTCAGGAATGCAGGCTTTGTGAGAAATCAAGTTTTAGTCGGCTGATGAGGCGGATTCGCTTCGATCAGAACAATTGATCAGATTAAGAAGTACCACACTTGTATAAGTAAACTGTCCTTTGCAGTATAACAAAATGAGAACTTCCAAACCAGATTGAACAACTTTAGATGTTATCAATGAACTGGGAACAGATGTTGATTCAAAATGACCAGGCGTATTTAATGTTTACATAAAAATTAAATGCCTCGATCATTCTTTAATTTAAAGATAAGGCAGCACTGACTGGAAAAAGTATAGACCTGTCAAATATACATACATGGAATAATGGGCAATCAATGATGCCAGCAAGCTGTGTTTAGGGAATATCTGCCATCATCGACCACACAACATTTATATCAAATACGATCACACGTAGCCTTTGTAGACTATGAAGAAGAGACATTTCACTCAAAGGAAAGTGATGTATTAATTAAAGTCCTTGCAACCAAGGTGTAGATGAGGATGAAGACGCTGGATCTTTATAGAGAGATGTAGGCTGAGATAAAGGGGAAGGTCTTAACCCATTGATCGAAGGCCTTGGTTCTTGAAATAAAGGGCACAGGGTAGGGAGTAGCATGAGATGTATGACGAACTTCTTTCGCACCGTACGTAGCTAACCATGCTATATCGGAGGTGCGGGGGAAGGACAACAAATATGAGATGAGATTGGAGAGGTAGGCAGGGCCAGGTCCATGGAGGATTCTATTTGGAGCCAGTGGCATTTGATGAATCTCGAGGCAATGTGGTTACAGGTTCAGGTAACAAGTGCAGCCACGGCATTCTGGACCATTTAAGAGATTTGCTGTGAGGGATTGATTGGGGGAAGCCATTGCAGAGTGGCAACAGTGAAGGGAAGAGGTGACACGCAGGCAAGGATTAAGATAATTATTTTTGACTTTCATAAAGCCTGTCTTCGCCAGGCAAAAGTGTTCAATAAATATAATAATGAACCTGATATGATTTTTTTTACAATTTTTATCTACGATCAGACGCTTACAACGACTCCAAAAAAAATTTCTACAAAAAAAAAAATTGTTGACAACTTGATTAAACATCTTATATTTAAAAACGTAGCCATCGGAAACCGTTCAACTGAAAGATTCCGTTATATTTTTTATTAAGAACAGAAATGATTGAAATTAATACTATATGAGGGGATGCTCCTATCTTTTATTAATTTCGAATTATTCAAATTTGAACATCATAAAATGCGTATTTTTAGTTCAAAGCCGCTTTAATCCTAAATATCTCAAAAACAATAAAATATAGAATGGTTCTCGCTTTAATTTTACTTGCTGTTTAACACTCTATCAAACGAAAACACCGCAATGTTATATTTTGAACGGTTTCTGAATGACACGAACAAACATGTCTATGGGGCACTTAAAATCGAGATTTGGAGGCCTTAAAATGAAAAATCTCGGATTTGCAGAACTTTTCCTGTTGTTTGTGTCCTAAAAGCTACCTATATTACCAAAGTTCGGCCTTCTATCTTGTCAGGAAGTACCCTGGATGTTTTTGAGCTGCAGATTAAGATAATTTTCGATTTAAAGCTTTCGTGACTGCAATGATTCATCTTCTTTGGTTCTTTCGGTAAAGTCACGTAGAATGAGAATAAAATAATAAATTGATAAAATAAAATAACACAATAATATTCTCACGACGTTTCGGCCACAACACAAGCGGCCTTCATCAGGTGAAGGGACGAGACTGTCTCCAGCGCTGTCCTACCAGACAGTCTCGTCCCTTCACCTGATGAAGGCCGCTTGTGTTGTGGCCAAAACGTCGTGAGAATATTATTGTGTTATTTTATTTTATCAATTTATTATTTTATTCTCATTCTACGTGACTTTACCGAAAGAACCAAAGAAGATTAAGATAATTATTTATATAGATAAGCGGTGAATGTCAAAACGCCCAACAATTATTTGTAATGCCGCATTACAAATCATTGTTTTAAGAGCAGCGTCCGCTGTTCTTAAAACAGGGGGTCACAAAACTTACGCTTTGACGTTACTCATTCAGGACCGACTTGTATTCAAATGTTTAGTTTTTTTGTTACCGAATTCGAAGAAAATGGCTCTTCTTGTTATTTCGCTCTATAATCTTATATCCATAGAGAGACCAGCCCTTCCCACGCGAACCAAATTGACTTGATTAATTTAAACAATTATTTTAATTACGTGCGTTATTCACCGTAAGACTATCGCCAAACTAACCTCCGCTGTGCGTGCTTTTCTACGACGTGTCTCTGTGTGTCATGGGGCTTGTGCTCCATCAGATGCGTTGGGCCCACTCAAGAAGACTGCAAGGGACCATCGTACCTGCCCAGGTAACGGCGGATTCACACAGCGTCTAAAACATTCCGAATTCATACTCTTTGGGTCTTTCGGTAAAGTCACGTAGTAGATAGAAAGATAATCATAATTTAAAAAAAAAACCCCACGACGTTTCGAATGCAACACTAGCAATCGTCTTCAGGTGAAAAAATGCAGCAGGCTGAGGCAGGAAAAATACCGCAGCAAGAGCACCCGATCAGATGAGCCTTCTTGTCTCGAAGTCTGTTAAAAGATCTAATCGTTGTGTGGAAACCCTCCCCGTAGAGGCGGTTAAATATTGACTTAAAGCTTTCGTGACTGCAGGAATTCATACTCTTTGGTTTCTAGCCACTGTGATGATGATGAGAGACGCAAACTCTAAATATACAGCAGCAGGCATCGTCAGGGTCAGGATCGAACCCACGACCTCCTGTGTACCAGGCGAGGTGGTCAACATCTCCTAGCCACTGTGATGATGATGATGAGAGAGACGCAAACTCTAAATATACAGCAGCAGGCATCGTCAGGGTCGGGATCGAGCCCATGACCTCCTGTGTACCAGGCGAGGTGGTCAACATCTCCTAGCCACTGTGATGATGATGATGAGAGAGACGCAAACTCTAAATATACAGCAGCAGGCATCGTCAGGGTCGGGATCGAACCCATGACCTCCTGTGTACCAGGCGAGGTGGTCAACATCTCGACACGGAGTGGCAGCCAAAGGAGAGAGCGCCTGACAGGATGTCCTCCACGGAGATGAAAACGATGACATTAGCTGGTGTATGTGTAAGATTATTGGATTGATTTGAACGTCACCTCTAAAGGCCTGATAGGCGCAGATGAACACGAGTAACGCCTGTAGGCTTCTTTGCTTTAAGAATAAAATATATATTGTCCCCCACTCCACTCTCCCCCCCCCCGGCATGACCTGGATTCCTGCCCAGTAAAGGTGCACCCTACTGGGGTCAGATACTAGGCCGCGATGGGTAGGGGAACGAGGAGGTTGGGAATGTGGAGAGCGAGGGCTAGGGTGGGTCCGTCAAAACGAAAATAACCAAAAGATTAATAGTTTTGCGTTAGATCGCGAAAGTATGAATGTTGTGTCGTAATCCTCCACCACCCGACACAGCCGGTAAGGTTTGTCACGTAAACAAATTGGCGCACGTTGTTGTTTATGTGACAAACCTTACCTGAATTTTGATTTAAAGCTTTCGTGACTGCAGGGATTCATATTCTTGGTTCTTTCAGTAAAGTCCCGTATAAGGGTAACAAAATAATAATATATTGTTTTATATTTTTATTATTTATTGTTTCCCTTATACGTGACTTTACCGAAAGAACCAAGAATATAAACCTTACCTGCTGTGTCGTGTGGTGGAGGGTTACGACAACACATTTACACTTACGCGATCTAACTCAAAACCCTTCCTTATGAATAATATTTGGGTCGCGAAAGCCGACGTGTTAAAAAAAAAAACACAAACAAAATCGCCTTTTATTTTCGAATTCGGTGAAACAAGCAACCGAACGCCTCAAATATTTAACGAGCCGCGATGCAACGCGAACACGAGAGACGGGTGCTCCTCACTAAATATCGTCACGAAGCAAGTCAGTCGTCCTCACAGAGTCGCCATTCTCTTCTTGTCCTTTCCCCGCTACAACAAACCCCGGGCACCTCCAATGATGAGCACGGTCGGCTTACTTTAGGGTGCGCGAAAGAAAGTTCAACATCAATGCGGGGGGCCTTGGAAGCCGGCAGGTTTTGCCTTTGCCCGACGACCCCAACTACCCCTGTAATGCAACTCCAGTCAAAGGGTGCCTCCTAGGGGCCAATTGCACCAACAGCAGCAGCAGCATCAGCAGCAGCAAGGGTGGTGGGACAGGCCCATTCCACCCCCTACCTGGGTTTGATTGTAGCTTTGAAAACCCAAAGGGGGGGGGGGGGGGCAGATGATTGCGCGTCTGATAAGCCAATTGTGGACAAACCACTGCGCCGTGACACAGACGTCTAACACAATTAACTGTTCAAGCGTGGCTGTAAAGATCGGATTACCGGGTGGGTGGTTGCTCGCTGGCAACACGATTTTACGGAGCCCAGGCTCGGTTAATCGGGGGGGTGGGGGTTGGGTTGATGCCACGAATGTCAAAATGAAGAGACTGAGAATGAAGAAAGAGTGAGTTTTCGCGACACGTTTCTGGGACAATTGGGGCCGGAACAATGTGCGAAATGCGAACGTGTATGATGAACTTCCACCACTGAGGCAGGCAAGCCATGGGGTTGTAGGTGAGCACCTACTACAGGGGTGAGCGCAAAGATTATTCATAGATGAAGAGGTTAAGCCAGATAAAGATGATGGAGAAGCAGTAGGTTGGGATCTCACCGTTATCGTTAATGCGTGAAACACGCAGTGGACAATTTCAAGATATTGGCACTAGAAATGTACTGCTACAGAAGGATACTGCATCTAAAACTGGACCCCAAAGAATGGCCAACGTAGAAGTAAGGAAAAGTTTGCGCATAGAAGACGACCTGATGGTGCAGGCAGTGATGAGAATGAAGCTGGCACCATTTTTACACACACGTGTAGGATGGACAACAACAGGGAAATTCAAAGTGTGTTGTTCAGAAAAATGGAAGGAACAGGAAAGAGAGGAAGACCTCACAGAGAATGGCTTGACGATGACATCATAATAGATTGGTGCCAGAAAGATGTGGCACTACTGGAGCATATTGGAACAAGACAGAGGAAAGTGGAAACCAGTGACGAAATGTGCAGTGGACACTTACAGGCTATCTGCCCATGGATCATGGTGATAATGATGATGATTTTTGTGACGTTTTTCACGCACTTGTTGATTAAACGATCATATCAGCCTTAATAAAAAAAAAACTCAACATGTTTGTCAATAACACTGTGGCCTTCAAACAAAAATATATAATTTTTAAGTGCTATGAAGGCGGGCCATTGCTCAAAATGTCACCTATTATACACTTTTTCCTTTTAATGCCACGGTGGTTTTGACGAAAATGTTGAGTTTATTTTGTTAATTGTGCTTGTGCACCACTGCTGACGAAGCAGCAGCAGCAGCAGCAGCAGCGACAGCATCTCCAAATAATTAATAGCACTCTGAAGAGATTGGCATCGCCGATAATTTTAAGCCAGCAGTGTCGTGCTTGTATCCCGCTCCCGGGGTGAGTCGTACGCAAAAAATTTACCGGGGCCATCTGAACCGTGCGTGACGACTACTCGCGTGGCTGCTGACTCGGCAGCTGACTCGGATCGCGCCTGTGTCGCCGCGCGTGTCGCCGTTGCTCTGCGTGCAGCAACAAGGTGCCGGTGATCGCGGCGGGTGTGGTGAGCGGCCTCTTCGCCGTCTTCCTGCTGCTGCTGGCGCTCTTCATCTACAAGCGACACCAGAACGCGCTGCGCAAGCGCACGCTGCGCAAGTACGTCGAGAACGAGGTGAGCGGAGCCGTCTCATGTCGCGCCCGTCGTCCCCGCCGGCTGATCGACGTTTTTTTTTTGTTATTCCACTCGTGCCATGTGATTTCACGTATCCGCAAAAGAAAATAGCAGACGGTAGGAGTTGTTAAACCCGCGGGAATTGGTAGTTATTTTTCGAACGCATCCTGTGCTTTACGAACACCCTTCGACCGCGCTTCAAACACGTGCTGTGTAGTGGGAAATTAGATGAATTGGCCATGCGATATCTACTTACCCGTGAAGAAATAATCGAAAAGAGGATGTAACTTATCGTGGATAAGCACGGATAATATCAAATCTAGGGCCACAGATAATAGGAGTTTCGGGGATCATACAGCCGCAGTGGATAAAAGGAATCACGGATAATTGGGTCGTTAATATAAGGAGTTTTATTATTTGTGGGTCAGACCAATTGGGGCTTTTGATTGGGTGGCTCTGTCCAGGGTAGGGCATTAAGCCGTGGTGCCGTGACACCCTGTTGAGATGCTGCCCTGTTCTAAGCATCGGCTGCTGTCTGTCGAGTAAACACAGGCACGACCCCCCTCTCTCCAGAGGAATTCTGTGTAATTGTGATCATGAATTGGGCAGAGCGAGTTTTTGTGCAAAGTTTACAGTGCCCAGCCCAAGGGGCACGAGGAGCGGTGATGCAGGCAGTGGGGTAAAATTTCGCAAAACAAATTTGCAGTTAAAATGAAACATTGTGCAGTCTCCTGGTGAGTAAAATAAAAGTGCATCTGGAAATATGTTATTCCTGTTCAAGGAGTGACTGACATCACGAGGTCGCAACTTGTCATCACTTCCTCTTTTGCCAGATCCTGTAACTCTTATCCCTGTCCGCCCAGGTCTGCTATGGCAGTCCATCACCTCGCTAACTGGGGGTCTTCACTACGACCACTGACCTCTGGTTCATTGGGTCTACAGCGCTGCCTTATTACATTCTATTCCAATATTACCATGAGGTTGTTAGCATTCTCCTAGCACCTATTCTCAATGGCCAGAAATTACAATTTCAGAGAAACTGGATTCTCAACTTGTTTATGACTTATTCTTGGGTCTTTTTTTAAGACTTATGTATTCAGGTATGACTGAGCAAATACTCTGTCATTAGGCCATAAAGGCTACGCATCATTCTCTTTAGGAATCATTATGGGATACTGACTCTGAAATTCCCTGGAACAGCGGTGTACTACACGTAGAGACAACGGGCTTTAGTACCTCCTTGTGTACTAATATGTGACAAGGCAACTGAGGCTGGGTTACGGATACACTGCTCCCTTCAATAGGGACCATGTTCCAGCAGTAGTTCAGGTCCGGTTCACGAGAAAATAATCGCACAACGCGTATTCGTGTCCGAGGTTGCATTTCGTGTAAGTGAGCACACAGTTTCGCTGTCTGCCGTCTGTTCCACGATGTGTACCTTTTTTTGCTGTGTCAAATTAACGAGGCTGCCGCTGCTGCTCCTTTTGTATCGGTCACAGCTGGTGCAGCCGCTGACGCCAAGTGGAGCGCAGCCGAACCAAGCGCAGTTGAGAATCCTCAAGGAAACGGAGCTCAAAAAGGGGAAGGTCCTCGGCTCTGGGGCCTTTGGAACTGTCTACAAAGTGAGTGCAGATACAGCGGCAACATCCGGACGTCTCTTTTATGCAGCTTGTAACATACCGGGCACTCTACTGTCATTGGCAGCCCATTCATTCTCAGCTAAATGCTTATGTATGTATGTTGAACTTATTTCGCACTGTACGTAGCCAACCGTGCTAATAGGAGGTGCCCGAACTCCTCAGCGTTGCCACCTCTGTCTGGGTTTGACCCAGCCAGTCTGGGAATTCTCATGTGTTTGCGCGGCAGGCGTTGATTTGTACCGTCTGGTGGTGTTTTGTTGAAATGCATTTCAGTATACTTGACAGTTTTGATAGACCTAGGTTGATTGGGAAATATGTCTGAGTTTGGTATGCAGTGAAAAGTGTAACAACCCTACATCACCTGCCATATTTTTCTGACCCGAAGGAGATGATGGGCGGGTGGGCTGTTGGACGGTGGCAACCATGACCAATGCATATTCTTAGCTCTTTTGGTAAAGTCACGTTGAAGGGAAACAATAAAATAATAAAATATATAGGTGCTTTTTATTGTTTTTCATATATTTTATTATTTTATTGTTTCCCTTCAACGTGACTTTACCGAAAGAGCTAAGAATATGAATTACTGCAGTCACGAAAGCTTTAAATCAAAATTCATGACCAATGCAGTTCACCGTTGGTGGGAGTCTCGACCATGTGGAAGTGTTAAAGTGTTTGTGGATCATAGCAAAAGCTATAATTTGCAAAATGAATTGACTTCATGAATTAGTTTATTATTGACAAAAAGCATGTTGTAAAATGTCCGTCAGTCTGTGTGTGAGTGTACATATCTGTGCGGTTAGCGCGCTGCGCTACGAACCCAGGGTCCTGAGTTTGATTCCCGCTCACGGCCAATACCAGTGGCGATTATTTTAACCGGTCCTGGGTCTCCCCTAGATCAACTCAGCCTCAAATGAGTGCCTGGTGCGGTGTGTAAACATCGCCACTAGGAAGATAAAGGCAGGCAGGTATGGTGCTGGCCACTGACGCCTTCGTGTGCCGTGCCAGTCTTCATAGGTGCTCGCTAACAGCACTTTCCCCAACAGTCTGTTAAGGCTATACGGGGGATCTTTGTCTTTGATAGCCACACACAGACAGAGTGGTACTGCAGTGGCTAGCGCACTGCGCTACGAATCCATCGTCCTGAGTTCCATTCCCACTTACGGCCAATTACTGGCGAATATTTGAACTGATCCTGGTCTCCCCTAGGTCGACTCAGCCTTAAATCAGTACCTGGTGCGGATGCGTAAATGTCATGGTTGGAGAAACAACCATGAGGGATAATTATCACGAAACTAAAATGTGGCGCTTGGAATGCTTGCTTGTGTATCGTGTTGGCGAGCCTGCCGTGCCATGGTAACCCCGTGTCTTTGTTGAACTTCTTTGGCACCGTATGTAGCCAAGAAAGGACAGAAAACTAAATGCAAAAAGCAGTTCTAACGAAATACGTTTTTAACCTAGATTTAAAAGTGCATTGCTCCATTTGGCTTCCTAATATCGGAAGGGAGAGCGTTCCAGACAGCCGCAGAAACCGTCCTTGTTCGATGGCCAGCCAAAAAGCCGCCGCTGTGAGGATGAGCAGAGTTTTGCTTCCGCTGCAGGGAATCTGGGTCCCCGAGGGGGAGTCTGTGAAGATCGCCGTGGCCGTGAAGGTGCTGAGGGACTCTGCCTCCTCGAAAGCCAACAAGGACATTCTTGATGTACGTATTTAACGCAATAAAGTACACACGTGTGTGTATATATTTTAAACGAGCACCAAACGTTTTAAGTACTATTGATGATGGAGTTGTCTCCATTAACATGCTTGTTTTGAGTAATGTAATAGTCTAAAAGGCACCGATGCTGGGAAAAAAACCCGTCACTCTTGATATTTGACTGTGGGTTCATTTGAGGTTTATTGTCGGCATGATCGTGTACAGTGTTGCGATAGAGTTCATTTGAACGGCGTTTCGCTAAGATTTGAACTCGGATGCACGCATATGTTACCCAGTGGGTGGCAGGGCAGTCAGTGCTAATACTCGTGCCACACAGCAAGAAGGGGCTGGGTTTGATTCCCGACTGAGGCGGCTTTCTGCGTGGGCTTTGCATGTTTTCTCGCCATTCTGCATGGGTTTCCTCTGTGATCTCCTTTGCCCTCCTATCGTAACTGGCATTGGACAAACATACCAATGCTGAAAAATTACCAGCAATTTAGTCAATTAGGATCACACGTCAACATTATCATCAACTACAAACCATTTGCAGGACACTCCTGAAAGTAGAACAGTCTTGAGACTCAATGAGGCTTTCCTGGGTAATAAGCCAGCATAGCAGTGCTCACACACTGAGCCCCAATGTCTCATCCAGTGGCAATGGAGCAAAGAGGACACCGCTCGTGGTTGTGGTCATGAGTCTGAGAGCCCAGCTCGGGGTTGACCAAGTTTGTCATCCCTCCAGAATCCACCAAACGGTTCCTGAACTACGTTTTTGCGGTTGTCCTTACGGATAGGCTGGCCCCTGTCACGGGAATGTGGAATTTATACCGAAGGCTAAGGGCTGCCGATGGAGATGAGCATGGCGGCACTCTGCTCACACCCAGCGGTCACCGCATCCCGAGCCACGCGGTGTGGGATACCGGGTGTGGGGAGCAATTGGGCATGTGCCGAATCACACGCACACAGATCAAAGAGTTTCTGCTTTGCCACAAGCGGCTGAGTGGTGCTGTGGTTAACACAAACATGACTTGTAAGTTCAAAACCTGGTGAATGAGTGTTGATTACTTAGCCCGTTGCTCATTTGAGAATGGGGACTGATTGTGCAGGTGTTTGTGTTTGCTCATCACACGTTTCAGAATTCTGAATCGGCTGTGACTTCACAGGGGCCACATTTTTTCACCACAAAGCCTCTCCACCCCAAAGCGATGGAGCGCAGGGAGACAACAGGGAACAATTTAAACCAGATTGACCAAGGATTTTTATGTTGGCATGTCCAACAGAAAAATGCTGTCCAGTTCATATGCCATACTTAATGCACCTTTCATCTTCAGTGTGCTGCTCAAATGGAATGTAGTAAAAATATATTTGCTCTTAAATTGAACAAAATGCATTTTTTACTCCAAAGGCATGACTTGTTATGTAATTATCATGTCCATAAACGTTGCCTACCTAATAGTCCAGATACCAACAATGCATCAAAATTTGCGGACCTTATCACATTCAATTAGACTGAAATGAATGTTTTGCAATTGCGATGGTCAGGTTCTGGTCAAGGCTTAAAATGTGGAAAAGTTACATTGCCTGCATTGCAGAGAGCGCTACTGGCTTCTGCTTTTTCATTTTCAGTATCCTGGGTAAAGCTTACCCATACGGAATGGTGCCCTCAACTAAGAGAAATTTCCATGACCGAATGTGGGACGTTGCACCTCCCGTTGCCCTTGGCTGTCCTCATTTCAACGTGGACAATGCACATATTGAACATTTTTCAAGTGGTTGCCTGGCGGCGGCTTTGCACCACTGTAATCCAGCTGTGTGGAGATCGCAAGGGTTGGTGGATCACACGCATGTTGTGAACTCCCTTCACGTGGGTGTCGAGGAGGAGCCATATCCTATCTTCCCATGGGATAGAGTGTTGCCCCCTTGCACACACATGGGTTTTCTCCAGGTGCTTTGGTGTCCAAAAAACAAAGATCCCCCCCGTATAAGCCTGAGCAGACTATTGGGGCAAGTGCTGTTAGCGAGCACCTATGAAGGCCGGCACAGCACACGAGGGGGTGGGTGGCCAACACCACGCCAGGCCGCCTTTGTCTCCCTAGTGGTGATGTTAACACACCACACCAGATACTCATTTGAGGCTGAGTCGATCGAGGAGAGGCCCAGGACCGGTTGAGATAATCATCACCGGTGTTGGCCATGAGTGGGAAATTAATTCGGGTTGCCGGGTTCGTATCACATTGCGCTAACCGCTACACTACCGCTTTCCCAAATAAACCCTCAATAAGTGGCCAATAGCACCTTAATATACGTAGGATTGCAGAGCTTGCTGGGGGCGTCTGTGGTTCCTCCCCGTGCCTCGGAGTCGTTCTCCCTCTTCGAGCGCGAGCGAATACCGTGCCGCATGTTGCAAGTTGGAATGATTATTTGTGATAGTTGCCAGTCTGGGCCGCTGCCCTGCGTTTTTCCAGCATGGCACACGGGGTCCCCAGCGTCCCTTAAGTGCCGCAGTTCGACTGGGTGCGATGCGCATTGCGTGCTGGAGTCGGCACGCGGCTGGCGCGTGCCGCGTGCCGACGCGAGCCCTGCTAAGTGAGCAGCCCTGCAGGGACCGGCGCCAGCATCGACGCTAATGGAATCAACTCCTGCAAAGAGCAAATGTAGACCGCCACCCCGGCCAACTATGTATCGTATTGTTTTAAAAGTTTAATCCCGTTAATATTTTACTTCCACTCTGGAACGTGTTTCTTTCAAATTGACTGTCAATAGTTATTCTTTATACCTGGCCAAGCCTGCACTACGTTCACAAGCCAAGCCAGCGTACCGTGTGTTCAACAATCACGCTCCACGTCATGGGAGGCCAAGCGCAGTACCGTACACATAATAACAATCCCAAGCCAAGAATTTTAATCATCATAATAATTATAATGTCCGAGCATTTGTCAATCCACTGCTAGATGAAGGGCTGCCCATGCTGGGGTTGGCGAAGGGGAGGTTCAGTTATATTTCAGTTATATCCAACTCTACCCACTGGCTTCATTGCACAGGGTACTTAAAATTGCGCCACCACCATTGCCCTCGAAATGCTGACGATGTTTACGAATCAACATTTTTTTCTCACAGTAAGCTTGCACTCGATGAACGTCATATTACTTAACGCTAACCACGATTCGCATTTCATTCGCCATTAACTTTCCGTTGTTTTTAGCAAGTTGCATGTGGAATGAACGTTAATTGACTCAACGTGAAAATCGCGCACAGCAGTGTGGCACCGTCAGACGTTATTATAGCTCCTGCGGTTCTAGATTTGAAGTTCCCTCGTGAGCCCGGCCAGGGGTCCCCCACCCCGCGCGACCGTGTAAACATCCCGCAAAACCCTGCAAATCCCAGAGGTGGGCCATGCCACACGCCGCCAACGAAATTCCACCCCCCCCCCAACCCCCACTCCGCTCGGCGGTCGGCTCGCGTGGCTTCGCCCCGCGCGGTGCCCGTTCTGCTCGTCCAAAAACGCCGGGGGACGTTTTGAGTGGCGTGTGTGTGTGTGGTGAGGCGGCATCGGGAGATTCGCTTCAGAAAAAAAAGGGTTAAAAGGAAGGTAACCTATTTCCACCACGGGTTTAATGCACCGAAGAATAGAGCGTGTGGTGGTGGTGGTGGTGCTGCTGCTGCTGCTGCTCGTCCTTCTTGCCACGTTCAGCACGCAAACTTTATTTGTGTCGTGGCACTCGCTCACGGCAGATAGTTGTACCTTATTTATTTAATCAGGAATGGGCCAAATAAGCTGTCTGACTATATTTCACAGGCGTCCTGCGCGTGTCGCGCATTTGTAATCTTATTCACGGGGGAACCACGGTGCCGTTCCTCCAAGGGAATAGAAAGAGGTCTCTACAGCGGAAATGCGTAGAGTGACCACCCAGGGATAACATGCGGGGGTCATGTGCACTATGTGGCCCGTGGTACCTGAGCCCAATCGCGGCGTCGTCCATGTTCAGCACCGACTGCCATTACCGCCGGTCGACACTCTGCAGCTGCACCACCCTTCAGAAACTCAGCGGCAGGTGCCGATACGGTTCGGCCGTTCGCTTGATTCATCAAAGCAAAATGGAAATAAATTGTTCCGTCACTTTACGTTCCAGAAAAAAAAAAAGCCCCAGTCTGGACTAATAAATAACCAGCGGGTTGTTTCTGTGTTGTTGCGGTCAACGGTTAAAGCAGAGACATTGCATCGTAGCAGGGCGGAAACTTCTAGGAGGAGGGATGCCAAGGTGGGAGTATGCGTTAGAGTGGTGCAGCCCCCTCTTTAAACAACATTTCGCAATGGAGGAGTAGGCATTCCCCCCTGCGCTCCCCCTGACGAGTACCATCCATGGGGAAAAAACACTTGTTCCTCCCGTTGTGCCCCCGTCACTTGAATCAATGGAAGTTTCAAAGTAAGAAACGCTAAATCATTCCGAGGGCGTCTCGGGGCGCTGGAAAATCCGGGGCTTCTTCGGGTCTCGCTCCACACAGCGGTTGAGCCTGAGGCCGCTGCTCTCGAGGTCGTCGTCTGGTAAAGCGTTTCCACGACCATGACGTTCTGAAATGACGACGTTCTGAAATGATGACGTTCTGAAATGATGACGTTCTGAAATGATGACGTTCTGAAATGACGACGTTCTGAAATGACGACATTCCGAAGCGACGACGTTCTGAAATGATGACGTTCTGAAATGACGACGTTCTGAAATGACGACGTTCTGAAATGACGACGTTCTGAAATGATGACGTTCTGAAATGATGACGTTCTGAAGCAACGACGTTCTGAAATGATGACGTTCTGAAATGACGACGTTCTGAAATGATGACGTTCTGAAATGACGACGTTCTGAAATGATGACGTTCTGAAATGACGACGTTCTGAAATGATGACGTTCTGAAATGACGACGTTCCGAAGCGACGACGTTCCACGATGACGTTTCGTAACGACGACGTTCTAAAACTACAATGTTCTGACGTTTGCACGACGTTCCACGACAACTAGGTCCTGCGATGGCGATGTTCCGCGATGGCGACATCCCAAAATGACATCATCACGAAACGACGACGATGTTCCGAAACAACGTTCCACAACAACGACGACATTCCACTACAACGACGACGTTCCACAACAACGACGATGACGTTCCACTACAACGACGACGTTCCACAACAACAACGATGACGTTCCACTACAACGATGACGTTCCACAACAACAACGATGACGTTCCACTACAACGATGACGTTCCACAACGACGACGACGACGTTCCACTACAACGACGACGTTCCACAATGACGACGACGTTCCACAACAACGATGACGTTCCACAACAACGATGACGTCCCACAACAACAATGACGTTCCACAACAACAACGACGCCGTTCCACAACAACGATGACGTCCCACAACAACAATGACGACATCCACAACAACGACGCCGTTCCACAACAACGACGACGTTCCGCGCGCTCGCTCGACCGCACGCTTCCGCCCGCGTTTTCGGCGGCCAAGGCGCCTCGAGCGCCATCGTCATCGGGGGGCCCTTGGCGATGGTCGCGCGGTAATCTCCGTGCACGTGGCAGGAGGCGTACCTGATGGCGAGCGTGGACCACCCCCACCTGGTGCGGCTGCTGGGCATCTGCATGAGCTCGACGACGCAGCTCGTGACGCAGCTCATGCCGCACGGCTGCCTGCTGGAGTACGTGCGCGAGCACCGTGGCCGCGTCGGCTCACAGCTCATCCTCAACTGGTGCGTGCAGATCGCCAAGGTGAGTGGCCACGCTGGGAAACGCGACCGTGGAGGGAGGGAGGGAGAGAGAGAGAGAGAGAGGAGTCGGCGCACCGAACCGCGGAGCGCGTTGCGAACCGCCACCGCCTTGTGCAAATTCAGCGGAGGCCGCAGCAGTGGCGACAATTGGTTTAGCGTCACCTGAAGCAGTTCTGTGGCTTTCGTGCTCGGACAATGGACGCCGTAGTCGCTGTTCATTGTGTCACGCTTCAGAATCCAAGGCCCTTGCCGAGCTACGGGCACAAAAGGGCTCGAAATTCCAAGCCGCAAACAGCACTTTTGAAGAGGTGTAATAGAATGTAAGCATTCGTTTCTTGAATTGAACAAAGCGATGAGAGTAAAAATAAGCCTGCAAAGTGGAGCAGTGTGAGGAAAGAAGCTGAATGGGTGAGTGGGTGAGTGAGTTGGTGAGCTCAAAAGGTCTACACGTATGGGTTCACGAACCCATTCCCTGGATTTGTAGGTGAACGTTACGTCTCGCTCACATAGAAACCCAGGGAATGGGTTCGTGAACCCATAGGTGTGGACCTTTTGAGCATTTGTATGTATGTATATTTAGCTTCTTTCGCACCGTACGTAGTCAACCGTGCTCATTGGAGGTGCAGGGGAAGGACAAAAAACTAAACACATAAAGCAGTTCTAAAGACATGAGATTTCAATCAAGGTCTAAAATGCATAGCTCCAGTGGCTTCCCAATATCGGGAGGAAGAGCGTTCCAGGCGGCCATAGAAGTGCATCGGAAAGCACGCGATACGGTGACCGTTTTTGTTCGATGGTTAGCCAAAAGTGAAAACATTTCAGTACCCAAGAGACCAGGATAGCCTCATTAGCAAGAGTGACCTGAGACTCGTAGCAAATACCTGGAAAAAAATAAATGGCATTGCTATTACACTATTATTATTATGAATGAGCAACATAGGACATGTTGCTCATTTAAGAACCCCATAGACGAATCTTACGTTTGCAAAATAACAAAAACCCCATCAATCCATAGCGAATAAAAAACATCGTTTACAAAATAAATTGCGTTTATGTCATAATGCAAGTGAGATCCAAGCCCTTCAAATGGTCTGCTTTGTCAAATTAGAAATACAGCATCAGCCGAGTTGTCTGTGCAAGTGCACAAACAGCGGTTTACACACCTGTGCGTGATCGCGCGTGGCAGCGAATGCACTTTGAAGGCATGTGAGCGCGAGAGTGGTTGCACGCAAAAAGGGGAGTCGATCATGAGCTCGTGCGGAGGATCATGGTCGGGTCAAACATTGAACCCATCGTGTTCAGCTTCACGTGCGTAGTGTGAAGTTTGCGTCTCCAGTCGTTCCCAGTAGTTCATCTCCACTGCTTGTTACAGTGACGATGTCAGACGCAAATCTGACATGGTTAACGACCTCTGCGTTTATGTTCGTGCCTTGTTTTAATCTCGTCCGTCTTGTGGTGCCGCTGCGAACGCCGCCCCGAATAACTTTGGCGAGCGCGAATCTCTTTCAAAGCATCGACGACGCAAAACATTGGCACGACCGCGACGTGAATCGCTTCGGCATTAACGCCGCGAGCTCGTTACATCCTCACGTTTTGTGGGTACCCCCCCCCCCCTCCCGCCACCTGCCGCCACTGTGCCCCCCAGGGTCTCATGTACCTGGAGGAGAGGCGGCTGGTGCATCGCGACCTGGCCGCGCGCAATGTGCTCGTCAAGGCCCCCAACCACGTGAAGATCACCGACTTTGGGTTGGCGCGCCTCCTCGATGTCAACGAGCAGGAGTACCAGGCCGAGGGGGGCAAGGTGCGTGCCCCCCACACGTCGCCGTCATTGCCGTCGCTCCCCGCGCAGCACCGCACACTGCCCCCCCCCCCCCCCCCCCCCCCCCCATTGCTAATGTGCAGTGCCGCAGTGCGACAATCGGCGGCAGGGAATTTCTTCTCGAAGAAAATCCCGCACAGTGTCAAGAGCTGAATAAACGATGTGTTTAGATTACGTAACTATGTACAACCATTGTTGATCTCCTGATGCTTTTTTTTTACTTATAAAGTTCTTACAATTGTGATCCTCGAAATTTGTTTGATTAATTAATTTAGAGCACCAGATATGCACGAAAAATCTATAAATATGCTTCTCAATGTTATATTGTGAGTGGACATCAGCCCACGTAGCCACAGAGCCATGTGACAGCCTCCTTCTCCATCACGTGCAGGTCATGTGCTGAAAGGATATTATAATTATAATAATGACTTGTTTACCCAGGAAGCCATGCCGGGTCCAAGGACTTTTTTTTTCATTTGGGCCCTGCATTGTTTTTCTTTTATATTAAGATGTTTTCAGCCACTTAATGAGCGTTTCTGCATGTGGGAAGAAACTGGAGCACCCGGTGAAAACATAAACGTGCGAGGGGGCAATGCTCTATCCCTTACAGAAGAGACGGACCATGTTTGTCTCCACTTGCTGTACCGCCTTCTGGCGAGCCATGGCACGGCACCTCCTCGACGTCCATTGTGCGCCCATGAATATCAAATGTTAAATCGTGCTTTGTGTTGCTCTTTCCAGATGCCAATAAAGTGGATGGCTCTCGAATCTATACAGTACAGAAAATTTACACACCAGAGCGACGTGTGGAGCTATGGTACGTACCCGTAAGCCACCTTGACGTAATAATTTACTGCCCAATCCATTGCTGGATGAAGGCCTCCCCCACACCATGTTGGCCATGAGAGTTGTTTTGACCGAACTTTACCATGCGGCTCAGCACGGGTTGGTAAAGTGGATGCCCAGAACCAGGAATCGAACCCGGGTCGCCGGATATATCGTGCTGCGTGTGCTTCAGTGCTACCCCACCTTGACATATAAATAGCGCAAGTGAAACTCATACCAGGTCATTGCTTTTAATGCCATTTCCAATGAGATAATGTCATTTCAATTACTCAACTAAGCTTTTTGATTTTACCACGTAAAGCCCACTGATTTTAAACCCTTATGTCATAACCATTCTTCATAGTGGATGTCATGTTCCCTGACGTCATTCGCAAGAGTAGGCCGTTGTGAGCCGGCGTCAGGGTACAATTGTTCCCAAATCGAAAATGACCAATGAATTACTGAATTGGGATTACACACACAGCAGCAACCATCGCCCCCCTACTGGCAGACTAATGCCCCAGGCCACCCTTGCATATAAGACGACTATCCCGGTCTCAGCTGGTTAAAAAAATTAACTTGAAACGTTTTTCCCGCTGTTGGTCACATGACTATGGTGGCCCTCGGTATTCAAAAGCTATAATTGGCATTAGTCCGGCGAAATATGAAGAGTGAAAGATAGCTGGTGTTTTGGCTGAATTTGAAGTAAAAGCGAATATTCGGTGCACCTCCAGCATTAACGAATCCATGCTTACGAACTGTGTTTTTAACATTGCTCGTAACTAGTTGTCGATATATATATTTCTTAGTTGCAATATGATCGGTTGGTCCTCCGTGCCCATCCTATTCTACGGTCGGCACTGCATCAGAATCGAGTTGACGATGACGACGACAACGGTGGTTTCTCGTGTCACAGGCGTGACCGTGTGGGAGCTCATGACGTTCGGAGGCAAGCCGTACGATGGGATCTCTGCGCGGGACATCCCCGGGCTCCTGGAGAAGGGGGAGCGGCTCCCCCAGCCCCCGGTGTGCACCATCGACGTCTACATGATCATGGTGAAATGTACGTCGCAGCCCGTGGCCCGCTCCACCGCCCCCCTTCACCCCACCACTACGAGCAGCAGGGTACAGCGCGATGGAAGCCAACTCAGCGTGCCCGCGCTGGCGATTTGCTGTAACCGGAAACTTACTCGTGACGTCGACCCGATGGTAACGCGTGACACGGCCCAGGCTCGTGGGGCCCCCTGATTACGGACGGTGCCGTGAGGTCAGCGTGTAACGTGAAGCTAACCTGCAACCCACCTTGAGTGAGGCTGGTCGCGGCGCTACGTGTTAACGAGCGCTGGCACGATGGGCCTGGCTGTTCTAGGACTGACCCACGAGCGGCAACAACAAGGACCTGAGTTCCAATCCTCGCGTCGCATGGGCCGCTTGGCTTCATGAACCCAGCAACCCCCCCCAATCCTTCCCCGTCTTTACCCTTAATAAGATGAATAATTACTTGACTTTGGTATCTGCACCATTGTTATAGCACAAGGCTATCACAGAGGCACTGTGTTTCGCAGATGAGCACGTCTAGCCAGTTGGGGACGATGTTGCTACATTGAAAACGAATGTTTTTAGAGCTGCTTTTTGTGTCTAGTTTGTTGTCCGTCACCCGCACCTCCGGTAAGCGCGGTTGGTTATGTACGGTGCGAAATAAGTTCAGCATACAAACGGTATATATACTTTCCACTCACGTGATTCATTCCTCAAGATTGGCTCTGGCACCCCAAAGGACGGAGCTGGTGATGCGAATTGCATGCAAGAGAGGACACAGTTGCTCATGGTTATAATGGTGACCATATGAAATTATATCAAGCGCATGTGCACAGAGCCATGGACAAATGGTTGTCGGCACAGAAGAGATAAAGGATGGCAGATGGTCACGTTTTAAGTGTGGCATTGAGTTAGGCATGGACGCCATGGTGGCGAGATGTTAACTACCTTGCCTGGTATGCAGGAGGTTGTGGGTACGCTCCCGACCCTGACGCCTGCTGCTGTATATTTGGAGTTTGCGTGTCTCTCTCTCATCATCATCATCATCACGGTGGCTAGGAGATGTTGACTACCTCGCATGGTATGCAGGAGGTCGTGGGTACGCTCCCGACCCTGATGCCTGCTGCTGTATATTTGGAGTTTGCGTGTCTCTCTCTCATCATCATCATCACGGTGGCTAGGAGATGTTGACTACCTCGCCTGGTATGCAGGAGGTCGTGGGTACGCTCCCGACCCTGACGCCTGCTGCTGTATATTTGGAGTTTGCGTCTCTCTCTCCCCGTGGTCACGTGGATTTTTCTCTGGGTTCTCCAGTTTTTCCCTTAACATTTAGAAGGGATAATAAATACCAAATGCATTTATTTAACGTTTACAATCCTGATCCTCCGCGTCAGATAGCTTCTCGGTTGAGGGCGTGATCGCAATGCTGCCTGCTGGATATACCACTGCAATATGCGCACTTGCTGAGTATCCATATACTTTATTTTTTGCTGCTCTGTCAATCATCGCTGTTTGTTACACATTTGTGTCATGCATTTGTTTGACATTCTTCAGCCCTTTGGAGTGCGAAGATATGCATTTTATATTCATTTACATTGATTGGCTGGTGGTACAAGGTATGAACCAGTTTGATGTTGTTCACAACATGTTCATATGAATGGACGGCGGGGTGACATCGTGGTAACACGTGTGCCTCACAGCAAGAATGTCCTGGGTTTGATTCCAAACTCTGCGTGGAGTTTCAATGTTCTCCCCCTGTTCTGCAGAGTGTGAGTGCGTGTGAATGTGAATGGGCGTGGTGCTTGCCTTCATAGGTGCTCACTGACAGCACTTTCAACCAAACAGACTATTAAAGCTATACGGGGGGGATCTGTTTTTTTCTTTGTGAGTGCATTTTGTATGTTCCCCCCCTCTTCAGCATGTGTTATATCAGGGTTTTCTGGTGTCCTGTCATAGCTAAAACATTAAAACGACAAAATGTAACTGGTATTGGCCAAAACATCCCAATGCTGAAACATTCCCTGTAAATTGCTCATTTGGGATTACACAGAGCAGCAACATCGCCTCCCTACCACGGGAACTTGACAGGACCTGCTGAGACTCCTCTTGGTAAACGAGCATAATAACTAATGTCTATGGAAAAAAATGTTGCCAGTATCAGTTAATGATGAAAAACAAGAATAGGCGTTACCCTCTCTGGCAAGAAAACTGTAGGTGTTATAAGCAGCTGCATTTGGAAGCTTGCCCCCTCTTTTCTCTCCACCTGAAGAAGACCGCTTGTGTTGCGATTGAAACGTCGTGGGGTCTTTTTTTCTTTAAATTTCTATTTTTGTTTTCTATCTACGTGACCTTACCCGAAATAACCAAGATTATAGGTGTTAAGATCTTCAACACCAAATAAATACATTTTGCAAGGCTTGATGCATTAACCACACGTACTTGTGGCAAAACGTGCAAACAAACATTATCTGATAATATATGCATTGGCCTGTACCAGAGACAGCCTTATTTATGGCCTTGTTTCACCAGTGTCAGACCAGAGAACGCCAAAAGGCAAACAGTAAATAAGACAATGCACATATCGGAACGCTTATAGCTCGGGTCGAGCAGTTATATCTATGGGATCTTTTTGCCAGTCTTGGTGTGCTCTGAGACTGTTTTTTTCTGATGTTTTTCTGCCTTGCCCAAGCTTGGAAATTGATGTACTTACGCAATTTTTACTTATATACTTAATGTATTAGTAATTATATATTTATTTTAGTGATTAGCTTACCTTTCCTCTACATTGCAGTGCTATTCTTTTTTCTATTTTTTTTTTACTTTTTGACCTACACCTATTGAACATTTGTGGAAAAGAGCTTTATAGCTCATCGGATTTCTCCAGGATAAATACAATTTCTGTAATCTGGTCACGGTTTCTCAATTCAGGTTGGATGATCGATGCTGAGTCCCGGCCCCGGTTTAGCGAGCTGGCTACCGACTTTTCCAAGATGGCTCGTGATCCTTCCAGATACCTGGTCATTCAGGTGATAACACACACACACATACACACACATACAACAACAACCGCCATTCGCCACTAAGTGTCGGTGACGTCACCACGACGCTTGTGCCAGGCTACACACACATACACACACATCTTGTGGTAAATCAGACTGTTGCTTCAAGCATTAATGTTCCCATTCCTTAAAATGTCGTTATCGCTACCGCCGCTGCTGCTACTGTTGCTGCTGTTGCTATAGGGAGATGAGCCTATGGCTTTGCCAAGCCCCACGGACAGCAAATTCTACAAGAGCTTCCTGCAGGATAGCAACGAGGAGCTGGGAGTCGTCTCTATGCATGAGGAGACCTTCCTGAACTCCTCCACGCGCCCGTTCCACCTTATGCCTCCGCCTTCGGGCCGACGGCATGACACCGCCACACTGGTGAGCAGGATGGCTCCCAGTTTCACCCACGCTGATGGGGCCTGGGAAAGCTCTGATGTGGCAACGCCAGCTCTTCTCCGTTGACAAATTAATCACAGTCGTGATTGGTGGCTTTTTTTTTACCGAGCATCTAATGCGGTAAATGCCTCATTTGTATTAGTGTTGCAATATGCATTGAGGGATATTGACGTTGTTGTTGATGTGCTCACGCGCCACCTATCTCCCTTTGCAAAGCAGCCTAGAGCTATTATATGATATATATCATGTATTTCTTCCTGCCTCAGCAGTCCGCCTGCTGTATTTTTTCACCTGAAGACGATTTTTTTTATTATTTTATTATTTTTCTATCTACGTCACTTTACCGAAAGACCCAAAGAGTATGAATTCCTGCAGTCACGATAGCTTTAAGTCAAGCATGAAGCTGGCTAAATTGGACCATCCATGTAACGAATCAATTAATACTCAGACTCAGGTCAATCTTACAGCTCTGTTTAATGCAAGACCTACAGCTCCAAAATGACTTTGCGACTGGTAGGGAGCAAACAGCAGTCACTGAAATCATCAGAAAATCACGTTAAAATAACACAAAAAACTCAACACGTTCATCAATTAATAACACTGTGATCTTAAAATGAAAAATAGGCGATGTTTCGGGCAATGGCCCTTCTGCAGAGCACAGAGAGAGGCCAGCGAGGAAGGTCACTCTAGCACCACTCTGGCCGATATACAAGGGCCATTGGCTGAAAGATGACCCGTTTTATTTATTCATTTTACGTCCACATTTTTATCAAGCAATGTGTTGAGATATTTTTTTTGTCATTTGGTGCTTGTGCACGACTGCCAACGCATTATCAACAAATTATGTTTAATGTTTTTATATGATCTAAAATTAAAACGTTCAAACTGTAGATATAGAATTTGAACTGGGAAGAGCCTGTCATAGCAGCCTGCTTATGAAATAATGACACTAAAATTGCGGGGTCTTTTTCACGAGATAGTGCAAGCTGTCTTTTTTTGCCTTTTGGTGTAAATACAAGAGTGTTTGAATAAATACAGCAGCAGAAACATTTCCCTGCCCACCCAAATGGTTTCCGCCCACAAGTAAACACTCGTGAATTTCCCAATAACAATTTCGTATCTCATCCTGCCTAATGGCCATCCGAGCATAGATGACACGAAATTTCCTCTCCCTTAATCCATCTAAAACCACCGTGCTCTACTTCCCCACCTCCTGCTCTCCTCCACCTTCTCCTCCCCCCTCCATATCTTCCCCACGCTCAGTCCAACTTCGATCGCTTCCGTACGAATTCTTGGCGTCACCTTTGAATCCTCATTTTCCTTCACTTCCGACATCGCCAACACCAATCGCACGTTGCCGCTTCCATATTTTAAATATCAGGAAAATTCACCATCACCGCTGCTAAACGTCTTGTGCACTCCATAGGTTTCACTCGTCTGGATTATTGCAACTCGCTCCTAGTCGGTCTTCCTGCTACTCCCTTGCCCCTCTACAACAAATAAAAAAAACTCAGCTGCATGCACCATCCTTAACCTCCCATTCCACCGCTCATTGCTCCCCACTCCTTCAACAATTTCACTGGCTTCCTATCGATCACCGCTGCCTCTTTAAATTGCTCACCTTAGTTTTCAAAGCTTTCATTTCCTTATATGTCCCATCACATCCGCTCCGGTCACAAGCTGCCTATCTTCTTGCTGTCCCTCCTCCACCCTGTGCCCAATCTCGCTTTTGCTCCTTCTCTCAGCATGCCCCCTTACACTGGAACAAACTCCCTCTCCACATCCGACTCTGCCCCTCGCTTTCCGCTTTTCGTACTGCCCTCAGGTCCTGTCTCTTTTCTCTACTCGCCTCTTCCCTTCCTCTCCCGCCACCCCTACCAGCACCACCTAACACCCCTAACGCCCCCACCGCCGCAGCCTCCACCTCGCTCTCTCCACTCTTTGCCACTACCCAATCCCCATCCCTTATCTTGCCATTTTGTACCGTAGTCGGTAAGCATTGTGAAGCGCCTTGTTGAAAGGTGCTTTATAGATCCAATACAGAATATAGAATATATAAAGGACCGGCAGAGCTTGTGGTGGGGTGGCTGGGGGGGAATTTGGTACCGGCTCACGGCGTGCCCTCCTTTTCTTCTCCTGGCGAGTCAGGGTATGGCTCCTTGACTCCCACAGGAAGGGAGTTTCACACCGTTCGTGTGATCCTCCAGTGTTGTGCTGGATTACGGGCCACGTGCATGACCACCGCCGCCCGGCTATCACAGAACGTCTCGCGTTCATCCAAGGTGATGTTTTACAAACGGCTTGTTTTTTTGCAGGGCAGCAAAGATGGGACTTCACCTCCGCCACCCTACACGCCAATGTCTGGGGTACGCGCTTACACCGAACCCTTTTCCAAGTCCTCAAAACGCATCATTTTCCAATTTCGAGTGCGGCGCAGATTATTATCTGCGTCGCGTACCGCAAGCAAATATTTGGACATTTTCCATAGAATCCGGAACACATTGTGCCCTTGATGCAAACCACATTCTGTGTTTTTTTTTTATTGAAACCCTTTTAAACGATGCGTTCCCTCATACATTCATCGCGTTCTATCCAATTCACGTGATGAAAACAACACGCGGCGTTATCGGAGAACTGTATTCAGGTTACACTCAGTTTAACACGTAGGCTTTCGCGACCAATGTGATCCATTATTATCCAGGTTAAATCTGCAGGATGAGGATATCGTGAGTTCGGCAGTAGGAACCATGGAGCATGAAGGTCTTGGAGTGGAAGAGTGCAGGTGTGCATTATTAATGCTCACATTAGTTCAGTGGAAACTTCTCAGGGGAAATGCAAGCACTGGCAGGTACACAAGCTGCGCGGTGTTTTACAACACGAGAAAATGCCCGCGTTTAAACGACGAACGTCAGCCTTTCCCCCGCGCGACATTGCTCACGATGCAGCGGCAGCGTTAGCGTCTGGCACCACCAGGAGGTGGAGATTGTTTTGCCAGAAACGCGCACAAATACACGCGTGGAGAGACGCATATTGAAACCACCAAGTTGAACTCGGAAAATGGTGGAATGTGGGGCATGCTGGGAAGGCTACCCGAAATTATTAAATGTCCATGCACCAATGGAGCGGCACGCAATGGGATGCGACATTCCGCTGTCAATCAACGTGCATCAAGCCCCACCACGTGGTCTGCTTATCATTACTCTTATCAGTACATTTTGTGATTAATATTCATTTCTTATTTTTATTTATATTCAATTAATTTAAGTGTTATTTTCGTTTTCTGGAAAATGAATGTGAAAAAATGCGGGTGCAAAATCATCACTATAAGGATGGATCGGAAACGTGGGAGATGGACAAATAACTTTGCCTAAGGAGCTAAAAAGTATTGCAAAGAAGCACAGAAATACATGCTTGGAATGACATTGAAAGATTGAAAGAGGAATAAGTGGATTAGAGAATATGTGCACGTTAGAAACATCAACAAAGAGTATGGGGCGCCATGGTGGCGAGATGTTAACTACCTCGCCTGGTATGGACGAGGTAGTAGGTTTGATCCCGACCTTCAGGCCTGTATATTTGGAGTTTACATGCGCTCCTCGCGGTCGCATGTATTTTTCTCTGGGTCCTCCGGTTTTTCCCTCCGCTATGCTGAGCACGCGGATTTCCACATGCTCAGTATAGTTTACCCACGTCGCTCCGCAGAGTGTTTTTGGAGCGTTTCGACTTTTTACGAAACAACCTTGGGGGGGTTGGGGGTTCTTACGAAGCGACCGTGACGTGGTGCAATCCCACAGAGCGTCGACTTCGAGCCGGATTGCGGGACGCCTGCGGCGTGCGACCGGAGCATCAAGCGCAGCCTGTCGCGCCGCTCGGAGACGTTGTCGGCGCCGGGCCCCGCGGCGGCGGCGGCGGCCTCGGCCACGGGGGCCGCGGGACGCGCCGACCCCACGGCGCTCGGCAAGTGGCCGGCGGCCCGCGGCCTGGAGCGTGGCCGCCGGGACGGCGCGGAAGACGCGGAGGGCGGCAGTCTGCGCTACAGCCGGGACCCGACGGATGCCGCCGCCTTCGCTGAGGTGGAGTCCCCCGACTGCGATGGCTACGTGTCGCCCTTGCCATGCAGCCAGGCGCCCCGCGAGACAGGTCTGCGCCCACTGCACGCGGCCGTCGTGCATCCCTTCACGTGTGGCCACGGCTCTATGCGTCAACCAATTAAAGCCCTCCCCGTACACCACCTGACTCTTGTGCGGTCACCCCTGTCATCTGTGTGAGAGGGGAAGGGATGCAGTTTGTTGTCCTTCACCCGCACCTCCGATTAGCGCGGTTGACTACATACGGTGTGAAAGAAGTTCAACATACATATCTCTCTATCTAGATCTTCTCAAGCCTCCCGTACATCACGTGACTTCTATGTGGCCACCCCTACCCTGGGTCCCTCCCCTCTCATCTATTTATCTCTCTATCGATCTAAATCCGCTCACGCCTCCCCATACACCACATGACTTCTGTGTGGCCACCCCCACTCTAAATCTCTCCGCTGCTCCCCGCCACTCTCTGTGAAAAGAGACGCTGCTCAATGCAACGACGTCGAGGGCCTCCTCTTCTTTCCTGACCCTTTGTACAGTTTTTCTGTTACTTTTCCATCCCCTTCCTCTTATTTTCCGTTCTTTCTCTTCTCTCTTCCCTATTCCTTTAATGTTTATTTTCCCGTTTATTATATCGCTTGCCTCTACTCCCCTTCCCGTCGTGCCCCATGGGTACATGTTTCATGTTTATTTTATTTTGTTGAACGAGGTAAGAACTCATGAGACCAGGATACGGTCTCATTGCTTTATGAGGCTATCTGTTTTTTATATATATTTTAGTTTTATGAAACAACAGTTATTTTAGTTAACAACAAAAATACGTGAACAAAATAAACTATTTGCAGATTGTTTCAACTTTGTTTCAAAATTGATGGAATAACCGTTTTTTGGCGTTTACTGGATGAACCCCAAAGTCATCAGAGTTAATGTCTGTGAGATCCTCATCTTTACCCTACGAGCTCCTCACCGTTTTCCTACGAGCTCCTCATCGTTTCCCTACGAACTCGTCTGTGAGATCCTCACCGTTTCCCTACGAGCTCCTCACCGTTTCCCTACGAGCACCTCGCCGTTTCTCTGCGTGCTTCTCCCATGTTGAACGGACCGCGCTTTCATTGGCAGGGGCCACACCTGGGTATGGCTTACCGAAGGCAAACTGTGTCTGCGTCTCTCGTACTGTTGGCTCCCTTAATCCTCCTCTGGAAGAATTGTTGGCCGAATAGTGAAGCTGCAGTTGTTAGCTGGAGGGAGCTAGCTCATCCTGATAACTGTCACACATGTGCCGTAACCTTTACGACGGGCTTCGCAAGATGATTTTGATCAATATTAGTAAATGTGTCTGACATTTTTAACCTTTTGAGTTCACTGGTCATGACGTCGTGCTCTCGGGCAGGGTGCACTAATTGTACCGTGCAGCCACATTTCACATGCTCCACTTGTATCCACAGCCACACGTGCTATTAAACAGCATCCACGGCCACGCGTGCTATTAAACAGCATGCACAGCCACGCGTGCTATTAAACAGCATCCACAGCCACGCATGCTATTAAATAGCATGCACATCCACGCGTGCTATTACACAGCATCCACAGCCACGCGTGAACATTCAAACAGCAATTTCAATAAATCGGTATTTGATACAATAGAGCTGCGTTGGCGTAAGAGTTAACGCACCGAACTTACAATCCAGAGGCCAATGGTTCGATGCTATCGCCTGTCGCGGCAATTTAAACATCGGAGCAAGTTTCTCAAATCTCTCCCCCCCACCCACTGCCTTTTTTCACCCAGCAGCGTAACGTCGAACACCACAGGCAGTCGATTGGCAGGTCGCGTGAGGTGAGGCAAATGGTCAACGTGGAATAGTAGACCAAATACCCTCCGAGCGTTCGCTCTGGTCGAGGCCCCTTTTGCCAGCGGCATTAGCGGCGGCGTGGGCTAGCACTAGCAGGTTTGCACCCTTCACCCGTACCCTTCACCCGTACCCTTCACCCGTACCCTTCACCCGTACCCTTGACCCGTACCCTTCACCCGTACCCTTCACCCGTACTCTTCACCCGTACCCTTCACCCGTACCCTTCACCCGTACCCTTCACCCGTACCCTTCACCCGTACGCTTCACCCGTACCCTTCACCCGTACCCTTCACCCGTACCCTTCACCCGTACCCATTACCCGTACCCTTCACCCGTACTCTTCACCCGTACCCTTCACTCGTACCCTTCACCCGTACCCTTCACCCGTAACCTTCACCCATACCCGCCTGCGCCTCTCATTGACCAATTTGTGCCTTTGCCCCCCAGAATCTTCCTGGCCTCTGCCGGCAGGGCCCCCGCCGGGCCAGCGGTTGACGCTGGGAGACGGCCCGTCGGAGTACTCCGTGCCTCCTCTGCGAGCGCCCGCTCCGCCGCCCTCCCGCGCCGTGCCCGGCAGCCCCGGGCGGGACGCCGCGGGCCACCCGGCGCCCTCGGCGCGCGAGCCGACGCCCTCCGTCGCCTTCTCCGGAGCCCGCTCGGACGTCGGCCCCGACGGCCGGGGCGACGGGGAGGCGGAAGACGGCGCAAAGGGCGACGCTTCGCCGTCGGACGGCGCCGCCGGGGGAGCGGGGGGGAACCCGGACCAAGCGGGCGCGCTCAGGGGGACGGAGTACATGGAAATGGACGGATCGCCGGACGAGAGCGCGGAGTACCTGTCGCCGCCCGTGCCGCAGCCCGCCTTCGGGGTGGCAGACGCGCCCGGCGCCAGTGAGAGTGGCCACGCGGTTAACAGGAGCCACGACAGCCTCCCCACGGAGGCGAACCGGGACAGCTTGGGCACTCCGAGCTATCTGCAGACGGCGCTCGCCGTGTCGCTGCTCAAGCCCGGCCGACACGTCAAGTTTTCCGCCGCGGAGAACTTGGAGTACCTGTCGGATTTCGCGTGATCGCGAAATCCGACAGGTACTCCAAGTTTTCCGCCGCGGAGAACTTGGAGTACCTGTCGGATTTCGCGTGATCGCGGCGGCTTCAGACTTTTGCGAAGGGGAAGCGCAGGCTACCCTTTGCGGTTTACGTGGGGGGCAGTCGTCGCGATTTTGGAACGGTTGGAGGGAACAAAAATACGTACAATTGTAATGCCACTGTCATCGGCTGCGTTTCACACACAGATGTCGTGCGGATGCCATTTAACAAAAAACTCACTGCAGTATATGGTAATATTTGAAAATGACAGCAGAAAAAAATGTATATTCACCACACCTGGTCACGTAAAAAAAGGCAATATTGTCACCTGAAACTGTGAAACCTTGTCACTTGGATTAACACAGATAATACATCACCGCCTGCATAAATATGCGAATGTCTATACGTAAGTGTAACGATGCATACGAATGCGTACGTAGTTCGGTCATGCTGTTTTTCGTTATCATTAGATTACTCACATAGACAACTGCTCTCATTAATGAAAATGCAACCAGAGAGCCACTGGGTCATTAAGATTAACACCCCCCCCCCCACACACTCGAGGGTGAATTGCAAACAGCATGGCTCGGAAGCAATATGAAGTGCTGTGTGTCAAGTGCTGTGTGGCACTGCGGTTAGAAGCACCCTAGCTTTCAACCAGTGGGGGTGTTAGCTCACCCCATCTTGCCTCCAGAGTCAGTACAATATGAACCATTTTACTGGATGTAGGCAGCAATGATCATCCGGTGGAGAGAATAGCCCCCTGCGTCAGGAATCGGGAAAGGCCGCCGCTGGCTCAGGACTGCCCCATGTCTCCTCGGAGCGTGGAAATGCTTCTTCTGGAATTATCTGTGAAAAGCTAAACTTGAATGTCAAGGTGCCATGAGCCACGTCACGGCTTCGGGTGGTGGTGCTGTTGATGAAATGGAGGTTTTATTGAAGTGTCGCTGTGGGCGACTGATGATGATGATGATGCGTTCCATTATTTGATTACCGTCTCCCCAGTGATTGTGAGACACCGGCACTAATTGTAAGAGGGTTCGCAAGCACCGCCGTTGGAAAGATTGAGTCGGCGAGTGGATAGGTTGGTGCATCGCCTTGTACAAGGCTCGCGAATCGCCACGATGAGAGGATTGCACTAGAATGGAAGTGATCACATTATATCGCAATCCGTTATTGACAACATTGCCCATACTCTAAAGCAGAGTTATGTAAATCCCAGAGCTGAGTGTTCTCCTCATGCCCCCCCTTATGATGCATGAGTACTTGTACCAGCCAAAATGAGAGATTAGCCCTCCCCTCCAGTTCCAATGACTACGTTTTGACCTCTCTGTTTGCCTACCAAGTTCTGCCCACCGTTGGCTGGGGTCGTGACTACTGTGTAGCGGACGCTGGTTCCCGTGCACTGATTCACAGCCACTCGTTTAAATCAAAGTCCCCAATCGCCAACCGAGTTCTTGTCGAGCGTGTGACTAGAATCGTAGGCCACGACCGAGCTCAGTGAGCAGTCACGGGACGTGGTGGTGGAATTGTATTTGTTCGTGCGAGAGGAAGCTCGGCCACGGCGATGACCCTGACTGGGCTTTGACACTGAAGGTTACCGGACTTGCAGTAACGAAGGTCGGCAAAGTGATGCTCCGACTGTAATGCTGCGGTGTTTGATATCGACGAGGTGAACGGATCATCTGGTGACGCTGCTGCATTGGAAAGCGGTGCACACGCGCAAGCAACAGACGGCTCAATGCAGCCTTCAGAAAACACTGCCTTAACAATACAAAAATATATATAGGCGACGTTTTGGGCAATCACCCTTCTTCATGGCACACGCTATGATGAAGGGCCATTGCCTGAAACGTGCTGTCAAGAAGAGCCATTATATATATTGACAGTATCCTTTAAGGCAGCGTTGTTGACGAGTGTGTTGAGCTATTTGATATCAACACGGGGGTGGGGGGGGTTATATGTAGCATATACTCCATCACAGTTGACTCGTGATGGCCTGGCTGTAAACTAAAAGTAGCTGCTAAGCCACAGGCAATGTCTTGTTAGTCTCCGCCAATCGCTGTTTTTTGTGCGAGTTTCGTCGTTTTATTATTATCCTCTTGTACAAAGTAAACGAAGACGAATTAGCAAGCACCTTGCCGTGTAAGTTATTTTCCAGGAAACATTGCAGTATTTAGTGTTTGTGTGTACAGCGTTAATGGGTATTATCAAGCATTCCTTTTGCTAGCGTTCAGGCTTAGAGTTGTTACACTTCTGATTTTGGCGTATTTGACTCAATGTGCTTGACTGAACATATATGATAGTTGGGTAGTTGCAGTTCTTTAGCGTCAATATACTAAATGCCTCCGTTGGTATGTAAACTCTTACTTTAACATAGCTACTTCCGTGACCAGTTACATGCTAATCCCTCACACTAACATCATACTAATCTCCCAGTTACATGCTAATTTCTGACTTTAACACCCTGCTAATCCAACACATTAACACAGCTACTTCAATGCTAAATTATTCTGTTGATATGTAAACTTCTTTGTCAAGGCGCTCTGCTCCTCCCACCCAGCTTAAAAGATGCTGCGAAGCTTAGCAGTGTTCATTGAAGCGCTGTCGTCCCGACAGTTCTGTTCCTTCACCTGAAGAAGGCTACTTGTGTTGTGGCCGAAACGTCGTGAGAATTTTATTTTACTATGCTTTATTTTTATTATTTTATTTCCATTCTACGTGACTTTACCGAAAGAACCAAGAAGATCTAATCCCTGTTTAGCTCCTCCGTTGTAATTAATTATCATGATCATAAACTATGTGGAAATGCCTCCACGTAAAATAATAATAATAATGCAAAAAGCAAGTCGAATTATTGTGGTTACATTTAGTTCTGGAAAGTGCGTTACTTTTAAATAATATATCAGAGTGTCGACGGATAATGTATGGTACGCCAAATAATATCGTTGTTTTAACACAAATATAATATAGCTGGGTTATATTCTCGTTTCAGTTTTGATATGCTAGTGTCTAAGCGTGAATGATTTTCGGATTGTAAAATGTTGTAGCATTGCTCATGTGTGTTTTTTTTGTTGTATAGCGACTATTTAAAATTGACGTGTAGTATAATTTTTACGATAACAGGTACAGTTGTATGAATTAATTGTGTTTTTTTGGGTGTGTACATTTTTTTTCTTCCTCCCGTGATGTAGAATTAAGAATCTTCTTTAACTGCACCGGTGAATGGGGGGCATTCACCGGTGCAGTACCGTGATAAAGGTGGAGAGACATCCACTTTTATCACGGTACTTTTCATCAACAATGACAGCGCCGTGCGTCTGTGAGCACTATTGGGAAGGGCGGGCGGGGGAATTATTTACTCGTGAAAGTAATCATGACAGTGTTGGAATACCACCGGTGGATACTTTTTGGGTAAGAGCACTCCTCCCGCATTGCAATGTAGCATCACTCTCGCGATCTTAAAATAGAGGCCATTAGAGTGACCCAAATCTGATGTATCATCTATTATTCAGAGACGTAATAAAACTTACACATGACTGTGTGAGCTGTTGCGCTGTGCCTTCCCCCCCCCCTGCCCGCGTTCGCTGTCACGAATTACTACAACTCTTTGTTGACGGAACCAGCGCAAGGCTGCAGAGCACAGAACATTTTTTTCCCCCCCGAGTACAAAGCAAAATCATCTCGAGCCAGGGTTTGCGACTACAGCTCGAAGCGCGTGAACCAAAGATGACCACACGCACATCAAATGAATGGCTGCTGCGGAACCTTTGACCCGTGGCACACCATGGAAAGGTGGAGTTAAGACAGACAAAGAAGACCTTGCTTATGGTACTGCAGTAGCGCTTTTTCGCCGCTTGTTGCAGAGCTTCGCGGTTCGAAACGAGTGGTCGCCCTGGTTAATACTGCAGGTGTATTAACCGGAAATACTCCACTCCATCTGCCTCACAGCGGACGTTTAAAGATCCCATTACGTTATTCGGAAGAGTAAGCCATGGCCCAAATATAAAAAAATGGATTTGCAAATTGCTCAGTTTGTTTACGCGCAGAAAATCATCACTCCTTGCTGAGGAAACCCGACAGGACCCTCCTGAGACTAAGTGAGGCTTTCTACGTGGCACCATGCTCCCGAGTTGCTGACTACTTTTAGGACTGCATCGTCAAGGAGGGAAAGTGTCTCATGGGGAGGAGAAAACACAAATACTGCATTGCAGTGCCATTACACCACGGCGCCACATTACCAAATGTTCCCTGATGGTAGAAAACTGAATAAGTGATGGTGCACTGTAATTGAGCTCATCGTCTGACAAGTGCGGGTCACACTGAGCAAGGGGAATGGACCACACACGGCGTGGCTGCGGCTGCTGTCACGGTGCAAGCTTCTCATCTTCGTCCGGGCTTCTTTACAGCGCGGATTAAGTGGACTATGGTCACGAGGAGTGTGCGTGAGTTTTTTTATATTGCAGTTTAACACGTAGGCGTTCGCGACCAGTATTATTCATAATAAAAGTTTTTGGGTTAGATCGCGTTATTATAAATGCGTCGCAACCCTCCACCACCCGACACGGCCAATCAGTAAAAAATGTGTCGCGTTAACAAAACGCCAATTAGTTACTTCTACAGCCCACCCGTGTATTTGAAGAGTGAATCCACAACATTAAGAATTTGTATTGCAGATGACGGGGAGCGGTAGCATAGTGGCTTGCGCGCTGCGCTACGAACCCGGCGACCCGAGTTCGATGTTCCGCTCACGGCCAAAGCCAGTGAAAATTATTCGAACCGGTCCTAGGCCTCCCCTAGGTCGACTCAGCCTCAAATGAGTAGCTGGTGAGTGTGTGTAAACATCGCCAGTGGTGAGACCAAGGCTACCGGGTGTGGTGCTGGCCACCCATCGCCTCATGTACCGTGCCGGCCTTCATAGGCGCTCGCTAACAGCACTTGCCCCAACAGTATGTTAAGGCTATACGGGGGTTCTTTGTCTTTTGTTTACAGATGACGTCGGCTGCAATGCCGGTCAGCGAAATACATAAATAAATATCAGGCATGCATTCACATCCTTCAACCCAACATTTTCTCCAATTACAAGATTTAAATTTCGATGTAAATCTTTCGTGACTGCAGGGAAGACAGCGTCCTAATGACCTGAGGACGGCTGCTTGCGTTGTGGCCGAAACGTCGTGATAATTTTATTTTATTATGTTTTATTTTATTAGTTCCCTTCTACGTGACTCTACCGAAAGAACCAAGAATATGAATTCCAAGATTGTTACTTGCGGGCCCTGGTATTCTGGTGTATAATGCACGTGTGTGCGCGTGTGTGTTGAACGTCTTTCGCACCAACTGTGGCTAATCGGAGGTGCGTGGAGGAGGGGTGGGAACAACACACTAAACACAGAGCTTGCATGTCGTTTAAACAATAATTGACGACCAGAAGCCTCACTGCGTATGTGATGTTCACTATTTAAGCCGTTCAAACTAGATTCATAGCTTTCGTGACTGCAATAATTACTCTTTGGTTATTTTGGTAAAGTCACGTAGAAAGAAAATAAATTAAATAATAGAATACGACGTTTCGATTGCAACACAAGCAACCAGCTCATCCGTCCCCTATGGACAGGAATTCCACACAACTCCCCCTCTGCCCCCCCCTCTCTCTCAATTTAAGGCCTCGACACAGAGACGTTGTTTTTCTGTGTGCCTATGTGTGTCTCTCTCTGTCTCTGTGTGAGTCTCTCTCAGCTTGTGTGTCTGTCTGTGTGTCTCCGTATCTGCGTTTTGTCTCTCTCTCAAATTTAGCAATCTTTGGAAGAACGTAATCAACCAGGTGGGGTGTTGACTGTTGTGTTAGCCTACTCTCTGTGTTGTATTGCATTGTATTTCCAAGTTCGCTGTTTGTTTTCTCATTCATTTGTACCTGATGATGGTTGCTTGTGTTGCAATCGAGACGTCGTATTTCTGTTATTTACTTTCTTTCTACGTGACTTTACCGGACGAACCAAAGAATGTTAAGCCGTGTTTGGGGCTTTACTTGTTGAGTAAACTCGATGTGTGCTCGAATGCCCTCCTACAAAGCAAGCAACGCAGGCGTCTGGGTGAGCCTCGTTATTTCCGTTGAAATCTCATCACATTCTTCAGTAACAATGGTGGTGGGCCTAAAGAGGAATTTGTTTTATATGACGGGTTAATTTTCTTTGGCAATGACTCTTCTTAATCGCACACACATACACAGGCCGTAGTGGACAAGATTTGGAGAGCGTACTTAGTTTACACGACGGGGCCTGATTAGAATTAAATAAAACAAAATCTTAAAAACAAATTCTGATAACCAGTTTTGAAATTGGAATATGCAATATTGATTTGAAGTTTTCGTGACTTGCAGGGCTCCACACTCTTTGGTTCTTTCGGTAAAGTCACGTGGTAGGTATAAAATAAAATAAATTAAATCACGACGTTTCGGGCACAACACAAGCGTCCGTCATCAGGTGGGACAACCACAGCTAGAAACAAATTGCTGAAGTGGGCAAAGGAGCTGCTGTAACAAGAGGCTATATAGGTAAGGGGGGGGGGGGGAGCCAGGGGGTTGTCCCATTTGATGACGGACGCTTGTGTTGCGCCCGAAACGTCGTGATTTAATTTAATTTGTTTTATTTTCTACCTACGTGACTTTACCGAAAGAACCAAAGAGTATGGATTCCTGCAGTCACGAAAGTTTCAAACCTAGATTGTTGAGGTTGTTGATTGTGCTTGTGCAGCACTGCCAATGCAGCAGCAGCATCACCAACACAATTCGCTTCATCAGTTTTTTTAAAGTGAGATCGCGTAAATATAAACGCGTCGTTAAACACGCCTGATGATGCTGATGCTGCTCGTTGTAATTACTGGCGAAACGTCATACTCGGTTTGCAAATGTTGTGGATTTGCGCTACAACACACGGCTGTGCTGAACTAGCAACGAATTGGCGTGCTCTGTTTATGCAACAAACCTTACGAATTGGCTGCGTCGGGTGGTGGCGTTGATTAACGACACATTTATATGCACGCGATCTAACCCGAGAAAATAAAAAACCCTCCTCTATTACGGATAATGTATTTATATTGTTATCTAGAACAAGATTGCGTGGTAAGCTGCAGACGGCGGTGGCCGCGAGTTGAAGGTCCAGCGCAGCGCCGGGGCAGAGGCTGTGATTGACGTGTGAGCTCTCTCATGATGTCCCACGGCGCCTGGGTCAATACGTTTGCAAGGTGGACTAGCCGCTTGTTCCAGGATGTCTCGAAGGCATTGGGCGCAGTGAGAGAGAGAGAGAGCACTTGTCCACCACCACCACCACCCCCCCACACTTCCGAGCGCTGCGCGAGGTGACGCTCAAGTGCGGCACGGGATTCTGGAACGTTACGAATGGGGGGGGGGGGGGGGAGAGGAATTCTGCAACGGTAGACATTTACCAAGTTTATATAATGGACGTCCTTGTTTTAATGTGACGGTAACCGTTGTCGCTCGACTGAGGTGAAGGTTTGGTGGGGTTATTTCGGGAGGTAGTCCTCAGCGATGGTCGAAGGTTTTTTTTTGGGGGGGGGGGCACGCGGTGGGGGGCAATGCCCCCCCTCCCAAATTGTACACCATTATTAATTTATTTTCAGTAGTTTACAATCAAGATTGTAAATAAATTATATGTACCCTAGATTCCTAATGTGAGGGACAAAGCGAACCACTGCCTACCGCACACCCCCCCCCCCCCCACCACAAATAGAGAAGTCAAACTCAAACGAACATCCACATGGCAGGGAGCAGTCTCTCGATAGAACGACCACTGAGGACCTCTCAGGAGAAGTCGGTGCCCACCCTGGCGAGGTGATGGGCTGCGTTGACCCCGCACCACCACCCTACGTCAGATTTTGAATTCACCGAATTCTGACTGAGACTTATGGGAACTCTGCGACCAGGATGGCTCCCCAGATAAGGGAACGGTGGAACAGACTCGCACCGTATCGTTGAAGTTGCAGACCCGCAAGTCACACACACAAATTCTCGCGGAATCGTTAAATGAATTTATTTATTTATTCCACAATCCATTTGATGTCACTGGTCACGTTTCTCCACTTTCCACAACCATGGGCGAGCCATCATTTTAAATAAAGTACAGTATCGGTGTTTATTACACAAACAGCTCGCTCGAACTGGGATTACATATCTCTAGTGGCTGTCACGCAAAGTTAATTACAGCCTAGTTCACGAGCTTCGTTTAAATGTCATCGTTAACGCAACGTTGTGCTTTTACACTTAATTGGTGTCAGTGACCTCGGTTTTTTTTTGCCTTGGGTAGGAATGGGCGATCGCGTAAGGCGCGAACATAGGAAGATCATCAACCCTGGGACTCGAGCCTCAGGAGGCTTTTCATGAGTCACGCGCAATGCCGTGTCTTCATCTTTGCACGGCAAGAAATGTTACTTTGACATTCACCATGAAAATTCTTGTTTAAAACGCTACCCCCCACCCCACCCCCATGCATGTTTTTAGTTTCCACTACAATCTTAAGCCCTTACAATGTTAAACTTTCTAACACTCTGGCGGCTATAAAGAATCGGGTCACCACATTTTTCGCAGGCGCATTTGTTTCTCAGTCAGCCTGGGTGTATGGAAACTGTGCAGTAGAATGTCACGTGGTTGAAATCAACACCGGTACGCAGATCTCAGTAACGATCAGTTCCTGCCAACCGAACACTGATGCTAATTCCCTGCACTGCTCAGGTTAAATCCGGGTTGCCACCTGCCTGGGTAAATCCCGCACAAGGTGGCAACTCTACCGCTGCGTCAGTGTCGTCACTTGCACCACAACACTAGTACAGCACACCGATGTGTTGGAGAGCAAATCCACAACGTTTACAATCTGAGTACCACGTTTCACCAGTAATTACAACAAGATTCATCAGGCGACATGTTCTGTTCACGTGACAAACCTTACTGAATTGGCTGCGTCGGGTGGTAACGGGCTTAACGACACATTTATATGTATGCAATCTAACCCCAAAAAACCTCTTACAGATGACGACCTATTTACCGCTTGACATCAGCCGCTCCCAGGCATCTGTGGTGCGATGCCCGGTGCTGACGCTTCGGACCCTGCGAGTCACCGCCGGGGCTGACAAGAATGCAAATGTGGAAGGTCAGCAGGGAGCTCCGATTCAAAAGGACATCCGTGCGAATGAGAGGCGCCAATGAGCTTGCAATGACACAGACCGATGTTTTATTTGATCATTGGTTGAAACGCATTGTTGCGTAATTGTTTTAACACGTAAAAAGTGGCACAATGTGCGTGGTGGTTTAAGCTGTCGATCTGCCACCAACGGGTAGAAAACAGCATTTGTGGAAACATTATTTTGGCGATCTAACTAGGACAGAGGACAAACAAACGCAACACATTCGTCAATAACACTGTGTGGCCTTCAAAAGAAACAGAAATATATAATAGGCGACGTTTTGGGCAATGACCCTTCCGAATAGCACATGCAGAAGCCAGAGAGGTAGAATCGCTCCAGAGTCATTATACATTATTATACCTCTGGCCTCTATATTTAGCTGTAAATGATTGTCCAGATGTCTTGTGACCCCCATTCAATGATCTTAAACGTAATATTTTTGTAAGTGCATTTTATTTAAAACATAGAAAATATATATGCGAAGGGAAAAACAGTTAGAGGTCACTGAATTTGTGGTCACAAAACACCTGGACCACCCTGCAGACCAGTATTCTTCACTCGTTTTCAGAGGAGGGCCACTTTCGCCAATAAGGCATCGTCAGTGTGAGGGCCGCCTCATTTAAAACCATTGTGGCTTTGACAGCAGCACGATGATGAAGATGATGATGATGGGGGTGTTTTCACTTTTATGTATTGTAGGGGGCCACACGTCAGGGGCCGCACTAAAGGCCACCAGGGGGATGTCAGTGGCATCGCGGGCCTTGCTAATGAGGAACGCTGCTGTAGATTGCAAGGCAGTCAGTGCGCGCATGTTCAGCTGTGCATCATGAAGCATGCAGCGTATTACATCGATACTCACTGGTGCAAACTTAAATCGCATTACCATAATAGTAAATCATTTTCATTTTAATAACAGCATTTATCCATAAAAGAATCGCAAGTCTCAAGACTCATTAAGGAGGGCCTTGCATCGAGATGTTAGACAGAATACGTTCATAAAGAGACTTGTTTTCGTGTGGGAGGAAACCGGAGCACTGAAAATCCACCACAGGTGGCTGGACACAGCCAATCGTTGTGCTGCCATCTCCTGAAACCACGTGGTTTTGGAGTCTTACAATTCCACGTGACCCACCGAAGCGCGGGTAGGGCGGTAAAGACGTGGATATTATACTATACGTGATGATCCTACAGCACCGCAGCATTCTGCATGTGGCAGCACGAACATGGGAAGGAGCACGGGCAAGACAGTGGCGAGACAATCTGGTTGCTTTATATGTCCACGTGATTATAATGTACTTTGTTGAGCTATCATTTGTGGCCAGACCGCAATAAATAAAGAAGGGGACTTCACCTGGTAAAATCAAAATAGTTCAGTTGAATTTTTGTTAGTGTGATTGTTTACCTTTCCTATACTTTGCACTCCTATCGTATTTCTGTATTTTTTTTTTAACGTTCTGACCCGTCCCTACTGGATATCTGTGAAAGAGAGCTTCAGAGTTCATCGGATTCCTCCAGGATAAATACATATTCCGATTCTGAATTAGCACTATGCATGGAGTCTTTCTGCACAAACACTCTGAATTCGATAGCAATGTCTGCACTCGTGTTGCACACCGAATCTACAACCGCGCAGAAAACTTCTGTGGGCTATTATCGTCGTGCGCAACCACTCCCGCACACGTCTCTCTGGCGGAGGAGGCATCGCAACATCTCAAGACAATATTTATCAGTGGCAATTGGATCGGTTCAGTGCCAAAAATCAGGCCCTGCTCTGGAACACTGGCTAAAATAAGCTTGAGTGTACAGAATGCTGTAGGAAAGATGTAGACAAAGATGAGGATGTCAAATTCAATTGTCAGTGGCACCTGTGAGAGGCCTTGGGGCAGAATGGTCCCTGTATCCTGGAAATCGATGGCCCAGCGTCTTCTTCTGTGCCCATCTGTCTTTCTCTGGCTGAGACCAAACAAGATAAGCAATTCAACGAGCACGTTAATTCACGGCTGCATCCGCGAACAGTTTGGGAGCATTGCTGAATTCGGTTGTGTCCTCGCGTGCGATTGAGAATGCTTGGGGATAGCGGCTCAGAGCAGCAGTGAGTGGAAAGGTTTGTGCCACGTCCTAAGGGCGATCTTATTTTTTTTTATTGTGGTGGCAGCATCCTTGGGTCCATGGGCTGAGTCCCCACTCCTGCATGGAAAAGTGGGTTTGGAGGGGGGGGGGGTTGGTGGTGGGGGTCTCATTCCCCCTGACAGACTAATCTAATCTTCTTGTTTTGTAATTATATCAGGAAAAAAAAACATTGAGGAAATCTCCTCAGATATAATGTGATTGCTATAACACAGAAGATTGTATGTCTATGTTAAGTGGCTTCCTGTCTCTCTGTATTTTCGTCTTTGCATCTCTAAAGCTATCTGGCTATTTGGTTTGTCTCAGTGTATAGCTCTCTCTCCCTCTCCGTCACTCCCAATCTGCTAAGCCCCCGCTCAGTGGTGAGTTCTGAGCCTGGGGATTCACAAGCAATTCCAACATAATTACCATACTCACCATCGCCACCAAAACCATCGCCAATACCACCACCACCACTATTATCATTCCAACACCATTTTAATCACCACCCTTGCCACCACAACAACTAAAACCACCATTATCATCACCACCACCAGAACACAAAGATCTCCCGTATAGCCTTAACAGACGGTTGGGGCAAGTGCTGTTGCTGAGCAACTATGAAGGCCGGCAAGGCACACGAGGTGGGTGGCCAGCACCACAAACGGACGCCTTTGTCTCCCGAGTGGCAATGTTTACAAACTGCTACAGGTACTCATTTGAGGCAGAGTCCACCGAGGGGAGGCCCAGAACCAATTCAGATAATCGTCCCTGGGTTCATAGCGCAATGCACTGACTGCTACACTACCGCTCCCCAGAACACAACCACCACCATCACGCAACCACCATCATGATCTCTACGCTCAGCCCCACTGCACCACAGGCACGATTGTGCAATGCAATCAAGTGACTCACCTGGTTACGAGTGCCAGATATCGCAGGTTCATTCGTCGAAGTCACGTGATCTTTAACAGCATCTGCAAATTTTAAATGCATTTTTTCTGTTGCTGGCGTCATCTGCAGAAAAATAAAAAACAAGAGGTCAGAGCATCTCGCTGGAGCCATGAGCACAAAAGCCAGAGCTTGGTGAAATGCTGAAAAGGTTTATTTGATCGTTTATAATAAATATGTAATGCAAAAGCATGTAATTAAATATATATTTTTGGTTAGGCCACAGAATGAACCGGCCATATTTGTGTATTTCTCTACCACCCGACACAGCCATACAAATTAATTGTCACGTGGGCAAACCTTTAACACATCAATTACGATTGTTTCAGCTCACCGGTAAGTTGAACAACGATTCTGACAAATTTAGAAAGTTATTCTGACTTCTTGAATTCTGTCATGAAGATCCTTCGCACAAGCTTCAAGTGAAACGCCACGTGTCTAATTGTTAAATGAATTTGTGAGAATTGTGTTCTAACTCAGCAGTGATCAAGCTGAAATAATAACGATTGGCACGTTGTTGAACGCCTGTGCACCACGTGACAATTTAATTCATCGCGCTATGTCCGGTGCTGGAGAGAGGGTTCTTACCAAAACACATTAGGCCAGATAATTAAGTGGCCTAACCCACCCCCCCCCCCAAAAAAAAAACCGCTATTGTGAATCGCTACCATTGGCTGCAAAAGCCAAAGTGTTGCACGGATGACAATGTTGCCAATGAGTCTGGCTGTGCAACGCAGCAAACACCTGCCGGGAGACCAGAGCGGTGGTGCCGGCGGGGGCGTCGGCGGAGGGTGTCGCGGGCGTCTCCTGGGCGGGCGTCGCGTGAACGGCGGCGCTGCGAGGGGACGTCCGGCGGGCTGCCTGGGAGGACGCTCGCAAACTCCTGTGGCTCGTCGGGCGGCTCGGGAACATCGGAGCGGTCGTGGGCCTCGACGTCCGGAGCGAGTCGCGCGTGCGCGCCCCGCGCAGCTGGGACAAACGGCCAGCGGTTGGGTTAACCCAGGGGTGGGGGGGGGGGGGGGTCGGCAACCCGAAATAACAAGAAGGGCCATGTTTTTTTTATTTCATACAAAAACTCAATATTTCAAGAGCCGCAATGCACTGTGGTGAATACGAGACAGTGGTCCCTTAATAAATAACGTCGCGAAGCAGCGGACCTTCATCTCCAGAGCCACAGGTTGCCGACCCGCAACCCCTGGGTTAACGGCTCGTGCCGACCAAGGGGGCTCAGCTTTACGTGCGCACAGAGAATAATTAAACCCCATTGCCTTTGTAGGATGAATTATTGCTTTGAAGAGGTTAATGATTTTATTTTAAACTAAAAGAGTAATACTGTTTTTTTTACGTGTCAAGATGGGTATATGAAGGAGACGCACGTATTGTCGTCTGGGATGTGACCTAATGGACTAATTTCTGTAATGATAACCTTTATCTTGTTTGTGCTTTTTTTTCAGTGCCATTTCTTTATTTCTGTTATTCATTTTAAATAATTTTGCTAGTAGTAGTAGGGTTTTCATTTGTTTGGTAATGGCTGTATATGGGATTTGGTCCCCTTATATAGAATCCATGTACAGCGTTATGAGATGCTATTCGCAGAAATTACGCTATATAAAATGAAAGTGCTATTCCATTTCTGATTACTTATTTTGTCATTTGTACTGTCCAAAATGGCATGAATGATTATTATGCATTTTGATATAAATTTGCATCGAACTAAGGACCCCAAAGTGTCAAGCGAGGAGGGTCCTTGCCTGTACTATCGGCAGTTCTCCATCATCGAAGCAAGTGCGGCTGGCTCTGCTGATGAGGCACTGCATGTCGAGTTTGCTTGGATTGAAAGAACGCTGCTGAAATTACGCATTCCCAGAAGGCTGTGCGGTTGTTGGGTTGTCTAGGATATACTTTTTTATTTACGTGAAGAGAAGGGGATGTGAAGGAGATATATTGTCTGCTTATTTAGTTTGTTATTCATATTTTCCACTACCATGCGAATGCTTAATTTGAGTTAATAAAAATAATGACAAATCTTTGGTTCAGTTTGTCAATGAACAAAATCTCTTCGGGTTATAATTAATATACAGCAGGAAAATTAAGAACTGGATTAATTGTGGGTGCTAAAGAAGTTCAACGTACAAACATATTGTATATAGTTGGCTGGTAAAGTGTGACTAGCCACCTGAATAGCAGAGAGTTGCAGTTGTTGCTTCAGCATCTGGTGATGTAATTTCTCAGCTTCCATCTAGCGTGAAGTTTCAGAGGAAACAAAAAACAGTGACACCTTCAAAAAATGACATGAACCAAAACGCGACCAAATGTGAAATAACATCGCGTTCAAATGGTGCAGCCGTGGGATTACTTGCTTACGTCATGCCTGGTGGAAGGGCCTTCGCCCAAGTATTTTGGCCTACTCTTCCATGCTGGCGAGACGTCTTGGAAAAGCTGGGAGTACCCGCAACTTTACCCCAACCACAAGCCACCTGCCAATCGGCGACCTGTGATGTACCCACTTAGATTGTTGGGAGGACAGAAGATTAATTAACTCATCACGCGTAATCAGCGAAGGAGCATTGCGCTAAACTTGTGACCTCTTGCAGCAGCAGTTTGCATGAACTGCTCTCGCTGCCGTACACAGCACGGAGGGGGGCGGGGGGGCGACCACGGAGGGCGATCACGGGGTGATGGGCGATCACGGGGAGCAGCGCCGTTCCTTTAAGGGTCGTAGTCCGCTTCGAACGTCGACCGCCAGCTGAAGTTTCGTAATTCGCTGCTGGAGTTTGCGCATCAAGACGGGGCCCCGTGTCCACAGAGTGACAGAGCCGTGTCTCTCCAACTGAGCTCTCGATCGCTAGGGGACTGGTCGCAGATGCTGAAGGTGACATTTCTGACGAAGTCGAGCCATCGGATGCCACAGAGGCATCTTTTGGCATCGCGTGTGGAAGGACTGCAACCAATCCAAATCGGCTTGAAGCAATGTCCAGGCCTCCACACCACGGTACAACGACACCAACAAAACACAGCACTGGTAGACTCTCAACTTGGCGCCCAGAAGAAGGGGATGGGAATTCTGAGAAAGTTGCACCATTTCTTTTTTACGATCGACGACTTCTGGATTGTAAGTCCACTGTGCAAGTCCACTGTGCTAACCGTCACACCATGCCGCTAGTAGACTGACCTCACTCAGATGTTAGGTTTCAAATTGTTATTTCAGTTGTCTGGTAGGTTCTGATCATTTTCACAAGCATATGGCATTATGAGCCAGAGGGGGAATTTTTTTTCAATATTATGTTGAGGCTATGCAGGCATGTGTTTTCCAAGAACTATTCCTAACTTTATTGGCAGACATCTATAATTTATTAACTGCCACAAAGACTTGCTTTGTTTAAATATTACATCATTAAGTGTGTATTCTTTGGGGCTTCTGTGTGTTGTTATATGATTCATATTCATCATCATCAGGACCAGAATAGGCTTCAGTGCCGACTGTTGTCACTCGTGATGGATGACTTCAAGATGATTGCCCATGCGACAATTTTCTATCTTGTGGGAGAGGAATGAAATATGATCTTTGAAAAGTCAAAGCATTTTAAATGAATTTCATACTTAGGCTTTCATGATAAATTTCATTTTTCATAATTCATTCGGGTTAGATCGTCATGTGGGTATAATTTCAATGTTTTGCTATAATCCTCCCTCGCCCGAAAGAGTCAATCAAATCAAGTTGTCACGTGGAAAAATATGCCAATTGTTGAAAAGCAAAACTTTGAAAATGATAGTCAAAATTGTCCAGAGCACTTGCCCTAACAATCTGTTAAAGGCTATATGGGGGATCTTTGTATTTGTCTTTATTAATAAGTGGGACCTGACAGCCCTGGTCATCACAGTATAGCGTAGTAGTAGGTGATGGCACCTGCTACTCACATAAAGGATATGTGACCTGAATAGCACAGCAGCCTCATCAAATTAAGTAAAATAGATACGGTGAGATTCCACATTAAGGGTAGTTTGTAAATTCAATTTATATCTGAGTGATTATGGTTTTGCACCCTTTTCAATTTCGCATGCTGTGTTTTTTCTCTCCAATTTTTCTTTTATTGTTTGTACTCTTGATTTATAATTGCTTCATTTTCGTACTTAGTTTCATGTTGTTTGCTTGACCCAGGTCACTCTTGCAAATGAGACGTTCCTTGGTCTCTTGAGTTCTCAGCTGCGTTAAGCAAAATAAACTTGAAAACTCAACACATTTTTGATGCCTTTAACAGTAATAATTATTTACACTTCTATGCAACTGGGCCGAGACACTTCTATGCCACGGTGGCAAGATGTTAACTATTTTGCCTGTTATACAGGAGGTCGTGGGTTCGATTCCAACCCTGATGCCTGGTGTATATTTTAAGTTGCATATTCTCCCCGTGGTATTGTGGATTTTTAATTCAGGGTTTTCCTTCCACATTTAGAATCAACGTGCATTTAGAATATTTGGCTGCTATAAAAACTTTTTTATTTTATTTTACTGGGTAAGGCCCACTGAGCTCTTATTCAGAAGCGACCGTGGCCACAAATTATAGCTCAACGCAGTGGCTTATCATGTGGTACTTTATAGCAGCCAAATATTTTCTAGCATGTTTCTAAATGCATAGGGAAACCCCGGAGAACCCGGAGAAAAATCCACACGACCACGGGGAGAAATTGCAAACTCCAAATATACAGCAGGCGTCAGGGTCGGGATCGAACCTGCGACCTCATACATACCAGGCGAGGTAGTTAACATCTCCCCTACATTTCCACGTGATAAGCCACTTCAATGAGCTCTAATTTTCGATAGCCAGATCGCTTTGGAAAAAGAGCTTTACAACTCAATGGGGCATTACCTGGTAAAATAAAAAAAATATTAGGTTTTATTTGTTCTTCTCGTCACACCTGCTGCTTCCATGTCTCGTCTGCCCCGCCGAAGGCCTTGACAGCGGCGCTCCCACCGCGCTGCTCGCGCTGGGCTCGCTGCTCCTGCCGGTACAGCTTGTTCATGTGCTCCAGTCGCTTGGCGTCGAGGGTCAGCAGCAGGGCCTTCATGTCGTCCAGCTGTACGGGGGACAACAAAGGCAAAGATCCCCCATATAGCCTTAACAGACTGTAGGGGCAAGTGCTGTTAGCGAGCACCTATGAAGGCCGGAACGGTACACGAGGGGGTGGGTGGCCAGCACCACGCCCGACCGCCTTTGTCTCCCTAGTGGCAATGTTTACTACACACCGCACCAGGTACTCATTTGAGGCTGAGTCGACCCAGGGGAGGCCCGGGACCGGTTCAGATAATCGTCACTGGTGTTGACCGTGAGCGGGAATCGAACCCGGGTCGCCAGGTTCATAGCGCAGCGCGCTAACCGCTACACTACCGCTCCCCATAACGGGGGACAACACAACAGCGTAAACAAGCGGCATGTGTTTCACGTTGATGTTTTTGCATAACGGAATGTTGAAATTTTAGTCCCAATTATTGCATATTTTTTTAATTCACATGTAATAATTAAAATTAACTTTCAACACACCGTAGACACGCGGCATGTGTTTCACGTTGATCTTGCGTCACGGAATGTTAAAATTTTAGTCCCAATTTTTTTTATTCACATGTAATAATAAAAAATAGATATTTCAGCATACCATAGACACGTGGCATGGGTTTCACGTTACATCTTCTTGAGTAACGAAGTGTAGGAGGTTTAGCCCCATTAGTAACTGCATCATATGCGTTCGAACATATAAAATTCAACAGTGAAACAATCATTTTAATGTTAATATTTTTCGTGTTTTCATAATTTAAACAAAAGTGGCGTCATTGTGACGGAACTTTTTGGCGGTAAAAGCATTCATGTGATGTCATGAAAGTGACATCACTTCCTGTTACATCTCAATTCGGATCAATCTGAAACATATATTCTTTGAAACATCCTAAATGTGAATCTTGGCCTGGTTTTTTGGGATTGTGTTGGATTCATCTGGAAATTGGAAGCTAATCTCTAGCATCCACTATTGCAGACTGCAGCCAGAATTATTAGCCTTTCGTAAGAATTGGCATTTTCCTAAAAGACGGTAGTTTGCGTTCCTAAAGAACAAGAATGGTGTTATAATAAATAATATATAATATAGGGCAAAGCCATGCCTGTAAAACCCTTAACAGTGCCTACTTTATTAAAGACCAATTCAGACATTTATTGGTCGCCCTTTTAAATCTTAATGTTCATCCTAAAAAGTCCCATTACAAGGGAGAAACACAAACAAATATACAACATAAATTGTCCGTATTGAAACCGCTGTACGCCGTATGGACCTGAATACTCAATTTCCCTGTACAAGAATACGGGGTAAACCGTGTGGGTTGACAGGTATGGGGTAAAGAGCAGTCAGCGATAACAAGTGAGATGCGTACGCAGGTTGAACAAAGACTGAGGCGCGTGGGTAGCATCTAGAAGCATCCAGCAGCATCCCAATGCCTCGTGCGATGCTACGCCGAGGCAGCCGTACTGCTTATTCCTACTCGCGCGACGTAGTTCTGTTCACATCCACGTTATAAAAAATGTGTTCCCTGATACATTCATTGCATTATATCCAATTCGCGTTATGAAGACACGCACCGTTGAAAGAGAAATAGACCATATTTTAAAAGATATAGATATTTGATGAACACAGTAGAACATATTTCGATTGAAAGCTTTCGTGACTGCAGGGATTCATCTTCTTAGTTCTTTCGGTAAAGTCACGTAGAATGGACACGAAGTAATAGTTTGTTGAAGGATCTTAAGGTTACGTGGAATCCCTCCCCGTAGAGGCGGTTAAATTTCCACATAACCTTAAGATCCTTCAACAGTAGAACATATTTCTAACTAATCGTCATTACATACCATTTTCAATCCACTGCTGGATACAAACCATGTCACACTGCATCTGTCATGGGGTTGTTTGACCATAATTCACCAATATATGCTGGAGTAAAGGCAGTGGGGGAGGGGGTTGGGGGTGATCCAGTTCTGATACCACTCACCACTGGTGGTGTTAGACCTTAGCCGGGAATCAAACCCAAGTGGCCACGTGCATAGCGCAGCTCACTAACCACTGCACCAATTCTGGCCATCACAAATGCTAGCTCAACAAAGGGGGCTTATCGCGTGGAAATGTAGAGCGGCCAAATACGCGGGAGGCGTGATGTTGATTCTCCAATGTGGAGGGGAAAACTGGAGGACCTGGAGAAAAACATCTACACGACCATTAGGAGAACATGCAAACTCCAAATATACACCAGGCATCAGAGTCAGGATCGAACTGTTTCAAGATGCGATTATTTCCAGAAGCAGGTAATAATAATAATTTGATGTTATAGAGCATCATTCATGCAATTTCATCCCACAACGCTGCACATCAATAATTATCCAGTTCCGTACACAGATAATAATAATAAACGACTTAACAAATAAAAAAAGGTGGGAGGAAATGGACGATGCGACCAAATCAAGGTACAGCAAAACCATCTTATAACAATAATTATAATAATTATTATAATAATTAGGCAAATTGTAACGCGCACAGTTTTGCAAACAAGCTGAAGTTATAGCGGGACGTGGAAGTGTGGAGTTTTTTTATTTTTCCCACACGACCACGGGGAGAACATGCAAACTCCAAATATATACAGGCATCAGAGTCAGGATCGAACTCACGACCTCCTGTATACCAGGCAAGAGAGTTAACGTCTCACCACTGTGCCACCCTTTACTCTTCATATCCACAATACGTTGAGTTTGTTATTTCTGCGAACGCCACTTCGCACCCGTCAAAAAAAACTAAACTGGTTAAGAGGAACACTTTTCTGCCAACCAATTTGTTTATGGCATCAGTTCTTCAAACTGCCGCATCGGCAGATCATTGTGACGGCCCAAATAAGCCCGACTTCACCTGAGAGCATGCTTGGCAGCATTGGAGCCATCTGTGAAAAGTGCACTTAGCACTCACAACCTTTGGGAGTCAGTTGTTGACTTTTAAAAGCATTATACTAACAGCGGATAAAACATGATTATATATATGTGTGTGTGTGAACAATTTTTGGGTAACTATGAATGAAATGCAGAACTCTTCTTCATGTTACACGTAACATAGCGGCAGGATTCCCTGACATGCATTGCCTTTAAACTTTGTGAGTCTAACACTTTCTTTTTATTATTTTATTGTTATTTTTTTCTATGTACGTGGCTTTACCGAAAGAACCATAGAATATCTAACAATAGGTTTTACTGGTTTTACCATTTCTGGCAATAAAACAAGTGTTAAGATGTTAAAACACCAAACAGAATCCTTTTTCAATGAATCCTGTCTGCATTAACCACGCGTACTTGTGGTGAACATGCAGACAAAAAAAAACATGCTCTGATAATTATATATGCATTGTCTTTGAAATGGATTGGTCCACACCAGAGACAGCTTTGGAGCCTAGTCTCAAAGTATTAGACCAGAGAACGCCAAAAGCAATGTACACTTAGTTCGCCGAACTTCGCAGACGTCGTGAAATGAGAGGATTCGAGGTGAGAGGGGTTTTAACTGCTCGTGAAAACGCCCGTGGCGTATTGGCCACACGTTCGTTTTGCTCGACATCGATTCTCACCTCGTAAATTCCTCTGAAGCTTTTTTCCGTGGTTCCGACCCTCGTCTCGTGCAGGTGAATGGTGTCCAAAGCCACGCAGCTGCGCACAAAGAGACACCCGTTGTAAGGCAGCACTGCCGGGTGTGATCCCGCAGGCAGACAGCAATTTGCTCCAGGCAGGGACAACTCGAGGAATGAGCAAGAGGAAAAGTCACACCTGATGGAGCGCACACGCTGACGATTATAACAGAGCAAATTCCTGCATAACCGCGGCGCCTAGCATAGCTTGTTAATATCCAATCTAGATTTGAAGTTTTCGTGACTGCAGGGATCCATACTCGTTGGTTCTTTCGGCAAAGTCACGTAGGTAGGAATTTTGTTAATACCCCGCAAGTAGAAAATGTACATTTAGCAGTAGAACTGCAAAAGCGTTTACCCAATGAACAACTCAATGTAGGCCAAATGTTGGCATAAAGGTTGGAACCGTTGGCCAGAACGTTGGACCCAACGTTGGTTCAACGTTCCGTGTTTACTGGGTATACAGTTAAATGAGAATGATGCATGACATAAAATCATTGTGTAAGACGTGCTATTTTCACTCTACGTTGTTTGAAATATTCAACGACGCCGCGCGTTGCTGTTATACCAACACGAACGTGAAGAAAGCGACATATTAAGCAAGATCTTAACTATCCTCAAATGTTGAAAAAAACGTACTACTGCCTTATAAGTAAAAAAAGAAAGATACAGTATATATAAAATAGCTGACAATCTGGCCAATGGCCCTTTATTCATAGCAAAATAACAAATAATGAACTGAAATGTGGGCGGTGGGACCCCATGGTTATTCGGAAATGAAAATATCTCACAGAGGCAGAAGGTCCATGAATTCGTACATCTGGATTCTGCCGGGCTCCACGTATCCTTCGCTTTGCTTGCTGTGGATGTACTGCATTAACCGCCGCGGGGCTGTGATCCGTCCGCACATCTGTACGAGCAGCAGTAGCAAGCGGCGCACACAGCGCTGAGGATATGCAGCGGCACTTCTTGTCAACCGTTACATGACAACATGCTGCAAAGGGCGTTTAACAGGCGTGACGGTGCTGGAGTGAACCGCCGCTTCGTGACGTAAAAGCGGTTGTTGCTCGATGCACTTCGCGAACCCTTATATAGAAGTCAAACTCCGACCATGGATCTACGTATTCCAGAATAATTCCGTTCCTCGTAATATAGGTTTTGGGTTAGATTGCATAAATATAAATGCGTCAAATTTTGATTTAAAGCTTTCGTGACTGCAGGGATTCATATTCTTGGTTCTATCGGTAAAGTCACGTGACTTTACCGAAAGAACCAAGAATATAAATGCGTCGTTAAACCCAACACCACCCGACACAGCCAATTAGTAAGGTTTGCCACGTGAACAAAACGTGCCAATTCGTTACTAGTACTGCACAGCGGTTGTGTGTTGGAGAGTAAACCCACAACATTTACAATTCGAGTACGACATTTCGCCAGTAATTACAACGACCATCATCAGGCGACTGCCAGAGCTGTGGAGAAATCCTCCTGTTTTTATTCAGTTTAAATAATTCAGTGATGTTTTTAGTTTTTTTTAAAGTACTTTTCTGCCACTGATTGACGTTTTTGGTGATTCAACTTTCTGTGGCTCCTTCCGATCGAACATCTTCCTGAAACAGTTCCTAATACGAGCGGAAAGATCCTTGAGCAGCCTGCTAGAGAACAGCAGGAGAGAATTTGGGCCCCATTCAAGGGTAACTGCACAAAGTAAAAAAATAAATGTTTCAACATTCGATTATCTCCAGAAGCAGGTAATAATAATAATTTCATGTTATAGAGCGTCATTCATACAATTGCATCCCACAACGCTGCACATCAATAATTATCCAGTTCCATACACAGATAATAATAATAAAAAACTACTTAACAAATAAAAAAGGTGGGAGGAAATGGACAATGCGACCAAAACAAGGGACATCAAAAACATCTTATGATAATTATAGTATGACAACTTGTAACGCGCACAGTTTTGAAAACAAGCTGAAGTTATAGCGGGACGTGGAAGTGTGAAGTTTTTATTTTTATTTTTGGAAAGTCCATTAATACGACAAAGGATGACACAGGATGACAGTGGAGGTCGTTATACCTTGAGTGCCCGTATTAGGGTTCGCTCCTCCACCTCAATCCCTTTCTGGTCCAAGTGGTCGTACGCCGTGAAAGCCAGAGCAACGCTCCGTATTTCGGGAAAGCTGCCATGGATGATAACAACATAGTAGCGCACAAACACGGTTCGCTAAAACTTAATTCACTTATTTCAACATTTTAACGGTTCATATTCTTGGTTCTTTCGGTAAAGTCACGTAGAAGGGAAACAATAAAATAATAAAAATATAAAACAATACAATTCTCACGACGTTTCGACTGCAACACAAGCAATCATCATCAGGTGTGAAAACCACAGCAAGAACATTTGAAAAAAAAGTGGCGTTTTTTTTAACGTTAGCACCACGGAGAGCGATTTGGCAGTTATTCAGATGGACGAGTCCATCTATGTTCGGAAAAGAGGAGGGGGGAGACGAAAATAATGGATGCGGTCTGAAAGCCACCGTAAGCGTGAACAATCAATTAAGACCCGAAATGGTTTATCAAATCCTTCCAATGATTGCTAAAAAAAAAAACGCCACTTTTTTCAAATTTTCTTGCTGTAGGTTTCACACCTGATGATGATTGCTTGTGTTGCAGTCGAAACGTCGTTATAATTTTATTGTCTTATATTTTTATTATTTTATTGTTTCCCTTCTACGTGACTTTACTGAAAGAACCAAGAATATGAATCCCTGCAGTCACGAAAGCTTTAAATCTAAATTTTAACGGTTGTGTAATAGAGTAGAACCTGAAGTCATTTGGTCGCTAAGTGAGTATAGAAAATGCAGGTTAAAGGCTTCATTCGTTCCGATGGCATCGAAAGTTACCCATTTTCACCCAAAAAACATATTTTACAATATTTAAACAATGGATATTCATACATAAAGATACTAACAACATTATAAACACATAATATTAAAAGAAACACGGTTAATCAGTGCATTAATTAATATTCATTGTACCAACAAAAGCCTGTCGTTAACAGGGGAATGGTCGGTAAGCGAACACATTGGGCTCTATGGAGGCACTACACAACTCTCCACTACAATGCACTACTCTACACACTGGGCTGTGTGGAGGCTTGTCGTTAAGCAATTAGTCGTGAACAGGGGTGGTCGTTAAGAGGGGTTCTACTGGAGCAACAATAGTAATAATTTCAACTTGTAAAGCACCGCACGGTATTCATTCGCTCTTGAAGACAGACAATGGCTCAGAGGCTGGAGGAGGAACCACGGACAAGCGGGAAAGGCAGCCACGTGGTGAGCCGGTGCCAATCCCCCCCTCCCTCCCCAAAGTTCTGCGGTTCTTCATAATAAAGGTTTTTGGGTTAGATCGCGTTTATTTATAAATGTGTCGTAACCCTCCACCACCCGACACGGCCAATCAGCAAAGAAAAGTGTCACGTTGACAAAAGACAAATAATTCACTACTTCAGCCCACCGGTGTGTTGAAGAGTTAATCCACATTTACAGTTTGAGTACGACGTTTCGCTGGTAAATACTTCCAGCATCATCGGGCAATTCGCCAGAATGGTAAAGCCCTCGCTTGCTCCCGGTTTTATATAGAGCAGAAGAGTGACGTCATCACTTAACTCATCAGGTGCAGTGATTAGAGGCGGAGGGGGGGGTAATGTAATTATATAATCGATTAGTAATCAGTCATTGGTTATGATTAGTAATGAGTTGTAGATTAGTAATTCTTTAAATCAAAATGTAATGTGTATTATTTAATAATACGCTTCCAGGCCGCACTGAGCCGGTAGCTGTCAGAGCGATTAAAGTTATTCTTGTTCCTCTCAATTTCAATGGATTCTCTAATTAGTCTTTGCCAGTAATAATTAGTTTTACACACCACTGCAACATTGTCAAAATCAATTGAGTGTCCTTGTTGACAAGCATGTTCTGCCACTGCCGACAGTTGTGTTTGAGATAATTTAATATTTCTCTGATGTTCTTTTAGTCTTACGCTGATGTTACGTCCCGTCTGCCCAATGTAGCAGCTGCCACATGAACAATTAATCCGATATACACCTTCTGTTGATAGTTTAGGTAATGCGTCTTTAGTGCAAGATACTAGTTTTTGAATTTTGTGTACTGTACCAAATCTTACTGTAATGTTTTGCTTTTGCAAAACGCGGGCTAATTTGTCAGTTACTCCTGAGATATATGGAATTTTTATTGTTTTAACAATCTGGTCGCTTTCAGTAGTATTGCTTTGCGATCGTGATTTGGCATTCAGTGCTCTGTTAATTTGAGCATTATTGTAGCCATTCTGTCGTAGTGCGTCTTTAACGTGTTTAATCTCTCTCACTAGACTCTCACCATCTGACACTGTTTTCGCCCGATGCACGAGCGTCTTAATAAGAGAGGATTTTTGAGCTGGATGATGATGTGATTCTGCATTCAGATAGGCATCAGTGTGCGTTTGCTTTCTGTAAACGCTGTGTGTTATTTTACCGTTTAGGCCATGTCCAAGCAAAATATCTAGGAATGGGAGTGTATTATTCACCTCCATTTCCATGGTGAACTGGATGGCCGGGTTTTGTGCATTGAGATGATTTAGAAAATCATTAAGTGTATCTTTACCATGTGGCCAGACAACCAAAGTGTCATCCACATACCTAAACCAAAAGGATGGTTTTAATGTGCTCGAGGCAAGTGCTCTTATTTCAAAGTTTTCCATGTACAAATTTGCTATAGCAGGGGATAAAGGAGAACCCATTGCTGCTCCTTCCTTTTGTTTAAAGAAATCCCCTCTCCATAAGAAGTAAGTGTTATTTAAGCAATGGCCAGCAAGTTTCGGAATATCTTTTTGTAAACCGGTATTCTTTACTAGTGTATCAAGTAATTTAAGCGATTCGTCCACTGGAACCTTAGTGAATAGAGAAATCACATCAAAGCTTACCAGAATATCATCAGGAGCAAGTTTAATATCTTTAATCACATTCACAAGATGTTCTGAATTTTTTATGAATGAAGATGTCTTACCGATGTAGGGCTGTATTTGTTTGGTTATATATTTTGCCAATTGATATGTGGCAGAGCCAATTGTACTGACTATGGGTCGTAATGGGATGCCGATTTTATGAATCTTTGGTAGCCCATAGAGTCTAGGTGGTTTTGAGGCCCTTGGCTTAATTAGGTATTGCTCATTTTTAGGGATTAATGAATTTGCAATTATTGCAGTGGTCTTACGTTCTAAAGTATTAGTTGGATCTCGTTTAATTTTAATGTAGGTACTTTCCTCTAGTAAATTTCTAATTTTATTATCATAATCGGCTCGTGACATCAGTACAGTAGTGCGGCCTTTATCAGCTGCTAGGATTTGGATATCCTTATTTACACGCAGCTCTCTTAAGGCTTTTGCCTCGTTAGAGCTAATATTTACTTTTGGAACTTTGCTATTCTCAATTATTTTAGCAACCTCATGTCTAGTCATCTCTGCCTCATTATGTGGAAGGAGTCTAACTGCTGATTCTACCTCAGCAATTATCTCATCCACTGGAATTGTGCGTGGGGTAACGGCAAAGTTAAGGCCTTTAGAAAGGATAGAGACCATGTCACCGGTTAATACAGTGTTGGTCAAGTTCAGTACAGTTTTGTTTTTACATTTTTGGGTTTCAGTAGGGATTTGTTTATTATGTAGTCTAGAAAATTTATTAATTTGGTTAGTTTTTGTTAGTTTAAACACATTATCAGCCGATTGTTGTGTTATGTTATCGATTATATTCCAATAATGCATAGATACACTATTGCTTATATCTAAGTGTAACTGCTTTAGCGATTCCGAAATGTAAGATAATTCACTCCTATTGTGCTGTATTCTCTCTATTAATAATAATTCGCTAGCTTTGTGTAGTATTTGGTTAAAACCAGAAAATTGGAGAAGCTTCGCATTAAGCGGATGAAATTGATATCTTCACTGGCGTTCCTCAAAAGGTGCAGAGATTCAAAGGTAATACCAAACGCAGTTAAAAAAATAACACATCACATAAAGTCTTCTAAAGCTAACCAAATACTACACAAAGCTAGCGAATTATTATTAATAGAGAGAATACAGCACAATAGGAGTGAATTATCTTACATTTCGGAATCGCTAAAGCAGTTACACTTAGATATAAGCAATAGTGTATCTATGCATTATTGGAATATAATCGATAACATAACACAACAATCGGCTGATAATGTGTTTAAACTAACAAAAACTAACCAAATTAATAAATTTTCTAGACTACATAATAAACAAATCCCTACTGAAAACCAAAAATGTAAAAACAAAACTGTACTGAACTTGACCAACACTGTATTAACCGGTGACATGGTCTCTATCCTTTCTAAAGGCCTTAACTTTGCCGTTACCCCACGCACAATTCCAGTGGATGAGATAATTGCTGAGGTAGAATCAGCAGTTAGACTCCTTCCACATAATGAGGCAGAGATGACTAGACATGAGGTTGCTAAAATAATTGAGAATAGCAAAGTTCCAAAAGTAAATATTAGCTCTAACGAGGCAAAAGCCTTAAGAGAGCTGCGTGTAAATAAGGATATCCAAATCCTAGCAGCTGATAAAGGCCGCACTACTGTACTGATGTCACGAGCCGATTATGATAATAAAATTAGAAATTTACTAGAGGAAAGTACCTACATTAAAATTAAACGAGATCCAACTAATACTTTAGAACGTAAGACCACTGCAATAATTGCAAATTCATTAATCCCTAAAAATGAGCAATACCTAATTAAGCCAAGGGCCTCAAAACCACCTAGACTCTATGGGCTACCAAAGATTCATAAAATCGGCATCCCATTACGACCCATAGTCAGTACAATTGGCTCTGCCACATATCAATTGGCAAAATATATAACCAAACAAATACAGCCCTACATCGGTAAGACATCTTCATTCATAAAAAATTCAGAACATCTTGTGAATGTGATTAAAGATATTAAACTTACTCCTGATGATATTCTGGTAAGCTTTGATGTGATTTCTCTATTCACTAAGGTTCCAGTGGACGAATCGCTTAAATTACTTGATACACTAGTAAAGAATACCGGTTTACAAAAAGATATTCCGAAACTTGCTGGCCATTGCTTAAATAACACTTACTTCTTATGGAGAGGGGATTTCTTTAAACAAAAGGAAGGAGCAGCAATGGGTTCTCCTTTATCCCCTGCTATAGCAAATTTGTACATGGAAAACTTTGAAATAAGAGCACTTGCCTCGAGCACATTAAAACCATCCTTTTGGTTTAGGTATGTGGATGACACTTTGGTTGTCTGGCCACATGGTAAAGATACACTTAATGATTTTCTAAATCATCTCAATGCACAAAACCCGGCCATCCAGTTCACCATGGAAATGGAGGTGAATAATACACTCCCATTCCTAGATATTTTGCTTGGACATGGCCTAAACGGTAAAATAACACACAGCGTTTACAGAAAGCAAACGCACACTGATGCCTATCTGAATGCAGAATCACATCATCATCCAGCTCAAAAATCCTCTCTTATTAAGACGCTCGTGCATCGGGCGAAAACAGTGTCAGATGGTGAGAGTCTAGTGAGAGAGATTAAACACGTTAAAGACGCACTACGACAGAATGGCTACAATAATGCTCAAATTAACAGAGCACTGAATGCCAAATCACGATCACAAAGCAATACTACTGAAAGCGACCAGATTGTTAAAACAATAAAAATTCCATATATCTCAGGAGTAACTGACAAATTAGCCCGCGTTTTGCAAAAGCAAAACATTACAGTAAGATTTGGTACAGTACACAAAATTCAAAAACTAGTATCTTGCACTAAAGACGCATTACCTAAACTATCAACAGAAGGTGTATATCGGATTAATTGTTCATGTGGCAGCTGCTACATTGGGCAGACGGGACGTAACATCAGCGTAAGACTAAAAGAACATCAGAGAAATATTAAATTATCTCAAACACAACTGTCGGCAGTGGCAGAACATGCTTGTCAACAAGGACACTCAATTGATTTTGACAATGTTGCAGTGGTGTGTAAAACTAATTATTACTGGCAAAGACTAATTAGAGAATCCATTGAAATTGAGAGGAACAAGAATAACTTTAATCGCTCTGACAGCTACCGGCTCAGTGCGGCCTGGAAGCGTATTATTAAATAATACACATTACATTTTGATTTAAAGAATTACTAATCTACAACTCATTACTAATCATAACCAATGACTGATTACTAATCGATTATATAATTACATTACCCCCCCCCTCCGCCTCTAATCACTGCACCTGATGAGTTAAGTGATGACGTCACTCTTCTGCTCTATATAAAACCGGGAGCAAGCGAGGGCTTTACCATTCTGGCGAATTGCCCGATGATGCTGGAAGTATTTACCAGCGAAACGTCGTACTCAAACTGTAAATGTGGATTAACTCTTCAACACACCGGTGGGCTGAAGTAGTGAATTATTTGTCTTTTGTCAACGTGACACTTTTCTTTGCTGATTGGCCGTGTCGGGTGGTGGAGGGTTACGACACATTTATAAATAAACGCGATCTAACCCAAAAACCTTTATTATGAATAATATTGGTCGCGAAAGCCTACGTGTTAAACTTCTGCGGTTCTCTAGACATTAAGGTGTTATCGGCTAATTAATGAGTGTTGACACGTGGGAGCAAACCATAGCCCCCATTGAAAATCCACAAGTGCGAGGGGGCAACACTGCATCCCAGGTGGCATCTCGCTGTGCCATCATCTCGTTGACGCCCACAGGGAAGGGAATTGATCAACATTTGTGTGATCCAACAACCCTCACCGCCTCCACAGCATGAATCCGATGAGCTATAAAGCTCTTATTCACAGATGTCAAGTAGAGGCGGGTCAGAACGTTACAAAAACAAACAGTACAAAACAAGAGAGGAGTATTAAGTAGAGGAAAGGGGCCGTCCATAAATGACGTCAGGCACCTCGGGTGTGGGGGGGGGTCAGACATTTGTGACGATGTGTTACGAGGGGGGGGGGGGATTTGGAGAAATGTGACGTCACACCAAAATGTGCAACTTTAAATAAATATAGACAACACGTTCTACTTAATTAAATATACTTGTTAATACATGTTTTGTCCCACAACATCAGAGTGCAGCGCCACATTACATACGCACTACAATGACAATAGTTTAAAGCGATATGAAGCATGTTTTTTTTTTTTGGGGGGGGGCAGAGCTTTGTGACGTTATATTTGAGGGGGGGTCTGACGTTTTGTGACGCCGTGTGACAAAGGGGGGGGGGAAATCGTCCAAAATCGCGTGACGTCATTTATGAACGGCCCCAAAGATAAACTTAAAAAATATAAATATTCTTTGTTTTTTTCGGTAAAGTCACATATATTAAAAAAAAAACCTAAAGAAATAATAAAAATAAAGTAAAAAATTAAATTGTTAATTTTACATGAAAATAAATAAAAAGAATAAAAAATCTATAATAATAACAATTTAATAAAAAACATAAAAACTTATGACGTTTCGATCGCAACACAAACGGTCGTCTCTGCCTGATGACGACCGCTTGTGTTGCGATCAAAACGTCGTAAGTTTTTGTGTTTTTATTACATTTTTATTATTATTAATTTTTTATTCTTTTTTCTTTTTATTTTATTGTTCTATCTACGTGACTTTACCGAAAGAACCAAAGAATATGAATTTCTGCAGTCACGAAAGTTTTAAGTCAAAAATTTTAAAAAATATATATATACACAAATAAAACTAAACAATTTTTTTTTATTTTACCAGCTTATTTTTCAGAAGCGACCTGGCCACAAATGATAGCTTAACAAAGTGGCTTATCACGTGGTCATTAACAGCAGCAAAATTATCTAAAAGCATGTTTTTAAATGTGGAGAGAAAACCCGGAGGGCCCAGTTACAGGTGTGCGTAGCCACCACTACCCAGCTAAAATGACGGATGCTCTTTGCATTCCGAGGATTTTATTTGTCATTTTCCCCAGGTCTGCATTTGGGCTGCAGGCTGAGACAGCAAGCCTGGGGTCACTCATGATGAGTTGACCGGGTGGCTCGCAGAATGTGTCCCCAATGCGGGAAACCAAGAATAGCAGAGGCCCGGCTAGACAGCGCTGAGCACGCGTGAGAGATTCGTATTGAAGCAGAATGTTCGGGTACCTCCGAGCGAGTAAGTTGGAGGCAGCATGGCCCGTTTAATTTTTTTTGCAACGCAAACAAGAATCGCGACAAAGGGAGGGGAGATACAAAATCTCTGCGGACTAAAGCCCCAACTCAGCCCTCCTGGGTCCAGAGATGGGGGGGGGGGGGGGAGAAATTGGGCTCGCTGCTCCACGCGCGCTGGGACTACGAGTAGGAGGACAACCCACGGCCTCTTTCCAAACGGGCCACGTTGCCTGTTTGTGTAATGACGCGTCTCACCTCAGTACTCTGGCATCCAGCAGCTCGATGCATTTCCTAATGACGGCCGCGTTGTGGTAGCCGGTCTTCAGGTTGTACGTGAAGTGAAGGGGTTCGTATAGCTGGCCCAACTCGATGTGCTTCAACAGGTCCTGCAACACGGAGCACGCCGTGACGCTTGTCCATCGGCTGCAAACCGATGTTTCGCTTTAATTCAATGCTCCTAACTGTCTAAAAATGCCACTTGAAGTGTAGCAGTCTGCATGTAAGTTGTTTTTCAATGAGAGGAAGCCAAACATTTTGAATGAGTTACTCAAAACCGCCTTCCCAACAAATGCTGGGAGTAACACTTCCTTACCAATCACACAAAATAGCACGATGAGTGGTGTGACAGTACACGTATATACATTGGTGAATTTGGATTGAATATCAAACCATATCAATATGGAATGTCGTTAAACACATTCTAAATTGAAAACCGAATTTCTTTAAAATTGCTTGTTGTGTTTAGTTTGTTGTCCTTCCCCCGCGCCTCCGATTATCCACGGTTGGCTACGTAGGGTGGTGCGAAGGGAGTTCAACATACATACGTACAATACACTCACACTTACCCACTTACTTACTCAACCACCCACTCACTCACCCAGTCACACACTAGCTAGCTCACCCACTCCACCACCCACTCACTCACTAGCTAGCTCACCCACTCATCACACTGCAGGTCATCTCACTTCTCATTCTGTTTCTTCCCTCACACGGTGGAATTCCTTCCTACCGTTATCCCTTTTCCAAAGTTCTTAGAATAAACTTGCTCAACAACAAAAAAGCCCATCCTAGATTGATAACTAAATTCTTTAGAACTCCTTGTTGTGTTCCGTTTGTTGTCCCCCCGCACCTCCGATTAGACACCGTTGGCTGCGTACGGTCGTGCGAAATAAGTTCAACACACGTACGTAGGTACATGATGCTTGTGCCACTGTGGAAAGAAGCCCTCTCACCGTTTTTCGACAGAGGCGGTGAGTCACGTGTGGTACCCCCCCCTCGATTACCAAACCTCATGGCCCCCCTCGGCGACTCCAAATTGGACCTCGGAGGTCGCTTGCCCTGCCAGCATCGAAATCTCGCTCCCACGTGCCCGCGTGCGACTGCTTAATGGGCACACGCGACTCTAGTCTGTTTAACCCTTGCCACAGACGCAACATTTTACGATTTGTATTTCATTTTTGGGTCGGGCCGCGTAATGATCTATGCCAGATTTTTTTGTCGTGGAACCCTCCACCACCCGACATGGCCAAACAAATTAAATAGTCACGCGTACAAGCGTTTAGCTCTTCTGTTATTCTTATTGTTTCAGCTCACCTGTGAGTTGAAGAACAATTTTCACAACCAAATTTAGTAATTAGATCCGAAGTTTCGCTTGAAACTACGTCAAGCATCCTCAGGTTTGGGCCTAAACCAATATAATCGATTGTGAATTATAATCTTGGTTGCGAAAACCTACGTGTAAAGCTAACACTACATTTGAAATAGATATGAGCAAGCCGTCTGCTTTGGTTTGTGTTCCTACAATCTGTGTATATCCATCGGGTGCTCTAACCTGGGAAAGAAACTGGCTTTTTATGGCCAGAAAATTACAGAGCTGCAATGTTTTTGAGCTCGTTCATTTGAGTGATTTGTTGAGCAGCAAGGGCAGCCCAGAGATTGTGTAACGGTATCAGGGAATAATGGGCTTATCATGATTTTTAGATGCATATATATTGAGATATATTCATACAAATAATGAGTGTTTATACTTGAGGGAGGAAACCAGAGCCCCCCAGATGGGGCAGATGATATGAGTCTGCACTTTGCTGAATACCTTCTCCATCTGTGTGTGTGTGTCTGTTCGAGCGATAGTGTCCCAATGTGTGTCTGTGTTGTCTGGTGTATTGGGTGATCAAAGCAGATCCCATTCATTCACTTGCTTTGACGGCAGTGCCTATATAAAAACCAAATCGTGAATCATTCACGGATAATTTGATGTATTTGAGACTCCTCTTATCCGCAAATATATCGCAAATCTAATGCGGTTCCACAAAGACTTATGGAAAAATTTACAGGAAGAATAGGATCGCAGATGATAGGAGTTTCTATCCACAAACCCCACCACCACAATTTGCGCATCAATGAATATGAATAAAGTCTGACTCTTACTTACTTTTGTGTTAATAGTCATTATTATTTTTTTTTTGAGCCATGATACCCTGGGGCGTCTCAGAGCACTTTAAATGCCAGGATCAACTCTAATCTAAACTATTTTTTGTATTACCACGGTAAGGCCCACTGAGCCATAGCACTCTTTTTCCGAAGCGACCTGACCACGGATGATAGCTCAACGAAGTGGCTTATTACGTGGGCATTTATAGACAATACATACTCTAAACGCGTGATGTTGATTCTAAATGTGGAGGGAAAAAGCAGAGGACCCGGAGAAAATCCCCGCGACTACAAGGAGAGAGAGACGCAAACTCCAAATATACAGCAGGCATCAGGATCGGGATCAAACCCACGACGTCCTGTATACCAGGAGAGGTAGTTAACATCTCGCCACTGCGGCGCTCCCTCACATCTCATGGCCTTTAAAAACAAATTTGAAAGGGCAACCCCGAGTGGCAGCTGTTTCTGTCCGCACAGAGTGACTCAGCACCAGTCCGGATAAGTGTGAGTCTGTCAGTATGGGGGTGATGATTGATGTTACGTGTAATCTCAATTGAGCACTTTGTGGGGTCATTTTTTTCGTCAAATCTGGAACATAAACCAATGCTGCTGAAATTATGAACTCCCAGAAGGCTGTGTGGCTGGTGGGATGTGTAAAACAAAGTTGGTTTATGTTGAGGGACAGACACATTATTGCGGAGGAGGCAGTCTGGTCTGCTTATTTATTTTGTTACTTTGAAGCCATTCATCTCCCAGACTGCTATGATGAGCATGACGCGAATTCATTTAAAGTCCCACAAGAAAAGAAAAAAACTAAACTTACCACGCTATAATGATTAGCACGGTTGGCTGCGTACGGTGCGAACGAAGTTTAACATATATACAGCACTGTACAAGCAAATGCTTCACAACTGCCTCTGGCCAATGATTGCAGAATCGTACGATGTACACTGTATTCATTTGCTACACGTGAAACATTGACAGCCTCCGGGTAGATATCCGCTCTGCTGCACTGTGTAACGACATACTGGATGCACTGCCCTTCATATCCGGGCATCGGAACGATAACTACCTCTAAAAAGCGTTCCATCAAAGGATAGGAGTCTAAGTATTCATTATGCTCCTGAAAGATATGTCATCAAGCCCAAGAGCAACATTAAAAAGTGTTAAACGCACGTTTATGCTGATAATAAACCGGTTAAAGCTCTTAAAAAAAGAGGGCATAACATACAAAAAAAGACATGATTGACAGGGCTAGTCTTATGACTTGTAGTGGCACGCACAGTGATTAAAACACATGTACTATTGGCGCAGCCCAGATTCACGCATTCACAATCACCATCAGGGAACGCGTTTTTACCTGTTAACCTGATACAGATTGATAGTAGCCACATATTTAAACAGTGTCGCCATGGTGGCGAGATGTTACCTGCCTCGCCTGGTATACAGGACGTTGTGGGTTCAACAAACGTAGGATATGACGAAAACGATAAAACATTGCAGCATCATATCAATGAGTGACCTTTAACCTCAGTTTTCTACTTTCCTGAAGCTTACCTGATCTAAACATGTTTCAGAAAGCAATTTAAGGGAAAAGTGAGGAGATATTCTTAAGGCAACCCTGCTCTTAGGTGTGAGCTGTATGTATGTACTATATGTTGAACTTCTTTTACACCGTACGTAGCCAACTGTGCTAATCAGAGGTGCGGAGGAAGGACAACAAACGAGGAGTCTCTGCTGTATGAGTAGTCTCTGTTGTGTGAGTTGTCTCTGCTGTATGAGTAGTCTCTGCTGTATGAGTAGTCTCTGCTGTATGAGTAATCTCTGCTGTATGAGTAGTCTCTGCTGTGTGAGTAGTCTCTGTTGTATGAGTAGTCTCTGCTGTATGAGTAGTCTCTGCTGTATGAGTAGTCTCTGCTGTATGAGTAGTCTCTGCTGTATGAGTAGTCTCTGTTGTGTGAGTTGTCTCTGCTGTGTGAGTAGTCTCTGCTGTATGAGTAGTCTCTGCTGTATGAGTTGTCTCTGTTGTGTGAGTTGTCTCTGCTGTATGAGTAGTCTCTGCTGTATGAGTAGTCTCTGTATGAGTAGTCTCTGTTGTATGAGTAGTCTCTGCTGTATGAGTAGTCTCTGATGTGTGAGTAGTCTCTGCTGTGTGAGTAGTCTCTGATGTATGAGTAGTCTCTGCTGTATGAGTAATCTCTGATGTATGAGTAGTCTCTGCTGTATGAGTAGTCTCTGTTGTGTGAGTAGTCTCTGCTGTATGAGTTGTCTCTGCTGTATGAGTAGTCTCTGCTGTATGAGTAGTCTCTGCTGTATGAGTAGTCTCTGCTGTGTGAGTAGTCTCTGATGTGTGAGTAGTCTCTGCTGTGTGAGTAGTCTCTGCTGTATGAGTAGTCTCTGATGTGTGAGTAGTCTCTGATGTGTGAGTAGTCTCTGCTGTATGAGTAATCTCTGCTGTATGAGTAGTCTCTGCTGTATGAGTAGTCTCTGCTGTATGAGTAGTCTCTGCTGTATGAGTAGTCTCTGCTGTATGAGTAGTCTCTGCTGTGTGAGTAGTCTCTGCTGTATGAGTAGTCTCTGCTGTATGAGTAATCTCTGCTGTATGAGTAGTCTCTGCTGTATGAGTAGTCTCTGCTGTATGAGTAGTCTCTGCTGTATGAGTAGTCTCTGCTGTATGAGTAGTCTCTGCTGTGTGAGTAGTCTCTGCTGTATGAGTAGTCTCTGCTGTGTGAGTAGTCTCTGCTGTATGAGTTGTCTCTGCTGTGTGAGTAGTCTCTGTATGAATTGTCTCTGTTGTGTGAGTAGTCTCTGCTGTATGAGTAGTCTCTGCTGTATGAGTAGTCTCTGCTGTATGAGTAGTCTCTGCTGTGTGAGTAGTCTCTGCTGTATGAGTAGTCTCTGCTGTATGAGTAGTCTCTGCTGTGTGAGTAGTCTCTGCTGTATGAGTAGTCTCTGCTGTGTGAGTAGTCTCTGCTGTATGAGTAGTCTCTGCTGTGTGAGTAGTCTCTGCTGTATGAGTAGTCTCTGCTGTATGAGTAGTCTCTGCTGTATGAGTAGTCTCTGCTGTATGAGTTGTCTCTGCTGTATGAGTAGTCTCTGCTGTGTGAGTAGTCTCTGCTGTGTGAGTAGTCTCTGCTGTGTGAGTAGTCTCTGCTGTGTGAGTTGTCTCTGCTGTGTGAGTTGTCTCTGATGTATGAGTAGTCTCTGCTGTATGAGTAGTCTCTGCTGTGTGAGTAGTCTCTGTATGAGTAGTCTCTGCTGTATGAGTAGTCTCTGCTGTATGAGTAGTCTCTGCTGTATGAGTAGTCTCTGCTGTATGAGTAGTCTCTGCTGTGTGAGTAGTCTCTGCTGTATGAGTAGTCTCTGCTGTATGAGTAGTATCTGCTGTATGAGTAGTCTCTGCTGTATGAGTAGTCTCTGCTGTGTGAGTAGTCTCTGTATGAGTAGTCTCTGCTGTATGAGTAGTCTCTGCTGTATGAGTAGTCTCTGCTGTGTGAGTAGTCTCTGCTGTATGAGTAGTCTCTGTTGTGTGAGTTGTCTCTGCTGTGTGAGTAGTCTCTGCTGTATGAGTAGTCTCTGCTGTATGAGTAGTCTCTGTTGTGTGAGTAGTCTCTGCTGTGTGAGTAGTCTCTGCTGTATGAGTAGTCTCTGCTGTATGAGTAGTCTCTGCTGTATGAGTAGTCTCTGCTGTATGAGTAGTCTCTGCTGTGTGAGTAGTCTCTGCTGTATGAGTAGTCTCTGCTGTATGAGTAGTCTCTGCTGTATGAGTAGTCTCTGCTGTATGAGTAGTCTCTGCTGTGTGAGTAGTCTCTGTATGAGTAGTCTCTGCTGTATGAGTAGTCTCTGCTGTATGAGTAGTCTCTGCTGTGTGAGTAGTCTCTGCTGTATGAGTAGTCTCTGCTGTGTGAGTAGTCTCTGCTGTATGAGTTGTCTCTGCTCTGTGAGTAGTCTCTGTTGTGTGAGTAGTCTCTGGGTCTCGCCTTATGGCGTCCTCTGGTCTAAACCGTTTTGAGACGAGGCTCAAAAGAAAGCTGTCTCTGGTGTGAACCAATCGGTTTCAAAGATAATGCATATATTATCAGAGTGTGTGTTTTTGTTTGCATTCTGACCACAAGCATTGTGGTTAGGGGCCGTCCATAAATGACGTCACGTGATTTTGGACTATTTTTTGACCCCCCCCCCCCTTCGTCACACGGCGTCACAAAAAGTCAGACCCCCCCTCAAATGTGACGTCACAAAACTTCCCCCCCCCAAAAAAAAACATGCTTCAAATCGCTTTAAACTATTATCATTGTCGTGCGTATTTAATGTGGCGCTGCACTATGATGTTGTAGGAGTAAACATTTATTAAAAAAGTCTATTTAATTAAGTAGAACGTGTTGTCTATATTTATTTAAAGTTGCGCATTTTGATGTGACGTCACATTTCTCAAACACCCCCCCCCCAATCGTCACACATCGTCACAAATGTCTGACCCCCTCCCCGCCTAGGTGCGTGACGTCATTTATGGACGGCCCCTTAATGCAGATATGATTCCTGGTAAAAGGTTTCAGTTTGGTGTTTTAACATCTTAACACCGCTGTTTTGTTGCCAGAAGAAAGGGGAAACCCTATTCTCAGGTTCCACTCTTCTTGGGATGCTTTTTTGGTACTTTAAAATAAGTAGTTTTTTTTTTACCCACAGACGGGATTTACACATGCACGTACGGTACTTGAAATTAAACATATATAAACGACATATTATAAACGCTTTCCAAATAAAAAGCCACAAGTGGTGGTATTAACCCAAAACAACCTGCATTATGGATTAGTCGAGCTATGATACACGTCATGTGGGATGCGTGACGGCTACCATTTCCCCACCCACAACATTTTAGCGTCTCTTTAAGTAATCTGTATACAGTATACATAAAAGAGAAATTTGTGAGCATGTGTGTCTGTTCGAAATGTTTAGCATACTTGCGAACATGCAACAAACTTGAAATTTGGCATGTGGGTAGCTTCCAGACTGTACAAAATGGAAAAAGTATAAACATAGACTTTTGTATTTTTTGGGGGGAGGGGAGCGGGGCGCAATATTGGTCATACTTTGCACGGCAAGTGAGCGGTGACGTCACATCTGTGATGTCACCCGCATGCGGCAGCGTCACGCAGTGTGCCTGCTGACGTCACGCACCCCCCCACCCTTCGCGTAGGCCGTGCATTAATCCAAGACAAGAGTCGAAGTCTCGGGCGAAGCCGGCTAGTAAAGCTAGCACGTGATACATTTGAGCAGGCCAACAACTTATATACAGTGCCGGTGAACGTTGACTTTCGTATTTATTCAAAGGATTTCGAAATACGCTGTAATGTGTACTCAAGAGGTATCCATTCATTACCTTTGAGCTCAGGCCCAGTTCGCTGCTGTAGCCAATGCTGTGCAAGCAGTTTACAATTGTATTCCTTGGGTACTGATGGAAAGAGAAAACAACACTATTTATTAATTTAATGAATTGATACAGTACTGTAATACACATACAATTAAAACGAAAGTTGTGCAGTCATTTGTCCTGTTCAAAAGTAAAATGTGCAGCTGGACTACTTACTCCCAATGCTGTTGCAAGGATCCTGGGAAGGGAGGAGAAACCATGGTTATACATTTTTAGTATCGCGTGTTTAAGTCTCAATAACACGGACGGTAAGCAATTCACCCCACGGTAATCAGCGTCGGTTTCTCTCCGTCACAGTCGGCAGGATTCGTTTCGGTCAAACTTCCACGTGGCCCAAATAGGCGAAAACTCAATCGGGGTGCAAGAAAGTGAGATGATTTGATGACACTGAAGGAGTTATGAGATGATGAGTTGATGAGGATGGTCGTGCATGATGAATAGGATTATGCGTGAAATAAAGGACGATGAAAGTGACAATGAGTGGGTTAATGATGAGTGCGTGTAATGATGAATGGGTCGGCAAAAGTTGGGAAGAAGAGGGCATGACGGTGTTGATGATGGGGAAGGGAGGGGGGAAGAGGTGTTTGGGTTAGCGAGAGCGATAAGTGAGTGCTTTAAGGGAAGAACGAAAAAGAAACAGTGAGGGTGATTCTGATATCTTTAAGTGGATTTGTTTAAAATGTGGATGGAATGACGGAGAGGCGTCCTCTGGTAGGTGGATGGGTGGCTGGGTGGATAGATGGATAGGTGGGTGAATGATAACACTGGTGGTGAGACAAGGCCATACAGAAGGCTGTCTGGTGTAGGCCAATCAGTTTCATAATGATCAGTTTGCATGTTTTTGCCACAGGTACACATGTGGTTGATGCAGACTTGTTTCCTTGCACAAGGTATCTATTTGGTGTTTGACCATTTTAACATCTGTTTTATTGTCAGACATGATAAAAACGTATTCTTATTTTTCATACTGGGGGTGATTGTTTGACCGTGTACGGGGCAGTTTGTTCCAGTTTACGGGGACCACAAGCGAGAAAGAAGGGAATGGTGATTGGGCACAAGGAGGAGGGGGAACAGAGACAGAGAGACGACAGCTGGGATTGTGAACGCAGAGGGCGAGACGGAGCGTGGACTGAAATGCGGGAATCGAGATGATACGTTGGGCAATCTTCCACCTGTTCAAGAGACTGAGCTGCATTGTGCCCACTGGAATATCAATACAGTCGAGTAGAGAGCATTTGAAAGGTATTAACTGCAGACTGCAGCGCAATGACAGCTGCTGATGGAACGTGTGGGCGTTAAAGGCGAATGGAAAACGAGATGTGGATGTATACAGTTACAATGCTGTTTAGCGTTTCTATGCAACTGCTTCTCACGACGCTACACAACTGGTGTGTGTGTGTGTGTATTCTTAATTTGAGGCACAATCGAAACATGTTTTCGGTTGAAGACCGTGGCTGGCCATCGAACAAAGACGGTTACTACATTGCGCGCTTTTAGATGCGCTTCTGCGGCCGTCTGGAACACTCTTCCTTCCGATATTAGCAAGTCACTGGAGCTATGCACTTTACATCCAGATTGAAAAAACGAATTTATTTAGAACTGCTTTTTGTGTTTAGTTTGTTGTCCTTCCCCCGCGCCTCCGATTAGCACGGTTGGCTACGTACGGTGCGAAAGAAGGTCAACTTTCATACATACAGAGAGGAGAAAAGGAATGTGTTGAGCCTGGACTTGGAACAGGGGCAGGTGATTGAGGTGAGTAAGGTAAGTCGACGACGCGGATGGCCAGGGAAGCGAGTTCAGACATTGTGGACAACAGCGGAGAAGGAAAGACATCTCGACATCGGATTCATTTAGAGAGGAGAGCCAACTTCTCACTTGAAGCTAAACACGTTACACTCCCTTAAAGGGAAGTGCAGTATACAAAAGGCAAAGGTTTGGGACAATGGCCCTTCTTCGTGGTGCACAGAGAGGCCACCGAGGTAAAGTGAATAAGCCTTGGAGGCTGCTCTTTACACCACGGGCCTGATGAGAATTGGATTAAAACATTGTTTTCCGATGAGCAGTTTTGAAATTGACATTTGAATAGTTACGCAATTCACAGTGTGCGTGATTTTCCGGTCAGCTATCGCGCTGCTTTTGTTCAACAGTCACGATGCTGTCGATACATTTCGTAGAATAATGCCATTTTATCTTCTATGTAAATGAAGACCTTAATCTGTATGTATGTCTCAAAAACCTCGACAAGGTAGAAAGCTGACATTTGGTACATAGGCAGCTTTTAGGAGACAAACAACGGGCAGAGAATTCTGAAAATCCCCAATGGTTTCAAATGTGTGGTGGCCCTCGCACTGATGATGTCTTATCGGCGAAAGTGCCCCCCCCCCTCCCACTTGGTAAATTTGTTAAGAACACTGGCGTGGATTGTGTGTGACCCTTTATAACACGCGTTTTCTCTTCGTATTTAATTAGCGGTACAGAAGCTGACGGGTAGCCTGCCGTCAGGACAAAATGCGTTTTCATATTTGAAATACTTCGCTATGGATCGTGGCTATTTTTGGCAACCGTTTGGAAAATGTTGCCAGTTTTCTGCCGGGTAAGTCCCTCCTAGCAACGCCACTTTAATTTAAAGTCTTGCCCGTTTTGGATCATCTTTACGTGGGTAATTGTGACCTTAGGCCCCCAAATCTCGATTTTTAGTGCCCCAAAAAATGTTTGTGCCCGGTGTCATTCAGAAACCGTTCAAAATATAACATTGCGGTTTTTTTTCATTTGATAGAGCGTTAAACAGCAAACACAATTAAAGCGAGAACCACTATTCTATCTTTGATTGTTTTTTAGATATTTCGGATTCAAGTAGTTTTGAACGAAAAAAATACGCATTTTACAATGTTCAAATCTGAATTATTCCAAAACAGTAAAAGATAGGAGAGCTTCCCTTCGTAGAGAATTAAGTTATTTAATTTTATTCTTTCTAATAAAAAAAAGAACGGAATCTTGAAATTGAGTGGTTTCCGATGAGTACGTTTTTAAATCTATTAAGTTGAATGAAATCGTCAACAAAACATTTTTTGCGTAAAAAGATACATTTTTGGAGTAGTTGTTAGTGTCTGATCGTCGATCATAATTGTCAAAAATCATGAGGTCCATTATTAGATTTATTTTAAACGTTTGCCTGGCGAAGACAGGCTTTATGAACGAGTAATAAATACATCAGCAAGGTGCAATCATATAGTATCATCAATGTAAACAAAGCATCGTTCCACGTATAGTGTATTTATCAGGCCATCTCCAGACGTGCAATTGGTACCATGGCAGGAAAATGGCATTGCTGACACTGCAATGACTGCAAAATTGGGCAATGCAAACTGACCACAGTGAATCAGTGGCAGTGTGTGGGAAAACACACATTTGGTTCGGCTTTGTGCAAATCAAGATTTAAAGTTGTCACGTAAATACCGATCAAATCAAAGAAAATGACGGTCGCTCATGTATTCACAATGTAATTCTACGTAACATTTTGTAAGAATGTAAAAAAACCAACCCTCCATAATCAATTATTAAAATAATCCACTTAAACACATCAATAAAACATTGTAATTGTACTACCTGTCAAACACAGTGTATACACAACTACACAGTCCATGTCACCTTTAATCAAGCCAGTCTGGACCGAACGTGCACAGAAGGGTATTTAAGTCTTACCTTAACTCAGCCCAGGTGTAGTAATGTGGCGTGTCCGGAAACGACACTCCCATTATTAACGTTTAACCGTTGCACCTAAAGCGTCTAAATGGTCTGCAATTTTTATATATATATTTTAAAGCAGTTCAAATTATTCCCATAGCGTCTGTAAAACCAAAGCCACAGGCAGGGCCACATGCCTGCCTTTTTTGTTTGTTGGGTTGTTGTTGTGCTGACCTGCCCCTGAGTCTTTATGACATAGACATGTTTCCATGGACTCCAGTATCCAACAACAAACCGTAAAGCTGCGAGTCATGTGGGGCAGAAGCGAGGGCCATTGTCCCCCCTTTTCTGGACTCGTGCAACGGGCTGCGCGGTGTTATCTTTGAGCCTCATTGTTGTGACAAAACGACGACGTCACGTAACCTGGCGTCCATTCACCGCTGGCGTCCTGTCCATGCCGCCTTGTGTGGAGCTGGCTCGAGCTGAAGGCTGCATACGTGCCACGCACGTCCACCAGTTGCAAGTGAAGGCGAATTAAAACATCGACGAACATTTCCAGTTCTCGTCGCTGAAGCACACAACGTCGTCCTCGAGTGTTTGCTAGAGGCTCGACTTGATAAAAAAAAGATAAACACACACACGAGCGCCGCTTAAGCGGCGGGTGGACAATTGAAGACCGCATGTGCGAGCGTGGTTGGTTGTGTGGCCTCCGAATGCCTTTTTTTATTTAACCATTGCACGTGCTGCGACGCCTAATAACTGCATTGGCCGGCGTATTTTGTTGTCTTTTGAAGCCGACTAGATGTTCACGAATGTTTTGCTTCTTCTTGTTGTTGTGCCGACTGACCTCCACCAGTTTTAAAGCTTAGCTTTAAAAGCTTTAAAACTGGTGGAGCTAATCAGAATTGGAATGATGGGGGTGGGGGATAGGTAAGGTAGTGGATGCCCTCAACTCTCATCATTCCCAGCAGAAATCACAACAGCAATTAACCAGACTGGCTGTTTCACTACTGGACATTTGTGACGACTGGACATCTGGGAAAAGAGCTTTGAAGCTCATCAGATTCCTCAAGTATGAATATATAATTCTGATTCAGATCCCATCCACACTCTGGCCAACCACCATAATGCACGTCACATCATGGATGACATCAGTGGCGGTAATTCCTCCGCACCTCCGATTAGCATGGTTGGCTGCGTACGGTGCAAAAGAAGTTCAACATGCATACAATACACTCACTCAACCACCCACCACACTGCAGGTCATATTACACACACATCCACTCACCACACTGCAGGTCACAGTACACACCTCATCCACTCACTCACCACACTGCAGGTCACAGTACACACCCACTCACTCACCACACTGCAGGTCACATTACACACCCATCCACTCACGCACCACACTGCAGGTCACAGTACACACCCACTCACTCACCACACTGCAGGTCACAGTACACACACACCCACTCACTCACCACACTGCAGGTCACATTACACACCCATCCACTCACTCACCATACTGCAGGTTACAGTACACACCCACTCACGCACCACACTGCAGGTCACAGTACACACACACTCACTCACCACACTGCAGGTCACATTACACACCCATCCACTCACTCACCACACTGCAGTGTAAATCCCTCCCCCCGTCATCTCTCTTCCCAAGTTCTTCGAATAAATTTGCTCAATCCAAGAAACGTGTTCACTCAATCAATCCAGGATTTGTAACGCTCTTTTCTGTTACGTTGCTAGTGCTGTTCGTTGCCGGTCGCTTCACGTTTTGGACGTTTGGCCACTGTGTTCAACAACGGTGATAATAAAAACATTCAGTGATATCGTATTGTCACGGTCTATCATCATATTCTTGGTTCTTTCGGTAAAGTCACGTAGAAGGGAAACAATAAAATAATAAAAAATATAAAACAATCAAATGCTCACGACGTTTCGACTGCAACACAAGCAATCATCATCAGGTGTGACTTTACCGAAAGAACCAAGAATATGAATCCCTGCAGTCACGACAGCTTTAAATCAAAAGGTCTATCATCAGTTAACGTCACGGATTTCATCGAGGGGTTCATTAAGCCAGATTGGCAACATCGCAGCTGACATCGGTGGTGGTAATTCCTCATGAGGAGAGGTTGTGGCCAGGCCCCAGGAGTAATACAAATATAAACATCTGATAGAGTAGCGTACTTACCTGCTCATTATAAAGATAATACATTGCACGCTCTCGTGTTACCATAGCGCCACTAAATTGATCTGTCACCTACCAGGTGAGATTTCCCAGCAGCACTTAATCGGTGAGGTCGCTAAGCAGTCGAGCAAGCGGCTCACAATCGGTAGCGTGAAGGTTCAAAACCTGACTGCAGGTTGACCCAGCCCATCATCCCTCCGGGGACTATAAAATAAGTGCCACTCGGCTCCTCCATAGGGTTGCAGAGAGGAGAGGTGCATCGTCTCAACGTTCATTTGAGAAAGGCGTCATGTACTTTGATTTATTTAACACGATCCCAGTAGCATCTCTGAGGCAAGTTAGATCAGTCAATGTCCACTGTGAAAAAGATGGCGCGTATTTGTATTACCCACGCACGCTACTAATCAGGGCAAATGCTGCAATTCGAACCGTGAACCTCTGCAACGAGCGGCGGACGCGCTACTGCGAGGCCTCGTTACCGCCCGGGAGGGGGGGGTTGCCTGCGTTTCAACGTGCCCGCGATAATTCTCGTGGTGCGATCACGCTGCGCGTCTGCCGGACGATGAGAATAACCGAACATGCCGAGACACGGGTGCACGTTGTCTGTGGTGACGATCCTCTTGGGGTCGTCCCGCGTTGTCAAAACCTCGTGCTGCGCTCGCACGAGAGCGCGGCGCGAGGAGGTCGTCTCACGAGCGTCGGCCGGAGCTGCCGCGCGTCATCCGACGTCGCCCCACCATCATTCTCATCGACGCAATGCCGAGCAACCGAACTCTCAACGTGCGCCCTGGCATTTCAAAGGGCCGCGCGGGGGGGCTCCTACTCGGGTCCACCCTGGCTCCGGCTTTATTGTACCTTGACACTCAGTGACATTTCATTGACAAAGTCTTGCGAATATCAAATTCATGTGTGGACGACATTGTGACCGGCAACCCAAGCCTCTCTACATTCGAGGCAACAGAGAGAACGGCTGTGGCACGCGATGCCCGATGCAGGGGAAGGTGTCTGTGGTCTCCTTCTATTCGAACAACATCGAAAGCTCGGTCACGCAAGGTCAAATTCTGTGACCCCCCCCCCCCTCACCTTCCCATGACCAAAAACCCCAATACCTTGGAGTCACCCTTGACCAGACTCACAGCTATTACCATCACCTCGAAGTCACCAGCAAGAAGATGAAATCCAGGGTCAACGCCATCCAAAAAGTTGGCAGGGACTTCCTGGGGATGTGACACTGGGACCCTTCGTACATCAACATAGGCCCGACGGCAGAATATTGCTCCACTTGTCTTGGCTGGTACAACAGCTGTAGAAGCCGGCTCGTTGACACCAAAATCAACACTGTGGCTGCATGTGGCAAATGGCTTCCTGTAATCTATGCCACCGCAGTGGCTGCCAACACCCCATCATCGAACATCTGACGGGATGTTGCAACAATTAGGACGTTTAAGATCTCCCTCTGTATATGAACATCAAATCTCCACCGCCCTCTTGTTTGAAATCGAGAGATTCAAGTTGGACACATTCCTGGACTCAGTAAATATCCCCGCCACCCAATGGCAGGAGACGTGAGAAGCAGTGGAGTCCCAAACAAGAACCGCTCTAAACAGTCCCAATAACACGTGGAACAGTATTCATAATAAAGGTGTTTGGGTTAGATCGCGTTATTTATAAATGTGTCGTAACCCTCCACCACCCGACACGGCCAATCAGCAAAAAAAGTGTCACGTTGACAAAAGACAAATAATTCACTACTTTAGCCCACCGGTGTGTTGAAGAGTGAATCCACAACATTTACAGTTTGAGTACGACGTTTCGCTGGTAATTACATCCAGCATCATCGGGCAATTCGCCAGAATGGTAAAGCCCTCACTTGCTCCCGGTTTTAAATAGAGCAGCAGGGTGACGTCATCATTTAACTCATTTCAGGTGCAGTGATTTGAGGTGGAGGGGGGGTATTGTAATTATATAATCGATTAGTAATCAGTCAATGGTTATGATTAGTAATGAGTTGTAGATTAGTAATGAGTTGTAATGTGTGTTAGTGATTATATGCTATGTTAGTAATCCGTTACTAACATAGCATATAAACGGACGTGGAACAGTGTAGACATTCCTCCATAAATGCAAGCTCAAGGACTCGCCAAACAGCGAGCATCAGGCATTTCACCGACGACTGTCCAACACATGCGGATTCCGGCAGAGCAAACGGTCTCTGATCAGCTACCCTAAATGGCTTATATAAAAAAATACAAATTTAGCCTGCTGCTTTTTTAAAATGCCATATGTAAATAAATTAAGAATAAACATAAATTATCATGCCATGATGGCAATGGTATAATTGATACTTTTTAAAACATTTTATCATTAGGTGAGCTGAGCTCTTAAAATTCGGGGAGACACATGAGGAACAAAGAGCAGGAACTCCTAGATGGCCACCGTTTAGAGTCATTCTTGATATTCATGGCTGTGTTTAAGATCTCTTTGATCTTTTCGAAGAAGTCTCAGTCTCTTGAGACCAAACAGTTCTCACGAGCATAATTAAACCGCCTGGAGACTGATGTTTTGCCAGGTCAAGGGTGAATACGTTCAACAAAGCTGGTGCCAGCACCGAGCCTTGCTCGAGTCCATCTTTCTGGAGTCACCAGTTGCTGGGTGTGTGACTCCGAGTCACCTAAAAAACCCCGCTGCCTCAGAGCATCAACTCAGCTATCGTTACAACCCATCTAGGAATACATGCCGCACACTGGAGTTAGTTCAACCTAATGCTTTTGCCTCTTGCATCCCGGGTGGTTTGTTTAATGGTGGGGCCTAAGGGTGGAGTGGTAAGATGAGATGGCTTGTTTACCCTCCCATGTGGGTGCAATGGGACACTTCCTGGCTCCTTGACTGGTGCACCCCCTTTGGATGAAAGGGAGTGGCCCCTAAGGAGTCCTCTGCCGCTGCTGCTGCTGCTGTTCCACCGGGGATGTGGCACGTGAGGGGCTTGGCCACGCGGTGTCAAGTTCGTCACTCATAACCCTGACGCGCTCCCTCACTTCACCGCGGACGGCAGGAGTTCTAGACGGTGACAAAACAAGGGATTAAACGCACCGTAAAAAAGATGAATGTTACATACCTGTAGATGATCATGAATGAATAAATGACGCGTGCACATTCTAATGTGTTAGAAGAGCTATAAAGCTGAAATTTGAAATCAATAGTCAAATCTATGATTTTAACAAAAACTTTTTTTTCCAAAATGGTTACATTTCCCCCATGATATCTACATCGTTTTTATGATTAATTTAATTTTGAGTTGGAACTATAGTTGTCATCACGGCACTGTTTCCATGTGATTTTGTTAACTTGAAGTTTTCCTTGTGTGTAGCATAAAAGGTTGTCACTCTCATAAAACATGGCATTCTCCCATTATCTTCTGGGCAACCTTTGTGAATGAGATGCTCCATCTTAAGGGATTTTCCAGGTAAAATATTTTTAAATGACACTTCCAAAAAGTACCCAAAAATGTCCTCATTGAAAAACTTAAAGGAACACAAATTCGTTGGCCTTGGTTAAACAATTTAAAGGTTCATAAATATTACCTCTCAAAACTGAAATGTGCCCAAAATGTTAAATTTGGCATGTTTAATCGAATATCATGTTTGGAGATTCAGCACCCTCAAAAAGCTCCAGATACAGCTTCAAAAACAACAACGCTCAAAAGTTAAAATGTTTAACTGTTTTGAATTGTGCAAAATTATGCCCAATATTAACCATGGCACCAGCATTTTTCATGGAACAAACCTTAGAGGTGAAGCTAACATTAAAATCTGTCCTTGTGTTAATTATTAGGAACAGCCTAATATTCTAAACAATTTCTATATACTGTATATAAAACAATTGTGTTTAAGGTGCATTCAAGCATCGTCACTTACCTGTTATTTTGTCCCAATGAGATTTTCACCACAAACAAAACGAGGATGA